TTCTCAAATTTAACATAGTTAAGTAAAATATTGAAAATAAATATTGGAAGTATATGGAACATCTGCCTAACACAAGAGAAGATATTTCACTTTTTGTGATTTTACAACATGGGGACTATGGGTAATCTCCCTGGCCTAGTTTCAAATAAAATTAAATTTTCAAAGCTGATAAACTCTTTTCAAAACCATATTTCTGGATGTAACTTTATATGAAATATGACATCAGTTTGGCTGAATTTTAATGACGTAAATCAAGATTATTTCTACTCTCATCTAGTCTATTGTATACATCGATATTTTCTCACTTTTGTTTTTTTAATAAAGATGAGCCGTGCAATTCTAGGAATGTGACGTTGCCAGATTGCAGAAAAGATAGACTCGTCCATACGTAGATAGACAAGGTAGGTCTAACACAGCTGCCATCTTACAATAAAATGGTGAGTTTAGATATTTTCAACCATGTTAAATAAACTTGTCCAATACTTGGACACTTAAACACAGGAATAGGAGAAATTTTTTGAGAAAATGACTGACCTGTTCTTCGATAATTGATATACTGTACATGTATATTGACTTTCAAGTATATTTCTGTTACACTATCTGATTAGTGTTTACTTTGTGTACACTTAACCTTTTATGGGTATGAATGTGTAATAAAGTTCATAAATCTAAATCTAAATCTAGCTATGGTAAGGATGAATACACGCTGCCATAAAACTCTGTGATACATCGAATATTTATAAGTAGGAGGAATATTTGAACATTTTCAGAAAGTTCAATTGTTGGACTGACGAGGAGCACGGTGTTAATGTTTTATGCCCTGTGATCATTAGTGTTGTCGCGATGTTCATCGGAAAAAGGTCATAGAAAAAGTCCACTAAAATACCGAACGTAAATGCACTTAAATACTGAACGCAACAAATAAGTAACAGTAAAGTGGAAGACATTAATAAACCTCAACCATCAAAAGTTGGCACAATGAGTTAAATTCTAAGTTTCATATCTGAAACTCTCCCAAGCAGTAGAAAAATAATTCCCATTCATTTTAAGTAGCACAATAAATGAATCCAAAGCTTCATACCTGCAAATGATGGATAAATTCCTACCAAATCGAACAAATGTTTTCATGGATCGCCATGTTTGTGATCCAAGGTGGATTGACTCCCAGAATGCAACCTTATTTACTTGTGACAGGTTTCAAAATAGTGCAACAGCATTTTGAAAGCTGGCACGTGTCATGTTGCATTCTTGGAGTCAATCTGGTATCTGTGGCCTCTTATATTTTGATGCTTCTCTGCCATGTTATTTTGAAAAAATTAACATGGCTGAAATTCCCTTAATTACAAAAGGCCACAGCTTTACTGCACATTATACATAACTATAGTTATTAGTGGAATAACTATCTGAAATATACAAAAGTTAGGACAAGTATATATGTTTCTATTTTTTTTATATACTGATGCAATATTGTCATTTGATTGCTTATCTTTTAAATTCTAAGTAGTTCCAAACATTTAAAATTTTACTGTAGTGTATTTATTTTTGAAAATGTCGGTCATCTATCTTGCCCTACTAAGAGACGATAGAGTGACGACAATTGTCAGTACCCAAGCAAATACTCACTGGGCAGTTGTCGGTACGGGAGACAGTCCATTTTAAAAAAACATTGATGTTTTGTTTCAGACATAGATGCATCGCCAGAATCACTTTTGGCGATGTATATCGCGATGTATCAATTAATCGCGACAACACTAGTGATCATATTGAAATGTCAATTCATGGGCTTTCAACAGAGTGAGTCGGAGAGTGTCAAAAAAAGAAAATGACACGCCGTGAAAATATGCCCAATATCTTAATTACACTTTGTTGTGGACTATCTTAACATGTTAAGGGTTTTTTAACTATGATAATACAATCGGTTAAATGTTGACTTTTGATTTTGAACCACGGACATCTGCCAGATTACCTCTTCTTGGTGTCTAGGGTCAATAAATATACTCAAGGACAAGACATAAAATCTTCGGAAAATTTATATTTCCTTGATTTTGGAGTCAGTTTATCAATAAATATCACACATCATACCTCAAACGATGCGTACTGTTGTTAGCTTCATCTCCAATCACTAAGACCACACATTCAAGAAAGCATCTGTTGATAAAAGTATAAAATAAGCGAGCGTATATTTAATGGAGTGCTTCGACTATTTTCGTTGTTCAAATGTTTATTCCCGAAGTCAAATGTATTTTCAGAGAATATGACGCCACTCCAGATAACGTTACATCAGAGATTACTGGGAAACCGGATGACGTTTCTTTAAGATCCTGTAGAAACAATGATAACGGTTTGTTAGGCTACGAGATCCTTTACTTTCATTGGCTGTTTGTTGTGATGTGACGTAATTTGAGAGACGAACAACATCGGACACTGCCGGAAATTACCGAAGCACTCCATAATCTTTACGCTCTGAAAATTTGAAATAAATGTCTCAGGAAAATTTGATTTACAGCGTCAATAATTGATATCATGCAACCATTCAAACTGATACATAAAGAAGAGATTACAGGGTATATATTGATCACTCAATGTTTGAGAGATGGAAAAGATAAAGGTCTGTACATGGGCTTTCAACTATACTCTAAAAAGAATGCTGTTCGACAATCAAAAATCCATTTTCTGAAAAAGTTCATGTATTCCTTCTCAATAATTCAGCCTACATACATTGGATGAATGTCTATGTCTATGTCAATAATCTGCAAAAGGCTAATAAGCCCAAAAAAGCAGATATATAATTCAACAGTGATAGAATTTGAATAGAATATAATTTAAAACCTTAACATTTAAAAATAGATCTATGGTTTACAACTCATTTTAAAATTGAAAGGAACCTTCCTGGTTGGCCCCTGTACCCCCCCCCAGGAAGTCCCTTTATGTTGAAATACCCTGGGGCGACTGTCAGGCTACTGCGTTGTCATCTCCCCTCTTTACCAGTAGTGCAGGCTTTTTGCTGTGCACTGGGGACCTTTTACATTAAAACATAGATCTATATTAAAACACACCTATTTAATTGTAGTTATTGACAAAGGCATATGACATAGGTATGATGATTTAAAACTACTTAGACTGTCACAGTCTAAGATGTCACCAGGTAGAGTGTTCCATTTAGCTATTGTCCTAGGGAAATAGCTAAATTTGTATGCATCCGTTCTAGTTGATGGTTGTATGAACTTAGAAGGATGATACAACCTAGTGTTGGTATTGATCTGTTGGTGGAAGTATGGAGGCACGTCGATGGCTGCTAGGTTCTGCTTTCCTTTGTAGAAAAGGAAAACTCTAGCAGCCTCTCGACGCTCCTTCAGTGGCTCCCACTGTAGGTCTTGAAGAGCTTTGGTGACGCAGCCTGGTTCCCTCGAGTGACATTTGGATACAAACCTGGCTGCTCTTCTCTGTACCTGTTCTCACAGGGTTTTATGGCCAAGTGTTTTTATCCATTTCATAGCTAGGAACAGAAATACTCGAAAATCGATACGAACTTCGAAGGACAGGTCAGTCATTTTCTACAGAAAAATTCTCATTGCCCTGTGTTTGAGTGACGTCAGATTTCCAAATATCGGGCGAGTTTATCTAACAGGGGTGAAAAATGACATTTATCTTGACTTCGTTCAGTATAAAGACCACTTAAAGAACCAAATTTGTCAATCCCGAGAACTGTAGGGATCACATAACAAGTCATGTATCTGTAAAAAAAACTATTTATGGCAGGGTACCTGCTGAAAGAAAGATGGCAGCGTTTGATATATACATACCTTGTCCCCTACGTTTCGACGAGTCCATTTGTCGATGACGTCATTTTCTAGCATCAATGATTTGCGTGACATGAGAGAAGGGGATTTCTATTCAATTTCCTGTGATTAAATGACAAAAGGTAGGTGGCGTATACAATATATAATAAGTTTGGCCGATCCCTTGTATAACACAATGCGCCACAATGTAACCTAGCAGGATGGATGACATAGAACAAACTGCTAAGTAGACACATGGTAATTATTTCGTTATTTTATTACTGTATGAACTGGTTCACAGAATAAAAAATTTGAGTGTAGCTAAAGGTAAGAATTTATTACATGTGCGACAGGGGTTGTACTAAATACCACCTAGGTGCCCCACACCTAGGTGTCCCCATTGAAATGCCTTATTCTTATTGGCATATTTTACTACTTTATTTTAAACTAACATTTTTCCAAGTGTTAATATGGTTCAAAATAAAGTATTTTCATGGAGCTTGTGTAAATATTTCTGTTTGGTTATGATATTTTTAATTTCTTAAAAAATTTTGATCGATGTCGAAAAGTCATTTGTTAGGATAATATTTCATAATTTGCTCACTATAAAATGCTACAAATTCACTATTTTAGCGACTAAATGTATATATTTCAAGTGTAAATGCACACTTTAGCATTTAAACAGTGTTTTATTACTACATAAGTGACCATACATGAGCAAAATTCCAGGTGCCCATTTTTCTAAAATAAAACTTTTAACATTTTATTTTCGAATCTTCTTTGCAATATTCTCAACTACAAATTATTATTTCAAGCCTATAAAATGTCAAGTTAATATGACAAAGGAAATAATACTATATTTAAAATGTGTACGTGGTTTAAAATGAAATTAGAAATCCAGGTGCCCAAGGGGACACCTAGGTGGTATTTAGTAACACCCTGCGACAGCATGTAATTTTGTTATTCTTTATGGTGAACACTGCAGTGTAGGGACATCTTCAATCTTGAACTTCTAGGCTAGAATCTAGATTCTATGATTTTGGGTGGTCATTTTTTGATGTACCAAAAATGATGTACCATTTTTGGTCTTATGTTCCCATTTATTCTTTGAGCCTACTGCCAATAGGGGCTGGATCTGGCTCCGGATATGTGTCTTGAACAGACAGAATATGAGCTTTTTTGAAAAAATGAAACTCACCTTTTCAATTCTTCCGCCGCCATTTTCGTTGTAACGACCGCAATGCGCGCGCAGCTTTCCTTGTTCCCTCGATTTCTCAAAGATCCCCATCATTAAAATCATTCATGATCTACAGATTGATAGGAAAATATACGAGGAATATTTTGATATATATATATCTGGTATGCTGATTATGAAACAAAAGTTATTAGACTTTCTTTCAGACTAAAGATGTGAAGGTCATAGAGCATGCGCAGTTTAAAATTTGGCGCGAAAGGTTTTCGCCAGCCTAAATTTGCATGAAAATGGTAAGTTTGTAGCCCAAAATCAATGCACATATTGTCATGATGTTAGTTGAGAGCAAATGTCAGTAGTTCATTACATAATATAACAAACCACAATTTAGATCAATCACAATAATTGATCGTCTAAGTTTGACTTCTAGAAAATATTTCAATTTCATCGTTTTTGTGAAAATTGAGTGGACATGATTTTTACGCAGTTAGATCTACACGAAGAGGCTCTATGCCATAAGATAGCGCAATCAAGACCCCTCTGGACTTTTTTGCATATTGAGTTTCACCACATATATACCCATCTACTTACCAAAGAAGAAGTCCCAAATCCCCCTCTTTCAGTGTTAATTTTGCGATTGTGATGCCCGATCTAATCACATGCTATCTATTGCAAGACTAACGCCTGGTGTAACCGTCACCATGTTATTCGGTGTTTTTTAAGTAGCGCAAGGATCCTGCCATGACTGTGGCAGTGTTATTTTGTAAGCCTGGTATAACCGTGACAACGCTGTATTATATTGCAAGGCCTGTCATGACCATGAGTGTTATCGTGGAAGCCTGGCGCAGCCGTAGCCTTTACGTTTAATTTAAGAATTTTTTATTGTTGTTTGTTAAGCGATTTGTTTACTATCCACTTTTAAATATTCGTATATTTGTATATTTTACCAGAGACATTATATGTCTCTGTCTTTATGAATGTTGACCCAAGCTGCCCATGACTGTGATAATGTTAAAGCCCCGTATGACAGTGACAATGATTGCAAGGCCTGTCATGACCGTGGTAATGTTAAAGCCTAATATGACCGTGACAATGCTTATAAGGCCTGTCATGACCGTGGTAATGTTAAAGCCTGATATGACCGTTACAATGCTTGCAAGGCCTGTCATGACCGTGACAATGCTATATTATATTGCAAGGCCTGTCATGACCGTGGTAATGTTAAAGCCTCGTATGACCCTGACAATAGTTCCAAGGCCTCTCATGACCGTGGTTGTATTTAAAGTAGCATGAGAACACTGTAATGACAATTTTTCTTCGTGTTTAACTACCTAAAATATGTAAATAAAGACTACTAAAAATGTGTATTAATTTCACAACGAAAACCTAATTTTTACTCATAAATAATTTGCAAACAAACTATATCTCTACTCTCATTCAAGGAGCTTCGATTCGAAAGCATATACTTTCTATAATGATCAATTAATAATAGTGTTGTCGCGATTAATCGATACATCGTGATATACATCGCCAAAGCTGGTTTTGGCGATGCATCGATGTCTGAAACAAAACATCGATGTTTTTTAAAAAATTTAATTTGCTAAAAATCGCACTTTCTTATCTTATTTTGACGCAAATTGCTTACCTTTTTTCATGTCTTATTTCATTTCCCAATGTTTTCTGATATTCTTTCGCTTTAAAACTGTTTTAGCTAGTCGAAATGAACCATTGATCTAAAAAAATTTACTTTACTTTCATTTCACCGTTACTAGAATTCCCGGATGTACCAGCCTACTCTTATTAATTTGGTCTGTTCGGGATTTTAGTGCATTAGCGTTCGGTATTTCAGTGCACTTTTCTCGAACTTTTTCTCGATGTACATCGATGTTTACTACTGAAAAGTGCCGATGCATCGATGTACCATTATGGCACATCGCGACAACACTAATTAATAAGATTTATCCATAAAAAATACCAACAGCAATGGGCGAAACATGAAGGTCATTAATGTCATATAAAGGTTGCGGTCGCGCCAGGCTTACACGATTACACTACCACGGTCATGGCAGGCATTTTAATATAATACAGCATTGTTGCGGTTATACCAGGCTTTAACGATAACATTACCACGGTCATGGCAGGATCCTTGCGCTACTTAAAAAACACCAAATAACATGGTGACGGTTCTGCCAGGCGTTAGTCTTGCAACAGATAGGGTCTCGATCTAATTATTTTCGAAGAAATTCAATCTGAAGTTTGAATATACTGATAAATGGTATGTGAGTCTGAAATATTATTCGAGCAATAACAATAGGACATCATTGATTGTCTTGGGTAGAAACCTATGTTTCTCCTATGTTTGTCCCATATTCACTTATCAGTCTCAACTCTAGCAATTCTATTTCTCCTATGTTTCTCCCATGTTCACTTTCTCAGTCTCAAATCTACATTCTGCCCTTAACACTAAGAAATATTACTTACTTCACAAAATATATCAGCTAGAGCTAACACCATTGGTCAATGCATTAAATACTTATAACCCCTAACTTGACTCTCATTGGCTAAGCTTCTTTCTCTGCTTTAAAACACTTTTAGGACTGATGGTCCTTGTAAAATCACATAATAAACAAAATAACATTTAAAACAAGTATAAAAGATAATGCACAAACTCAATATAAATTAAAGAAATGAATGTACAAATAAAAGTACAAAGTAATGATGCCAGGATCATTACAACTGCATGGGCTGAGTGTCCATCAATTACCTACATGAATGGCCTTCCTATCCTCTATTTGATATTCGAACATGACTGTATTCACGCCTTCTATAAACTGTAAACCAAGTCAACATTTCACCCGGGATATATTCGCGATCAATACCCCTGGTAATACGTGTAATGTGTGACGTCATAACGGTGGGTCGTAGTAATGGCGGACCATGATGAATATTCAAAACATTTTGGTGAGTTTTCATGTTCGAATCGTAATATAGACATCAGAGCAGGGGTAATATCGTTGAATACACCCCTTAAGGCTAGGCACAAAAGCTTTCGAACCCCTCACTCCCTTCAGTCGTTCGGGGTATAGAAAACGTTTGTGCCTAGCCCGGTTTGGACTCCCGTTTTTGTTTGTGGTCATAATCACTTAGTTGGTGTACATTTTACCTTATTTTTAACTTCATTTGAGTCTTAATACTCTAAGCATTATTTTGATACATAAAACATGGTCAGAATTGCATGCAAATCATAGATATTGAGCTTTTAGGCACAAATTTCTAACTTTTTTGGGCCAAAACTCTGCTCATGCACATGACCTCATATCTATTTATAGATCGCCAAGAAATGTTAAAACTTTTTTTTTCTGACAAGTTACAAAAATATGAAAGTTGAGTAAACATATAATAGCACTGATCAAAGTCCCTAGCCTTGGCATCAGAAAAAATTATTTAGATTTTTATTTTTTTATATGACATATTAGATAGATGGTGCTGACTGTGGGTAACTTATATGGGGTCCAGGAAACTGGGCATGTAAGGCATGGCTACAATCCTATAGCTCGGTTGTAGAGCAATCGCCCGGAAAGCAAGGGTTCATGGGTTTGATCCCTACTGGGGTAGTCTTTTCACATCAGCCCTTAGCACAGGATTTCATTCTGTGTTTTCATTAACCAAGTCAAAGGTGGTTTATTTATTATCAGGATTTGCCATTTAGATATTACTGCAAACTGAGGCTCATTTTTATAAGAAACGTTTTGACTGCCCCGCTTCAAAGAAAGAATCTTATCACAATTTTCTCGATTTGGACAAGATTATTTCTATTCCCCTCTTCAGCCCATTTCACTGTTTTATTGCGTCAGTAGAACCCCAAATATAAGTACATGAATGACATTTGTATATTTCAGATTATTTAGTTTTTTTGTGCAATAAGCCTGTGCCCTCTTGTAATTTAAAGAATTTCAGCCATGTTTATCTTTTTGAAAATACTATGGCAGAGAGAAGCCTCAAAATATAAGAGGCAACACACTTTATTAGCCAAACTAGAAGCAATGCAAGATAAACAAATGTTATTTATGTACAATAGCAATATATTTTTTCATATATTATTGCATAATGATCTTTTGATTTCTTATTTTTATTTAGGTTTTACTGATGCAATAAAACATTGAAATGGGCTGTAGTATATTGTTTAACTTGATGCACATTCATCTTATCTAAGGTTTATTTGTACTTTGGTAAAATGATTACTTTCCATTATAGAATAGGGAATGAGCATAATTTTTTCAGATATTTCACATGATTTCTGGATTTAGACCCCGTTTGAATTCTGCTGTGTTCATTTTCAGGATATCCGGAATTTCTTTGGTGCTAAAAGTGTTGCAAAAAAGCCCAAAGAACCAACAAAGGAGAAGGCTTCAGCTGAGAAAAAGCAACCAAAACCAAAGCCCCCTGTAACAAGAAAAGACACATGTGCTTTAAAAGAAAATGGAGTAAAGGAAAGTAATAAAGCAAAAGATGAAGATGAACTTTTGATTATTGATGAGAACAGTTACTGTGATTCTGTATCTTCACCAAAAAGTGAAACAAAAACTGGAAAATCCAAATCCAAATCAAACAGCTGTTCCAAGATGAAGAAAGATTCAGAAGCTTCTGGTTCAGGAAACAAAAGGAAGAAAAGTGTTGAGAAAAGTTGGAAAGCGAACAAAGATCTGTTTGATAGCGGAGACAGTGAAGATGAAGAGATCAGTACTCGGAGACAGAAAAGTAAACAAAAAGCAAAGGTAACGAATTTAAGAAACCAATCTCTTCAAAAAATCAAAAATTTTCTCTTTACAAAAATCACAAAAATATATTTTTTTCTTTTCACAACCTTTATTTTAGTAAACAGGACGTTTCGGATCCTGTCTGATCCTTTTTCAACTGTATAAAAACTGAACTGAAGCGCTACAAAACAATAAATAAAAACAATATTATGCCCTGTTTAGTAAAATAAAGGTTGTAAAAAGAAGAAAAAAAATTTTGAAATTTAAAGAGAGAATCAGATATAGCAAGCAGGCTTAACAAAAAATTGTCTCAATTTTATAATATTTTTGGCTCATGTCATTCCTTGTCATGTCTATTTTCTAAAAATCACATAAGTACATACTTTATTCAAGGAAAACTAAAGATATTTACAATAATGTATTATTTTTCTATAAGAATGGTTACCATTCTTATTATTTGGGAGAATTTAAACATTTTCCACCCATTTTTGCACTTTGAATCATTAATAACTTCACCAATTTATAACATATTGTGAATCTTTTGGGAGATATTGTATTTGGTATTGTAAGGAATAGATTGGTAGGTCAATTATAAAAGTTGCTTGTAATTTTGTCACACCCTATAGATCTGATTCTGCCTTTAATAATCCAACCTTTCTCTTTGTTTATATGCATGTTTTGTGAAATTTCTGAAACTGCTTGTTGAAATTACATGAATAATTTCCAATAATTTTGCCTGAGAAATTCTACAAAATTGAAAATGTAAGTGTAAAATACAGAATCATTTGTATGAGGATTTAAGTCTTGGACTATGATATGTAAAAAAAAATGTAAAGCATGGAGAATTAAGAGAGAATGTATTTCAGAAGGTTGTTGCTGTGTCAGAATCTGACAGTGATGACGATATCAAAACTAGCAAGAAGAAAGGCAAGAAAAAGCAGAAAGCAAAGAAATCCCAGGTTATAGACTCAGGTTAGTCTTGCTTAAAATATCATTCTGAACTTGGTCAAGCTGGTTCTATTTAACCTACTTTGTATAATTCAAATGCTAAATGATCTAATCTAGTGATGTTATAGCTGGTCCCCTGGTCATTGCAGACAGGTTATTTTTTCATTTGATTTTGGAAAATAGCATTGAAACTAGTTATCCCACTGAACGAAGTTTCGAGAGGGATATAGGAAAGCCGTCCGTCCGTCTGTTTGTCCGGGCGATAACTCCAATACCGTTTCATGGATTTGATTCAAATTTTATAGGCTTATGCCTTATGGGTGTAGGACCTCTGCGCGAGAAGAAATTTTCAATATGGCCACTGAATTCAAAATGGCCGCCATTTTTCGTAAAAATGTAATCTTTAATAACTCAAATACTGGTTTGCGGATTTGGTTCAAATTTTATATGCTGATGCCTAGGGACACAGTTGATATGTTCAAGTAAAAATTTTCAAGATGGCGGCTAGATTTCAAAATAGCGGCCATTTTTCGTAAAAAAACTTAATCTTTGATAACTCAAATACCAGTGAACGGATTTGGTTAAAATTGTATATGATGATGCCAAGGGACACAGTAGATCTGTTCGAGTTACAATTTTCAAGATGGCCGCTGAATTTCAAAATGGCGGCCATTTTGAGTAAAAAAACATAATCTTTGATAACTCAAATACCAGTGAACGGATTTGGCTCAAATTTTATATGATAATGCCTAGGGACACAATAGATCTGTTCAAGAAAGAATTTTCAAGATGGCGGCTTGATATTCAAATTGGCGGCCATTTTTCGTAAAAAAAGGTAATCTTTGATAACCCAAATACCAGTGAACGGATTTGGCTCAAATTTTATATGATGATGCCTAGGGACGAAGGAGATCTGTTCGAGAAAGAATTTTCAAGATGGCGGCTGAATTTCAAAATGGACGCCATTTTTCGTAAAAAAACGTAATCTTTGATAACTCAAATACCAGTGAACGGATTTGGCTCAAATTTTATATGGTAATGCCTAGGGACACAATAGATCTGTTCAAGAAAGAATTTTCAAGATGGCGGCTTGATATTCAAAATGGCGGCCATTTTTCGTAAAAAAGGTAATCTTGGATAACTCAAATACCAGTGAACGGATTTGGCTCAAATTTTATATGATGATGCCTAGGGACAAAGGAGATCTGTTCGAGAAAGAATTTTCAAGATGGCGGCTGAATTTCAAAATGGACGCCATTTTTCGTAAAAAACGTAATCTTTGATAACTCAAATACCATTGAACAGATTTGGCTCATTTTTATATGATGATTCCTAGGGACACAGTAGATCTGTTCGAGAAAAATTTTTCAAGATGGCGGCTGAATTTTAAAATGGTAGCCATTTTTCATAAGAAAAAACGTAATCTTTGATAAGTCAAATACCAGTGAACAGATTTGGTTCAAATTTTATATGCTGATGCCTAGAAACACAGTAGCTCTGTTCGAGAAAAACTTTTTAAGATGGCGTCTGATCTTCAGAATGGCTGCCATTTTTCATTTTCATTTTCGTAATCTTTGGTAACTCAACTGCTGTTCGGTGGGATTTGCTACTCCGTGGAGTTGCTGTTTTTCTAGTTCTTTCTTTATGTTATTTCGGCTTGCTGGTCTCCAGTTCTTGCTAGGGTATTTTCTGTATATATATACGTACAGGGTCTGACCTTAACTTTTTTTTACCAGTAGCAAGGATTTGCTACCTTCTACCAAAACAAGGAGCAAATTCCCATATTCAGGTAGCAACAAAAATGGTCCAAGAAAACATTATCATGTAGCAAATTGCTCATCAAATTCTATATTCTAAATTTTCTAATTTAATCAAGCTGTACATTAGACTAATATCTGTAATCATGTCTTATAACGTATCCCCGGTTATTTCTCGCCTTTTTGCACTGAACGAAACGATAATTTTTTACGTTCAAGAGTCGTCTGAGAACAATTTGTGGTTTTTCAGACCAAAATCCACATGTTTTCATTGAAAATAGGAGAATGAATCATCTAATCCTAATAAAGGTAGTATAATCAATTGGGAGGAAACAAACTATAGTGTATTCATCGATGAAACATGTTTTATTTACCTGTTAGATGTGAATTGCATCTACTAGTATTTCGTGCAGGCGACATTTTTTCGGCAAGAAATTCTGTTTCGCTAAAGCGAGTAAAGTCCAATCAGTGATGTTGTCTTATTTTGTTTCATTTTGGGATCCATATCAACTAATCAGCGTTGAGGTTGTTTTATCGCTATCGGAAACGCGATGAAAAAATGAAAAAATATCGGGAGTGGTAAGTTCCATTGATTCTATGCGATAGAAGGGTTGAAATACATGAGATTCATTGCGTAAATTTGAGGTAGCAAGCATGTGCTCCTGGCCACAAAGCTTTTGGAGCAAAATGTGAAATCAGGTAGCAAATTTGCTCCTTGCTACCGCTAAGATCGAACCCTGATATATGTCTCTATGAAAACTGAACATTGAAATGTTAATATGTTTTTACAGAATCTGAAGAGGACCCTATCCCCAAGAAGAGAAGTCGAAATAAGGCTAGTACTAAAAAGAAGATCACAACATATGTCTCTGATTCAGGTTTGTCAATAACAACTCATTTTTGGCCTCATATACAAAAAGACATATGTTATTAAATGTTAAGATGTCAACAGTTGATTTTGAATCAGTGCAACAGTCTGAACCTCAAATCATCCCATTAATTCTGTAGTGCGGTCTAGTTAACTGTAAAAGTGAGAAAGAGAGGAGAGTGGGTGAAAATGTCCTGAATCTTTGAAACTTTATATCTGTACTGAAGAATATCTTGGTAAATTAAGTCAATGACCTCTTGAAAGGAGTGGTATCGATATGGAGAACTTTTTGAACACACGTTTCTCTTAAACCAGTCATAAAAAAATCTAAAAATTTTACACATCGTCAATTTAATGGTCATCTTTTGAATGGTAACAATATAATTTGAAAAATATTATATATATTTTCATCTATATTGTTTTATAAAACACATCTAACACTTGTTTTGTTCTTGGTATCATGTTTCCAGAGTGAAATGAAACATCTTTCCGAACCTCATTGGAACAAAAAGACATAAACACAACATGTTAAGGTCTCTCAATATTGTAATTGTACAAAGGAAACTTTAGTTGATTTTGAAAAAGTATCATGTTAATGAAATAAAAGGTCTATCTTGATTTTTATCTATTTTGGGGGATTTTTTTAAATTTTTGAATACTTTTTTTAAAATCAACCAAAAATTCCTTTGTATAACTATAATATTAAGAGGTCTAAAACATGTTGTAGATGCTATTTTGTTCCAACAAGGTTCGGAAAGACATTTTATTTCATTCTCAAGAATTGGAAGAAAGAAGCAAAAACAATTGCACTAAAAAAACAAAAAATGTTATAATTAACAAAAACAGTTATATAAAATATTTCTAAATAATTTTCGCATTAAATTGTTGTCAATCAGTCAACATTACATAAAATACCATGTCTTTTTATTAGCTCACATGGTGAGCTTTTGCAATCGCTCACTTGTCCGTCTGTCTGTCTGTCTGTCTGTCCGTCCGTCCGTCTCCGTCCGTCTGTCCGTCAACAATAGTGGCACGTTTTAAAACCTCTGTCGATAGGATTCCTGTTTTAAGTTATTTCTGTTCAACATCAATACAGAAAACTCCTCTATGACTCCTGGTTCAAAAGCTCGCCTATTTTCAAAATGGCCGCCATTTTTGTCTCGCGAAATTCACTTTTGACTGGCACGTTTTAAAACCTCTGTCGATAGGATTCCTGTTTTAAGTTATTTCTGTTCAACATCAATACAGAAAACTCCCCTATGACTCCTGGTTCAAAAGCTCGCCTATTTTCAAAATGGCTGCCATTTTTGTCTCGCGAAATTCACTTTTGACCCATTTCCTAGCTTTACAAATAATTTCAGGTGTCCTACGTTGTAAAAATCTGTGTCAATGTAAAGAGTAGATATATGAAACAATTTTGTTACGAAAAATCAGCAAAAAATTATATCCATTTTTTTTATTTTCAGCCATTTTAGTTAACATTGATTTGTCCATCTGTCTCGCAAAATCCACTTTTGGACCATTTGCCTTAAATCCTCTGTCGATAGGATTCCTGTTTTAAGTTAATTTTGTTCAACATCAATACAAAAAACTCTCCTATGACTGTTGGTTCAAAAGCTCGCCTATTTTCAAAATGGTCACCATTCTTGTCTCGCGAAATTCACTTTTGGCCCATTTCCTAGCTTTACAAATAATTTCAGCTGTCCTGCATTGTAAAAAGCCATGTCACTGTAAATAGTAGTTGTATGAAATAATTTTTTTACAAAAAATCGGCAAAATATTATATCAGTTTTTTTTATTTTCAGCCATTTTAGTTAACATTGATTCTTCCATCTGTCTCTCAGTCAGTCCAAAAAAGTGGCAAGTTTTAAACCTCTGTCAACACTTTTTAAATCCTCTGTAGATAGGATTCCCGATTTAAAATAATTTTGTTCAACATCAATAAAGAAAAAAAACCTGTGACTCCTGCTTCAAAATCTCGCCTAATTTCAAAATGGCCACCATTTTTGTCTCGGGAAATTCACTTTTGGCCCATTTCCTAGCTTTACAAATAAGTTCAGGTGTCCTGCATTGTAAAAAGCCATGTCTTTGTAAAGAGTAGTTGTATGAAATAATTTTGTCACAAAAAATCTGCAAAAAATTATACCCGTCTTTTTTATTTTCACTTTTGAGCAACACCATGTGAGCCCAGTACCCACAGTACTAATTTTTACAGAATGTTTTCAATGATTGGTTTAAGAGAAAAACATTGTTGAATTCAGTTCTCCATATCGATACCACTCCTTTGTCAACCTTGTGAAAATAATTTTGGCTTTCATATTTCAAATCAGATGATGAGAAACCCAAAAGAAATACTGTTGACACATATTTCAAACCTGCCACCCCAAAACAGCCTTCACCCAAAAAATCACACTCCAAGAAGTTGACTCCTGACAAAGGCCAGTTGAGTGTCATGGATTTCTTTGGGGGAGGTGAGGTGAAGAGATCAGAGAAGAAAACAATAGGAACAGAGCAGAAGATAACAGTGGAGGAGAAGAAAAAAGGGACTAAAAGGAAAGCGGTAATTACATGATTCCTGAATCTGGATATAACATTGTACAATCACCCCTGATAACCAAAGTGAAGCGTAATTTACATGCACTGTATACATACTGTTGCTCATACACATATGTAGAATATTTGCCAATTTACCAATTATCTTCATGATTTCAGCTTGTTCTGAATGTATTTTTCACAGACCTATTATGCACAATAAGCTATCCAATTTTGAAATTACAGAAGCAAAGTTTTTTGTTTCCCAGGAATTAGTCAATGAAAAATACCATATCTCAAGGCATTTTAGTAGTTTTATGGAATAATCTTTTGGACATTGTTGAATTAATTCATACTTCATCAAAGAAAAAACATTTGTAATTGATATAGTTTAGAAAGTAGCTACAATTATCATGTTTATATGATTGTTTTGTAGGATGCAACTAAAGCCCGTGACTCAAAGAACAATGGTATTTCTGATATACATTATGAAATGGAAATGCACAGTGATGATGATTTCGCTGAAACATTGGCCCTCATTGATGAAATGGAACAAAAGGCTAAAAAGGTCAGTTTTTGAAATCAGTTGGAAAGAATAGTTGTTAACATTAATGTGACAAGTCATTGTTTATCTACCAATACAAAGTGATTCTCTTAGAATTTTAAATAACAATGGCACCAAAATGGAGGTGCCTCATTTGAAATATGTTTATAAATGATAGTTTTGATTTATTATTTTCATGAAGGTATAATGCTACAATCATGAAGTCTGTCTAAATCCGTGCCTCTGCCTCATATTTAATCTGAAGAATAGAGAATACCTATATTGAGACATAACTTTTGCTTTCGTATAACAAGCACAAGTTTCAGTTTCATATTTCAAGCCTGTAAAGATAATTTAAATATATATATTTTAGGCAAAGACTGAGCCAGATGAAGATATTATTCCTGATACCCCTCCTTCTAAAGAATCCACAAAAAAGCAACCCTCTGAATCTAAATCATCACCTAAAAAGCAACCCTCTGAATCTAAATCATCACCTAAAAAGCAACCCTCTGAATCTAAATCATCACCTAAAAAGCAACCCTCTGAATCTAAATCATCACCTAAAAAGCAACCCTCTGAATCTAAATCATCACCTAAAAAGCAACCCTCTGAATCTAAATCATCACCTACAAAACAGCCCAGTGAATCTAGATCTTCTCCAAGGAAACAAATATCAGAATTTAAACCATCACCAGAAAAACAATCAAATTTAAGTAAAACACCTAAAAAGAAATCCCTTGAAACTTCATACTCTTCTCCAAGTTCTTCCATACCTGATAAAAAGACTCCACAAAAAAGCCATTTAACTCCTGTTAGGTCATCACCAAGACGACCTTCAAGAGATTCACAAAGTTCAAGGTCATCAACTCCAACCCTCAGTCAACCAATCAGATCATCTCCCAGGAGAACACCAAAAAGTAAGTTGTGAGCTTGTTTTTCAAGTTTTACTTCATTATTTTACATTTATACATATTTAAGATCATTTTATCAGTTTACAATATTTTGATCATATCATTTAATGCCTTCAAACTAGCAAAGAGGGAGAAAGAGCGGGCCCTATACTTGTATCTGTATTTACAAGAAAGTACATTTCAAGTAAAGCATTTAAAATGTTATCTAAATATTAACAAGTAATTGTATCAATCTGTTCATGTTTTAGCTAGTGATTCTTCAAGCAGTCTTTCCAGTAAACTCTCATCTAAAGCCAAAGCCAGTAAAAGCCTTGTAGTGGATACACCTAAAGCCAAAACTCCCAAGAAGACTCCAGTTAAGGACATCAACGTGCAGGTGCTTGCTGAAGACACCCCTGTTTCAAAACAAGTAAGTATATAATCATAATGGAATTGTACATGGATTGCTTTGAAGTAATATGCAGGACCTTAGACATTGTAGACTGCTGCATCTGCTTTATCATTACATATACATGTACCTGCATATATAAGACTCTCACTTGTCTGAGAATCATAGTCCCACGTCAAGTTCCTTGATTAATTCCCCGCTCCTTCTCCAATTGGTTTGGCAATAGCTGGAGGGAAGGCATCAGGAGAGACCTGTAAGACTAAATGCAATTTGAAAAATAAACAAGAACTGACTATTTCCTTGTGTTTGTACAGAATTTAAGAAATATAGACCGGAGTGCAGGTATTGTATTGAAGAATAAATACTGCAGGGCTAGGCACAAACATTTTCTGTATCCTGAATGACTGAATGGATTTTGCAAAATCATCACTTCCATTTCCTACTATCAGTGCAGTGAACGAAACACTTAGTACAGACAAGGTAATGTATCAACGAATAAATACCGGATGAAATATTGACTTGTTCACGGTTTATAGAAGACGTGGATACAGTCATGTTTGAATGTTTGGTACACATGTATTTCAATTGTTGTGATACCTTCAAATCAACAGTGAAGGTTTCATATGAGGGGGAAATACTGATTTATTAACCCTACTCTAAATGTTAAATGAATTTCCAGAAGCCAGATGAGGGCACCCCTTCTTCACTGCAAAGAGGAGCTAGCTATAGGTCTTACTTAACCCGTGAGGGGCCTCGCTCTTTGGGCTCTAAAGAGGTTCCTGAGGTAAGTTTCAAATGTACATGCTCGAAATTGTGTGATATTGTGGGAAACTGGTATGACCAGATCGTCTCAGTGTGGGACACTCATATTTCAAAAAAAAAATTGATATTATTAATAAAAACGTATCATATTATATACCAGTGGATAGGGAATTTACTTATCTTTAATTTGGTATGTCATAAGTTCAAATTTTTATAATGCCTATCCACCATAATTCAAATGACATCATTTTTGTTTCAAAACGGTTTTTCAAAAGCTTTTAAAAATCAATTTTTTGTCAACATAAACAGAAGTTCAATATGTCCACTATTCTGATCAAATATAGCCCTCAATCTTGGCATAAACTTGTTGATATTATCATTGATCTGTTAGTTCTCCTCATACGTGGTAGTCGCAGAAGTTAGCATTAGGTGCTCTTGTTTGAGGGGGAAATTAAGGGGGATGATTCACTGCACTGAGGACTTATTCCTAATCTCATATTCTGTTAATTACATTTTCCAACAAGAAGGGGCTCCAGACAATAGATCCCACAAGACAGTAAAATATTTAAAGGAGAATGTGCCTCAATTCATACCCCCTTATCACTAGCCCCCCAGATCACCTGATGCCAACTTCTGCGACTGCCACGTATGGGGAGTGTATCATGAACTCATTACATCTTTTCAGTCCCTAAAGGACAGAATTGTTGAGAAGTGGAATTCACTGTCTCAACAGCATATCATTGATGCTACTGATCAGTTTAGGCCAATATTGGGGGCTATAATTGATCAAAGATCAAAATGGAGGACACATTGAACATCTATTTCTGTGGACAAAAAACTTGTTTTGCAAGTTTTTGAAAACCCGTTTTGAAACGAAAATGACATCATTTTTTGTATTATGGACACTGGTTGACATGTATTACAATAAATTTGAACTTATGATATACCAAATTAAAGAAAAGTAAATTCCCTATCCACTGGTATATAATATGACATGTTTTCGTAAATACAATCATTGTTTATTTTTGAAATACGAGTGTCCCATTTTTTTGGACCACCCTGTATGTATGTAGAGTATCAGAGTGTTTCAACTTCGAGTGATATAATTTTTATCAATGAATTTAGATCTTATATAGAGCCAAGTGATCAAAGTTAATGAGTTTCATATAATTTGCAAATGTGTCTGATAATGGTATTTAATTCATAAATGCACATGTGTCTAATAATGATTTTAGAAAAATATTGGATATGATATCAGAAATGTAACTGCTTGTTGTCATTGTGGGGTAAATTGTATTATTATATCATTGTTAGAATTTGTGTCCTTTGATTGGCTGATCCAGTACCATATGATCAAAAATACCAAAGCGTATTTCACAGCTCCCTTAATTTTTGAATTATAAAAGACGTATTACCTGGTGTATTGCCCGCCCGGGAATTCTGAATCGTCCCGTTTCGTCCAGTACAGTTGTGACGTGCATTAAAATGGCAGACGGAAAAAGATTTAAAAGTCTGAATTCCAATGAAAAGAACGACATCTTGAGGGATGTGCATTCTAAAAACACCATTAAATCAACGGAAAAGTCTTGGAACATTTTCAAGTGTTATGTGGACGAAAAAGATATCGAAATAGACGTTAAATGTATCGATAAAATTGTTCTGGATGGAATTTTAGAGGATTTTTTTCTTGAACTGCGAACGAAGGATGGGGAATATTACAAGCGTACCAGTCTGCAAAGTTAGCGAATGTCTAGCAATGATAAAATACAACAAATATTTCACTCTATGTTCGGGCAATACCTGTTGCACTTTCAATGATTTTTGCAGCATGTATTTCCCTCACCCTTCAGGCTGCGGGCAATACATGCTGCAAAATCATTGAAAGATGAACAGGTATTGCCCTCCATAGAATGAAATATTTGCTTAATATTTCTTTTACGTTGCCAATGCCATATATGCTAATATGTTCTATAATCTAGTAAACAATGTCTGGAAGGTAAAATTGTCTCACCATAGCCTTATGTTAACATTGTTTCAACATTGCTGTTTATAGTAATGTTATTTCTGCACTACTATATATGGTAATATTCTAAGATTGTGTCCATATATATAGCATATCCTACATGCCTATTTATGGTGATTTTGCCTCCGCTCCAGGGAGGTGCTAACTGCCTTGAAGGGCTGACGTTTGTCATCACAGGGGTGCTGGAGTCATTTGAAAGAGATGACCTGAAGAGTATCATAGAACGCTTTGGTGGCAAGGTCACTGGGAATGTTAGTAAGAAGACAACATATGTCGTAGCAGGGAGGGATGCAGGAACAGCCAAAATGTCTAAGGTATATGTGCTTAATCAGTTGCTTCTCTAAAGATATACACTCAATGCTCCCCAAAACATAATTAATTTTGTTTGTGGGCAACTCCATTTCCCATTTTCCCCTGTAAGTAAGGTTCATCAAACATGTGTTTCAGGCTGAACAGTTTAAAACTGAAATTCTGGATGAGGATGGAGTCTTAGATCTGATCCGGTCCAAACCTGGTAAAAAGTCGAAATATGAAATCATGGCTGAGAAGGAGGTAATTACTGGCAGTCTGCCATTTAAGTCATAGAGCATGTCATATATAATCAGCAATGCATTGCTCCATCATTAATAAAAATTATTGCTGGCTCTTTCATAAGTAAATATTCAGTATTTGTGGTGAGGTACTAACAATACATATACTGTATTTGTGAATCACTATATTGACAATTTTAATTGCAGGTTAAGGCATCACTGAATTCAGCCAAATCTTCACCAAAAATTTCAAAGTTTGACAGCCAATCAGAACGCTTATCACAGACTTCATCAAAATATGATAGCCAATCAGAACGCCTTACACAAGCAACTTCAAGCCAGGATAGCCAATCATCAAGTAGGACAGTAAATTCTCAAGAACAATCTGACCAATCAGGGCCCACACTCTTATGGGTAGATAAATATAAACCAACTTCACTTAAAAGTATTATAGGACAACAAGGTGACAAATCTAATGCAAAGAAATTATTTAATTGGTTGCGTGACTGGCATAAATATTGTGGGGAGGGTAAGGCAAAGACTGGACCCAGCAAGTGGGGTGAGGATGGGAGGGGGTACAGGGCTGCCTTATTGTCAGGGCCCCCTGGAATTGGCAAGACTACATCAGCCACACTCGTCTGTCAGGTACGTTTGTATGTTTTACATAATCATATTACTTTCATGCTCCATCGATTTCATGCAACTGTGGGACTTCACCCAATACCATCCCATCTCACTTTTCTAGTCTACTCATTTACAGAGAAATTGACTGACAGATTAATTTCCAATAGTAAGAGATGTTGCTTACATACAAGGGAAATTTAAAATGGCCATTTTGATTTTAAAGTGACAGTTGTGTACCTTGTTTTATTTCAGCACAGTTTACATGATAAAGTATGAAATGAATGAGTCGTACTTTTGATTTATAGCTCATTACAATTTAAAAATTATTCTTGTTTCCAGGAAGCGGGTTTCACTTATGTTGAGTTGAATGCCTCTGATACCAGATCTAAGAAGAGTCTACAGTCAGAAGTAGCAGAAGCACTGAATAACCACACTCTCATGGATTACTTCTCTACTTCGGGTATGTTTCATTTATCTATATGTAAACTATAGGTTTAGGGTATTGTCTTTGAGCAGTGACAATGATATATCTGAATAATAGTTGTATACATCCTGTGCAAATGCTGATCAAAGTTTAAGATTGCTTGTGTTAAAGTACATGCATGAACTTGTGCTTTTTATGTCACCAACAAAAATGGTGAAGTCTCCAACATTTTGGGGATGGTGTTCGGCGGTCAGCATCTGTAACAAATGGCAGGTGTGACAAGTTACTTCATTTTGCATGATAATGCCTTATTATTCCAGGTAAGGTGAAGAGTAGCCATGAGATAGGATCTAAGCATGCACTGCTTATGGATGAAGTCGATGGGATGGCTGGTAATGAGGACAGAGGGGGAATGCAGGTTAGTATGTATGTTTCAGGAATGTTGTCTCACAATTACCTAGGTGTGGAAATCTTCATTTCTTCAAATAAATGATAAACTCTATTCATTCTCAACGATTCATTACTCAGAAATATAAAAATGAATTTGAATTATGGAAATATCCCTATTAAAACATCCAGCTGTTATTGTTAAATGTTTGAGGTTTGGCAGGCAGCCCATACACTGTAGCTCAGTTAGTGTGGCTAGTGGGTTTGATTGACCAACAGATATGGTTCGTGGTTTATATAATATTGGGAACCAATCCACATTGCCTACCACTATGCTTGTTTGCTTTCAGGAACTCATTGGCTTGATTAAGAGCACCAAAATCCCAATAATTTGTATGTGCAATGACAGACAGCATCCCAAGATCAGATCTCTAGTCAACTATTGCTTTGACCTAAGGTTCCAGAGACCCAGAGTAGAACAAATCAAGGTACAATATCATTTTCAATCGATTTATTAAGCAAACCAAGATACCAAGAACAAAAAATGTAATTTTACAGAATGGGAAATTTAAATTATCTGCTACTCCTTTTTTACACCTCATAGTTGTTGTAATGTTGTAGTTCATAATCACACACAATGTCCCCCTTTTCCACTCCAGGCTGCTATGATGACCATTGCATACAGAGAGAAGTTGAAGATTCCTCCACCCGCAATGAATGAAGTTATAGAAGCTTCCAACCATGATGTTAGACAGGTTAGTCAGATGGATCTGAAAATGACAGAAAAATTTGAAATAAATTTTATTGATCCATTTATATTCTGGACTTGTGTGACATTTTGAGGTGACATCAGTTGACAAGGCATACATGTATACACTAATAATATAGAGAATCACACCTACATGTACAGGTACATTCATGCAGTTTTTTTTTGTATTACCAATGTTCCAATTAGAATAATTAGTTCAGTTAACAACATTTATCTTCCCTTATATGGTTTGTAGGTCTTGCACAACCTTGAGATGTGGAGTGCAAAAGAGAAGGCACTAAGCAATGAACAAATCAAATCAGATGCCAAGAAGGCTCAAAAAGATCTTAAATTGGTAGGTTATCTTAATTAACACTAAACTTGTGCAACTGAAAATCAACTAAAAGCAACTAAATATATTCATCTAAATATATTTATATTTTAGTTGCAATGGTCTGTTAGTATAAAGAGGTGTGTCAATTCGTGTTAGAATTACATCATTTAGAAAGGAGGCCCTTGAAGGACAAGAATGTTATGCACAATTTCCAATGTTGGATACAATCTCTTTTAATATTTTAAAAAATCTACACTGATGAAAAATAATTGCACTATCCATTAGACCCATTACAAATCAATAGACATTTCTCCATCATTAAATGAAATTCTATATTCATGATAATGAAAATATGTTAATCATATTGTAGGGTCCATTTGAAGTGTGTAGGAAGGTTTTCTCTAATCAAGATCATCAGAGCATGAGTCTGAATGACAAGTCAGATCTATTCTTCCATGACTATAATATAGCTCCTCTTTTTGTACAAGAAAATTACATTACTGCAAACGCTTTTGCTGCAAGGTAAGGACATTTTTTCATCTGTCTTGCGTTGGAATTGTTTTTTTGTGAATAGAAATAAATGTTTAAATTAAGTGCTTAACAAGTTCAATTCCATAAAATCTAAAAAGGAGTAACAATCTATGCATTTGATTTCTGTTTGGTTTCTGTAACAATTGTTACATTTTTTAACCATAATTATCCCATCGAACGAAGTTCGGAGGGATATAGGGAATGCCTCCGTCTGTATGTAAGTCCATCCGTCTGTCTGGGCAATTACTCAAATACCGTTGGCCCGATTTTGTTCATATTTTGTAAACATATGCCCTATGGGGGTAGAAGTTCTGCTCGAAAGCCGATTTTCAAAATGGCGGCTCATTCAAAAATGGCGGCATTTTAGAGCAGATTATACAGTAATTTAGATACAATATGTAAAACTGTAATAGCTGTAATAGCTAATAGCTGTATTAAATGTAAAAAATTATATAAGACATTGATAAAGCTAGAAATGTAGATATTAAAGAAGCACATGGCAGCCATCTTGAAAAGATTTTTGCTATAACTCGAAAAGTAGTGCAGCGATTTTGTTCATATTTTGTATGTGAATACTATAAGCATGGCACACTGTCTAATGACACTTTTGGTAGAAGGCAGCCATTTTTCAAAATGGCCGCCATTTTAACGTATTTTACTATAACTCGAAAAGTAGCGGAGCGATTTTGTTCATATTTGGTATGTGAATACTATAAGCATGACATACTTTCTTATGACACTTTTGGTAGAAGGTGGTCATTTTGAAAAATGGCTGCCATTTTTGCTATATACTTTGTTTGTAAAAATGAAAGCCATAGCTGTTCGATGGGATTTGCTACGCTTTGGTGTTGCTGTTGTCTAGTTGTAACTTGTAACAGCCTGTGATGGTAATGCCTTGTTTACAAGTTTACAATTCCCATGTATATTCCTGCTAAATGTAAATACTCTTTACAGAGGAGACATCAAGAAACAGTTAGATTTACTAAGTAAGACTGCAGATAGCATTGCTTCAGGTGACCTTGTGGACAAAAAGATAAGGAATGAACAAGCCTGGTCCATGCTGCCCTTACAGGTAATTCCGATGGCAACCAGTTGAGAACTTTGAAAATCATGAAATTGTGATATATTTTGGATTTTTTCATTTCAGTTAGAATAAAAATGTGGTATATTATAAGTTTGCTCAAAATCAATTCTCATAATATGATAGATACAATATCATTGTGTAGAACCATTGTCATGCTTCTAACTATGTGTACAGGTTAAATACTAGTACCCACTTCATCTATATTTTGATTAGATTTTTTATTTGTTCTTTAGCAGAGATGATACACCTTATGCTTTTCAAATCATTTTCAAAAATGTTTTGTTTTGTGCTTGAATACTTTTTGCTTTGGCTCATTTATTTTTTTTACATCTTGTAATGATTTGTTCAAATGTGCAGGGTTCTAAACCATAATTGGTAACTCAAGTTAACTCACAGCCCAATTCAACTCTGACCCTAGTCACAGTGAGAATGTGTAAAACCTAAAATTGACCAATTAAGATAACGCAGCGATCACATTCATTAATATGGTCATGACAGGATTATGGGACATTCTATTGATTTAATAACCAAATAAGGATATATTTGTCTCACTGTTGTTGATGGTTGGTGCTGTTGCAGTTTCTGGTGTTGTACTCTCTGTTACATTTTCTTTTCTTCTTGATTCTGATGTTGTAATCTCTGTTGTTGTACTCTCTGCTGTTACATTTTCTTTTCTTCTTGATTCTGATGTTGTAATCTCTGTTGTTGTACTCTCTGCTGTTACATTTTCTTTTCTTCTTGATTCTGATGTTGTAATCTCTGTTGATGTACTCTCTGCGGTTACATTTTCTTTTCTTCTTGATTCTGATGTTGTAATCTCTGTTGTTGTACTCTCTGCGGTTACATTTTCTTTTCTTCTTGATTCTGATGTTGTACTCTCTGTTGTTACATTTTCTGGTGTTGCATTTTCTAAATACATGTAAGTATATCATTCACTTTTACAGCAGAGATGATTCACCTGATACTTTTTAAATCATTTTCAAAAATATTTTTTTTGTGTTTGAACACCTTTTTACATCTTGTAATGTATTGATCAAATGTGCAAGGTTCTGAACCCTATATTGGTAACTGGATAACTCAGGTTCCAAGTCAACTCTGATCCTACACATTTAAAATATGTTAAGAAATTTGATTTGATTTGCACAATTTATATTAATAGTTTAAGTCAGATTAGGATATTCTGAAAGAATTTCTTTAAATTTATCCAGTCAGTAGGATACATGGAGTTAATACCCTAATGTACATTCTCCATAAATATGAATTCATCCGTAAGTTTATACATTGTATATCATACATATTTATACATTTTGATCTATTTTACTGGACACACAATGAAAGATATTTGTGAAGTAAATTCAGCTCACCTTGTACAGTTAATCTGACTTTCCATACTACTGGTGTTTTTGAACTGACTCGACACTCATAGATTCCATCATCTGATAATTTTGCATTTTCAATAATTAGACTCGATTCATTTGACCCTGGGTTATGCTCAGCTCTTATCCTTTCATCGTAGACAAATGTGAACAAGCCAACAGTAAGAAGAACATTGTCAGAACTTCGTTTCCAAATCACCTAGACAATCGCCAATAAGAAACAACAAGGATACATTGTGGTTAGCTTAAATATATATTATCAGATGAAGAAATGCATTAGAAATTATTGATAAATGATTGATTTATTCATGCAAGAAAACCTGTCTCAGTGAACACCTGTCTCAAGTAAACACCATATCTGTCACCATGTTAAAAAAACATTCTGTAGTGAATATCCATTTTTCATTGAACACTTTTTGTGTTGTTATGCATAATCTTTACTAGAAGCAAACATTAGTGGAATCCCACACTTACAGTTCTGGTTCCTAGAATCCCCACATGACATGTTAATTTTGCTCGTCCACCCAAATCAACAGAGGTATTGCTTGGAGTATTATCTTTAAAGTATGGCAGCCAGTGTTTACGGCGAAACTCATGATGCTCTATAAAATATTAAGGCATCAACATGCTTGAAACGGTCATTATTATTATTTTATTTTAATGCAAGGTTATTAAATACTGCCATTATCTGTCCCAAAAACCATTTCTGAATTGAATTGGTTCAGAAGCATTTGATAATAAATCAGCATTTGGCTATGGAGCAAGCTGAATTAACTTGTTATTAACCAATATTAGCATTGAAGCTATGGAAATTCATAGTAGTTATAAGTCACTCAAAATGTAGGCATCCTGTTCATGTTTGAGTAATAAATTATGCTCGCTAATTTGACCATCTACATGTTATTGTAGATATGTTTTATTATCAAAGTGTATTGTCATGATTTTTGACAGCAGGACAATCATAAGGACATTCTAGTAATTTAATAAGCAAGTAAGGATATATTTGTCTCACTTCTGTTGATGGTTGGTGCTATTGTAGTCTCAAGTGTTGTACTCTCTGTTATTACATTTTCTGTTGTTGAATTCTCTGATGTTGTACTCTCTGTTGTTACATTTTCTGGTGTTGCATTTTCTAAATACATGTAAGTATATCATTCACTTTTACAGCAGAGATGATTCACCTGATACTTTTTAAATCATTTTCAAAAATATTTTTTTTGTGTTTGAACACCTTTTTACATCTTGTAATGTATTGATCAAATGTGCAAGGTTCTGAACCCTATATTGGTAACTGGATAACTCAGGTTCCAAGTCAACTCTGATCCTACACATTTAAAATATGTTAAGAAATTTGATTTGATTTGCACAATTTATATTAATAGTTTAAGTCAGATTAGGATATTCTGAAAGAATTTCTTTAAATTTATCCAGTCAGTAGGATACATGGAGTTAATACCCTAATGTACATTCTCCATAAATATGAATTCATCCGTAAGTTTATACATTGTATATCATACATATTTATACATTTTGATCTATTTTACTGGACACACAATGAAAGATATTTGTGAAGTAAATTCAGCTCACCTTGTACAGTTAATCTGACTTTCCATACTACTGGTGTTTTTGAACTGACTCGACACTCATAGATTCCATCATCTGATAATTTTGCATTTTCAATAATTAGACTCGATTCATTTGACCCTGGGTTATGCTCAGCTCTTATCCTTTCATCGTAGACAAATGTGAACAAGCCAACAGTAAGAAGAACATTGTCAGAACTTCGTTTCCAAATCACCTAGACAATCGCCAATAAGAAACAACAAGGATACATTGTGGTTAGCTTAAATATATATTATCAGATGAAGAAATGCATTAGAAATTATTGATAAATGATTGATTTATTCATGCAAGAAAACCTGTCTCAGTGAACACCTGTCTCAAGTAAACACCATATCTGTCACCATGTTAAAAAAACATTCTGTAGTGAATATCCATTTTTCATTGAACACTTTTTGTGTTGTTATGCATAATCTTTACTAGAAGCAAACATTAGTGGAATCCCACACTTACAGTTCTGGTTCCTAGAATCCCCACATGACATGTTAATTTTGCTCGTCCACCCAAATCAACAGAGGTATTGCTTGGAGTATTATCTTTAAAGTATGGCAGCCAGTGTTTACGGCGAAACTCATGATGCTCTATAAAATATTAAGGCATCAACATGCTTGAAACGGTCATTATTATTATTTTATTTTAATGCAAGGTTATTAAATACTGCCATTATCTGTCCCAAAAACCATTTCCGAATTGAATTGGTTCAGAAGCATTTGATAATAAATCAGCATTTGGCTATGGAGCAAGCTGAATTAACTTGTTATTAACCAATATTAGCATTGAAGCTATGGAAATTCATAGTAGTTATAAGTCACTCAAAATGTAGGCATCCTGTTCATGTTTGAGTAATAAATTATGCTCGCTAATTTGACCATCTACATGTTATTGTAGATATGTTTTATTATCAAAGTGTATTGTCATGATTTTTGACAGCAGGACAATCATAAGGACATTCTAGTAATTTAATAAGCAAGTAAGGATATATTTGTCTCACTTCTGTTGATGGTTGGTGCTATTGTAGTCTCAAGTGTTGTACTCTCTGTTATTACATTTTCTGTTGTTGAATTCTCTGATGTTGTAATCTCTGTTCGTACATTTTCTGGTGTTGAATTCTTTGGTGTTGTGCTCTCTAATGTTGTACTCTCTAATGTTGTACTATTTTCTAGTGTTGTAAAAACATGGTCTTGCGTAGTTTCAGAATTATTCACTACACGTGAACATGCATATCCAAAGATTGCGCTACAAATAAATCAATGTTTTAAATAATAACCTGCCATTGATCAAAATTCTATTTTGCAGGTGAGTTCTGCCTGTCATCAAATCATAGTTGTGGTTTATCTAGCATTACATGTTTAACCTAACATTAAATATGTCTTGTCGCTATAGTTCACTGGTTAAACTACAGTTGGAAACAGAAACTATTGTTAAATATTGTTCACACTCACACTCATGTTGCAAACTCATCATGAGACTAATTTATTCTACTTCTATCTGCTGTTGTTTTCATATACAGTGTATGTTGAAATTGTTGTCAAGCTATATTGTAATTGTATTGTAATATTTGTAATAACGTTTCAAGCTTACCTAAGTATCAAGAGTGGCTTCATCCTAGTGCTACACTGTGTATCTGCTAGTTGATGGTTTTATAATACAATGGTAGATTGACAGTGTGTTCTGTTTCCAAATTGATGCCACGTATGAATTAGACATATGGAAATGAGCCTAATTCTTTAAACAAATGGTTAATGAATTGCCCCTTTAAATTGAGAAAGTATTTCCTGTTATTAAGTCAGCCTATATGATATTTAGTTTGCTTTATGAATATCAATTTCCTATCCCATTATGATTTATAGACCTAGACCTTATAGACCCAGTGTTGATTGGCCTCGGATTGTTCATTTCAAAATCCTAATGAGGTCCAACTTAAAAAGCTGTCAGGAATAAACATGCCGGTTCTTTTATTGGCTCTGTTGGCCTTTTCATATTTATAGCAAGTTTCGAATGTCTACTATCACTATGACAACAATAGACAACTTCATCAGTCTCAAGAAGAGTCGAGAAGATTTATCAGGTTATTGCAAATAAGATTACGGTGCTTCTTTGACCCAAGAGGATTTAAAAAGTCCTGTAAAAAAACAGTCAGTCTAATCTTAATGTTATGCTGTGTGCAACCAGGTGGTGATATTTTAACATGTATGATAAATATATTTTAAGTTCAGTACTATTAGGTTTAGACTATTACACACAATATTTAAATGATTTTTGATTATTGACTACTTTTAATTGAAAAAATAAATTCTAAGAGTTTCTCTTCAGCCTTCATATAGGTCATCGCTATTTGCAATAAAGAAAACAATACTGTTGTCAAATCTTTTATACTTTGGGTTGATGGTTTTTATGTCCCCACCACATAGTGTGGGGCCATATTGTCGGCCTAGGCGTGTCTGTCTGTCAGTCTGTCCATCTGTAGGTCCAACAGTTTCCTCCTAAACTGCTAGAAATACCATCTTCAAATTTTCAGGGATAAATAATGAGTACATACAGATGCGGTACAGAAAATTTTGACTCAATACCTACTTCCAGTGTCAGCCATTTTGAAGTCTAGTGCTAAAATCTGTGTCTGCAAACTTTAAGAAAAACTGCTTTTCAGATAATTTTAAAACTTTAACATCTTGTTCAACTCACTTCATTCTACATCTGATTAGGTTTTGAACCTATTTTTGCTCAGTCATGGCAGCCATTTTGAATGTCTTTTGAAAGTTGGCACGCGATAATACTTTGTATCATTTTGAATGGTGTTTTTGAGTTTTCATACTTCAACTATTTAGTAGCTTTATGAATAATTTCAGGTGTACTTTTGTATAATTTTGTGAAAAGAAATAAGCAAAAACTCATTATCACTTTTTTATTGTCAGCCATTTTGGATTTTCCATCCTAAAATCTTAAAGTCTTAATTGTCTATGCGTTTTCAGGTGAACCGTTTGGTAGATCAATTTCAAATTTTCAGGGATGATTCTTTGTACTATAGTATGAAAATATAGATCTGATTAGTTTTTTTGGCATTCTGGGTAAATGTCAAGGCAGCCATTTTGGATTTTCAGTCCTAAAATCTGTAAAGTCTTGTCTTTTTCAGGTTTTTCTTTAAAGGAGTTGTATCGATATGGAGAACTGAATTCAACAATGTTTTTCTCTTAAACCAATCATTAAAAACATTATGTAAAAAAACACGGTATTTTATGTAATGTTGACTGATTGACAACAATTTAATGCGAAAATTATTTAGAAATATTTTATATACCGTATTTGCCGTAGTAGGCGCCCGGGCGCTTAAAGTAAGTCAAAACAGTTCAAAAAGTTGTCCTTATTAGCGCCCATAATGTCCCGCCTGAGAAAAGATGCCGGAGTTTCACTTTCAGTTTAGAAAAAAATTGGAAGAAAATTTTGGTTCGTGAAATTCGCCACGTTTGCATGGATCCTGGGGTTCATACCTATCCCACTCTTTTTGCTACACTAATGGAATATAAAATATGTACTTACATCAGTATTTTACTCTATAAATCCATAGGAAAACGGACTTATACCTGCTGAATCGAATTCGAATTTTTTTCTCAGCCTCGTTTTGGAATTACATGTCGGGACCCTATTATCGCCCACTATTACGTTTGACCAAAATGATCGTTGATTCTTCAACCAGGGACTCACCCTCGGGCCTCCAAAAGTCTAGGGGGGGGGGGGGGGGGGGGGCGCTAATAGGAACATGGGCGCCAATTACGGCAAATATTGTAACTGTTTTTGTTAACATTTTTTTGTTTTTCTAGTGCAATTGTTTTTGCTCCTTCCTACCAATTCTTGAGAATGAAATAAAATGTCTTTCCGAACCTTGTTGGAACAAAATAGCATATACAACATGTTTTTAGACCTCTCAATATTATAGTTATACAAAGACATTTTGGGTTGATTTTAAAAAAGTATTCAAAAAATTAGATAAAATAGATAAAAATCAAGATAAACCTTTTATTTCATTAACAAGATACTTTTTTAAAATCAACCAAAATCTCCTTTGTACAATTACAATATTGAGAGACCTAAACATGTTTTGTTTATGTCTTTTTGTTCCAATGAGGTTCGGAAAGATGTTTCATTTCACTCTGGAAACATAATATCAAGAACAAAACAAGTGTTTGATGTGTTTTCTAAAACAATATAGATGAAATTATATATATATATATTTTCAATTGTATTGTTACCCTTCAAAAGATGACCATTAAATTGACAATGTGTAAAATTTTCAGAATTTTTTGATGACTGGTTTAAGAGAAATGTGTGTTCAAAAAGTTTGCCATATCGATACCCATCTTTTTCAGGAATGACTCTTAGGATGAAAATCTTGGAACTGATTTTTCTCTTAAAATCTTGTCTTTTCAACTGATTAGTGTTAGGCATTCAGGATGAAAAATTTGCAGTTTATAGGCAGGATCACCCATCAGTGGGGACATGTTGTACACATTTGTGTTCTTGTATTTTGTATTTTTTCAAATTACATGTATGCTAGGATGTCTCAGTCAATATTAAGAGTCTCATTATGGATTTGATGAGTCTGTCCTGTTTCACATTTTTCTTATTGCATCATAAGGTTTGGTGCTGGTCCATCGCAGAACTTATACTCCACATCTTGCTGTGCCATTGACTTCCCTTCATCAAAAATCCCAATCATATTCTTTATGATTTTAAGAGAGCAGTTTGTTACCTTCACAAACTCTTTGACAAGACATGTCTCAACCATTAATACAGTTTTCTTGGTGCTGAAATACAAAGCTGCTATAGCAATCACCAAATTAGACAAATTGATTTTAGATGTTCACAGAAAATATAATTATTCCACCGAACGAAGTTGGAGAGAGATATAGAAAAGCCGTCCTTCCGTCCGTTTGTGTGCTGAGCAATAACTCAAATACCGGTTTACAGATTTCATTCAAATTTTATAGGTTTCTTATCCCTTATGGGTGTAGGACCTCTGCTCGAGAAGAAATTTTCAAGATGGCCACTTAATTCAAAATGGAGGCCATTTTTCAGAAAAAATTTAATCTTTGATAACTCAAATACTAGTGGATGGATTTGGTTCAAATTTTATATGCTGTTGCCTGGGTACAAAGGAGCCTTGCTCAAGAAAACAATTTCAAGATGGCCACCATATTTTAAAATGGCTGCCATTTTCGTGAAAAAAAACATTACCTTTGATAACTCAAATACCATTGAATGGATTTGGTTCAAATTTAACATGCTGATGCCTAGGGATATAGGAGCTCTGCTCTGGAAGGGATTTTCAAGATGGCAGCCAAATTTCAAAATGGCTGCCGTTTTTATTCAAAGAACGTAACCTTTGATAACTCAAATACCAGTTGACGGATTTGGTTCAAATTTTATATGCTGATGCCTAGAGACAAAGAAGTTCTGCTCAAGAAGACATTTTTCAAGATGGCCACTGAATTTCAAAATGGCCCCCCATTTTTCGTAAAAAAACATAATCATTGATAACTCAAATACCAGTGGATGGATTTGGTTCCAAATTTTATATGCTGATGTTTAGAGAAAAAGGAGATCTGCTTCAGAAGAAATTTCAAAGGTGTCAGCTGAATTTCAAAATGGCTGCCATATTTCATAAAAAGGGTAATCTTTGATAACTCAAATACCATTGGCCAGATTTACTTCAAATTTTATATACTGATGCCTAGAGATAAAGGAGCTCTGCTTGAGAAGAAATTTTCAAGGTGGCTGCTATTTATTGAAATCTCCGCCATTTTTCATTAAACATGTAATCCTTGATAACTCAAGTACCAGTTGACGGATTTGTATTAAATTGTATATGCTGATACCTTGAGAAATCTAAAGATGACAGCTGAATTTCAAAATGGCAATCATGTTTCATAAAATCATGATCTTTGATAATTCAAATACCAGTAGATGGATTTGGCTCAGATTTTATATGGCCGCTATTTATCAAAACATGTTTTGTTCGGTGGGATTTGCTACTCTGTGGAGTTGCTGTTTTTCTAGTTTTCATAAAAAAAATTCATGAATGTGAATCTGAAAAAAGGACAAATCGTTGTTACAGTGACAAGGTAGTTCATATTTGTGCTTATGTTCCTCTGATCATTATGATTATTAAGCTGCGCTGGTTTATTGGATTAGACCTCTGTAATACCCAGAGTGACGGATATATGATGGAATTTCTCACTTTAATGGCTCTACCTACCTCTGACAAAATTTGATCAAGTAAGGCAAATCTACAGGGTGGTCCAAAAAATTATTCACAATTTTTTTCATATAACTGTCTTACAAACATTTAAGTTTTGTGTGATGTACTTTTTTCTAATATACAACTATTTGATGAGCATTCGAGCTGCTTGGTGCTTAATCTGCTTTGGATATTCTCACCTTGAGTTTGGTAATAACCCCGTCCAACATGAATGTTTGTAAGACAGTTCTATGAAAACAAATTGTGAAATTTACCTATTAATAGAAAATGGTACGTATCAGAAGTGTTAATGATTTTTTGGACCACCCTGCACATTAAAATGAGTATAATTAGTCTAGGTTCACTATCTTTGTCAAGGTGAACACCAAAGATTGTAGATTAATTAAGTAAAATGGCAAAAACTGTTAACAAATGCTCTGGTATTTGAAATGTTATTATCCCAAAGAAAACAACTTGAAAAGTAGTTTAGCGATTTTGTTCATATTTGGTATGTTTCATATTTTATATGTGAATACTATAAGCATGGCGCACTGTCTAATGACACTTTTGGTAGTAGGCGGCCATTTTGAAAATGGCCACCGTTTTTTTACTATAACTTGAAAAGTAGTGAAGCGATTTTGTTCATATTTGATATATGAATACTCATGAGCCTTGCACACTGTCTCATGACACTTCGGATAGTAGGCGGCCATTTTAAAAAATGGCCGTCATTTTTACATTTTTTACTATAACTCGAAAAGAAGTGGAGCGATTTTGTTCATATTTGATATGTGAATACTCTAAGCATGGCACATTGTCTAATAAAACTTTGGGGAGTAGTGGAAAATTTTGAAAAATGGCCACCATTTTTATGTGTGTTATTTTACAAGTACATATGTGCGATTTTTCAAAAATTGTATAGGTGGCTACTTAAAAGCCGTTGTTCTGGTTGTGACTTACAATTCACAAACATCCAGGTCTAAATAACTGCGAAATTCTTTGGTCTTTATGAGTGTTCCTACACATGTCTTGGTCACTGCATTCATACTCTCTAAGCTAGTACTCCAGCAATCACCTGGAATACATCACAGACCATCATTGCAATAGTCTTGCATTCAGCTCCTGTATAATACAAGTTGTCCATTTTTATTATGTCACCACCAAAAGTGGTGACATATTGTTATGGTCTCCGTTTTTTTATGTCACCACCAAAAGTGGTGACATATTGTTATGGTCTCCGTTTTTTTATGTCACCACCAAAAGTGGTGACATATTGTTATGGTCTCCGTTTTTTTGCGACGGCGGTTGGCGTCCGGCGGTTGGTGGTTGGCGTCCGGCGGTTGGCGTCCGGCGGTTGGCGTCCGGCGGTTGGCGTCCGGCGTCTGTAACAATTTCTTACAACTTCCTATAACTTAACAAATACTGTTTAGACTAACTTCAATTTTTTTCTAAATCATCTACATGTTCTCAGAAGTTCAAATCTGACTTTAGATTTGACATTTGACCTTCAATGACCTTCTCAAGGTCAAAAAGGTCTTTTTTCAACTTGCTTCACATTGACTAAATTTTTTTCAAAATCATCTACATGTTCTCAGAAATTCAAATCTGACTTTAGATTTGACATTTGACCTTCAAATCTGACTTTAGATTTGACATTTGACCTTCAATGACCTTCTCAAGGTCAAAAAAGGTCAAAAAGGTCTGTTTTCAACTTGCTTCAAATTGACTAAATTTTTTTTTCAAAATCATCTACGTGTTCTCAGAAATTCAAATTTGACTTAAGATTTGACTTGAGATTTGACATTTGACCTTCAATGACCTTCTTAAGGTCAAAAAAGGTCAAAAAGGTCTGTTTTCAACTTGCTTCAAATTGACTAAAAAAAAATTTCAAAATCATCTACGTGTTCTCAGAATCTTAAATCTGACTTTAGATTTGACTTAAGATTTGACATTTGACCTTCAATGACCTTCTCAAAGTCAAAAAAGGTCAAAAAGGTATTTTTTCAACTTGCTTCAAATTGACTAAATTTTTTTTCAAAATCATCTACATGTTCTCAGAATTTCAAATCTGACTTTAGATTTGACATTTGACCTTCAATGACCTTCTCAAGGTCAAAAAAGGTCAAAAAGGTCTGTTTTCAACTTGCTTCAAATTGACTAAATTTTTTTTTCAAAATGATCTACGTGTTCTCAGAAATTCAAATCTGACTTAAGATTTGACATTTGACCTTCAATGACCTTCTCGAGGTCAAAAAAGGTCAACAAGGTCTGTTTTCAACTTGCTTCAAATTGACTAAAAAAAAATTTCAAAATCATCTACGTGTTCTCAGAAATTCAAATCTGACTTTAGATTTGACTTAAGATTTGACATTTGACCTTCAATGACCTTCTCAAAGTCAAAAAAGGTCAAAAAGGTCTTTTTTCAACTTGCTTCAAATTGACTAATTTTTTTTTTCAAAATCATCTACATGTTCTCAGAAATTCAAATCTGACTTTAGATTTGACATTTGACCTTCAATGACCTTCTCAAGGTCAAAAAGGTCTTTTTTCAACTTGCTTCAAATTGACTAATTTTTTTTTCAAAATCATCTACATGTTCTCAGAAATTCAAATCTGACTTTAGATTTGACATTTGACCTTTAATGACCTTCTCAAGGTCAAAAAGGTCTGTTTTCAACTTGCTTCAAATTGACTAAAAATTTTTTTCAAAATCATCTACTTGTTCTCAGAAATTCAAATCTGACTTTAGATTTGACTTAAGATTTGACATTTGACCTTCAATGACCTTCTCAAAGTCAAAAAAGGTCAAAAAGGTCTTTTTTCAACTTGCTTCAAATTGACTAAATTTTTTTTTCAAAATCATCTACGTGTTCTCAGAAATTCAAATCTGACTTTAGATTTGACATTTGACCTTCAATGACCTTCTCAAGGTCAAAAAAGGTCAAAAAGGTCTGTTTTCAACTTGCTTCAAATTGACTAATTTTTTTTTTCAAAATCATCTACATGTTCTCAGAAATTCAAATCTGACTTTAGATTTGACATTTGACCTTTAATGACCTTCTCAAGGTCAAAAAGGTCTGTTTTCAACTTGCTTCAAATTGACCAAATTTTTTTTTCAAAATCATCTACATCTTTTCAGAAGTTCAAATTTGACTTTACAAGTTCTCAGAAATTCAAATCTGACTTAAGTTTGAACTCATAATATTGTGAGCAACTAGGTGGTGACATTTTGTCATGTTAATGCCTTGTTGTTGTTAATTTTTATTAGGTACAATATTCAAGCCTGATTTCAAGTCATTTGACAGTCACCGAAAATCAAAGAACAAACTTTGAATTAGAAATAAACACATTTTGGAGACTATAACATTGAGATATCACAGAAATTTGATCTTTGGTGCACATGTTTAATTTTGGCATAATAATGAAATTATATTCATCTTACGTTCATCAGCAGTGTCTACAGGGCCTGTGAAGTTGAACATATAGGCTGGTGTTGTGAAGCCATTCACCACAAGGGTATGCACAAAGAAAGAGCTACAATTAAGTAAATTAATAAATGAACAACAGCAATAGGAATTGAGATGTCAATCAAATAGAATACTTTAACATGAAAAAAACTTCACCATGAAACAAATAATATTTCATCAAATGCTTCTGAATGGAGCAACCAAATATTTCAATACCTACAACAATATCATTGAACTTCCTCTCATTAAAGTGACTGACTGCAATTGCTTGGGATTTTTAAGATAAATATGCTTGCCCCTATAGTACTGAAAAAAGTCATATTTGGCATATTTTGATCAAATTTGAGGATAAAACCCTGAACACTGAAAACAAGACTCTCAAACTTCTCAAACTTACCTTAGTAGCAAGAGAGTCTTCATTCTACTGCTTATCTACTGATGTTTTAAGACTTAATGAAAGCCTCATATGTTCATAAAATAATAGCTTTATTAGGCTAGAATCATGGAGTTGAGCCAGTTGTATGTATAATATAATGAATGGTCTTTTTATTGAATAATTAATTATTTATGAATGTAGGATATTGATTCTTATTAGGGAATCCATTTGTCTCTCAGTTATTTCATCCATCCATCCATTCATCTGTCCATTATTCATACATCCATCCATTTATCCATCGTCCATCCATCCATCCATTTATACATGTGTCCATCCATCCATATATCAATCCATCCAATCCATTCAAGTTATATATCCATCCATCTGTTTATACATCTGTCCACCCATCTATCCATCAATCCATCTATCAGTCCATTCATCCATCCATCCATCCATCCATCTATTCATCCATCCATCCATCCATTTATAGATCCATCCATCTATCCATCCATCCATCCATCCATCCATCTATTCATTCATCCATTTATTTGAAAAGAGGGATCCATAATGGTAATAGATTTTATGCAAAAAATAATTCTCAAATATAGTATGCTTGAGAAATGTTGCCTACTTACAGACATTTGATTTGATTTGCTACACCTTGGCATTGCCGTTATATAGTTTTTTTTCGTCATTTGCAGTTGGATTTAGACCATTGTACTATTTTCTTCCAAATTATCATATTATTTTAAATTAGTAACTGTTTAATAATCACTGGTCAATTACAATTAAGAGAAGGATATTACATTTTTGAATGTTCATCATTATTTCCTTCAATATAGGTTTTAATTTGAAAAGTGTCATGAACCCCTACAAAATTATAAGTTATGGGCATAAACAAAAGCTACATTTTCAAGTCCACTTACTCATCAGATCCACCCTAATGTTGGAAAAAGGGAAGCAAAACTTATTTTCAAGTTTGTTTTTCTCTAGGAGCATACTTATAATGCTAATATGTTTACCTCAATCTAAATACATGTACTCAATTCTAATCAGAGTGGTCAATTGTTTGGTTTTTTTTATAGCTGATTAGTATCAATTAAGACAGACAGAAAAATGGTGATATCATAATGCAACCAAGAAACATACATGATACCAAATATAGAAAACACTTGATTTTGTGGATTTTCTTAGCAAAGCAATAGACCTCTGTATTTTGGCTTACTGTCAGAGAACACTTGACATCGATTTAAACCAGAAAATAACTGCAAACGTTATATATGTAGTATATTTCAAATGAATATAATTTTTGATATTTATGTAATTATAGGCCATGTTTGCCAGTGTTCTACCTGGGGAGTATATGTCAGGCTCTTGTGGTCAGATCAACTTCCCCTCCTGGCTGGGCAAAAACTCAACAAAAACCAAGACAAATAGAATTCTACAAGAGCTACGCACGCATATGAGACTCAAGTAAGGATGCACTGTTCAAATAGTTTAGTTTTGCTTCTTTTAAAAGAGAGCTTCATCTGCTCTCAGAATTAAATCCATTGATTTAACCTCACCCATATTGTTTCTTTTTTCATAAAATAAAATTAGAATTATGAGGAAAGCTTAGTTTTGATATTGTAGAATAAACACATCAACAACATGTATTGTTTTCTGACTTAGTATTAAGTGTTCAATATAGTGTACTGAACAATGAAAATCCCCCCCCCCGACCAACAAAATCCTCGAAAGTTTTCATAAAATAAAATTACACTCATGAGGAAAGCCTAGTTTTGATTTTACACTCTTGCCCTTATCCTTTAAGGCAAGACATTGGCAATTCAGGATAACCTTATTGATTCAGTTTATACACTAATACACTCTCATATGGAATTTTGGTTGTGACCATTATCAATGCAATAAACATGAATACCAAATATTACCTGCTTTTCTCCAGGGTATCTTGTGCAAAAGAGGGCCTCAGTATGGAATATCTCCCCCACATGAAACACCGTCTGACAAAGCCTTTAATAGAGAGTGAGACAGAGGGGGTCAGAGAGGTCATAGATATGCTGGATGAGTACAACATGCTGAAAGAAGACTTTGACAATATCATGGATATCACGCTGTGGTCAAATGAACAGAACCCAATGTCCAAAGTTGCCACTAAAGTAAGATGTTTAAAATGTGATTATTTAAAGACAGATTACTTGTACAGCTTTTATCTTCTAAATTCTGCAATAAAAGGGGAATATAGATCTAGAAGAAAATGAAATTTAAAAAAAATTGTGATGATACTATCAGAAGGTTATATGGGATGATACTGGGTTACCAAATTAATATCTATCCCAATTTTTAAACTGTGTAAAATTCACATTAGCTATTGTCAGATTGTCTGATGAAATATTGTTGTATAGGATTCCAGGCTTCCTTTTATCATATAAAATAGTCAGATTATCTCATTTATTAAAAATGTATTTCTTTGGTGTTATTCCAGGTTAAATCAGCATTCACCCGCACCTACAACAAGGAGTCACACGCTACACCCTATTCCACTGAGGGTGCTCCTGTGAAGAAGAAACGAGGTGGAGGGGCCAACACTGATCAACTAGAGGGAGATGAGGATGTGGAAGGTGCAACACAGGGTGAAGATGAGGAAGAGGAGGTTACTGCAGATGCTTTTATGAAGGTAATTAATGAAGCCTGTATATACCCATGTATCCCAAACTAATTGAGGTTCCGAGTTAATAACAACTGTAACAAATGTAACGTCTGTAACAAATGACAGGTGGTGAGGTTTTTTGATAATGCCTTATTGGTCTAATGTATTAATAATTTAGAGCCATTTCAGAGAACAAAGGTCATCCATTAATCAACTATATTTCTACTTATTTTGATTATATTTAATTTTGTGACTTTGGAATATTACAAAGATTTAGCAATCAATTTTGAAGTCATTTGCAATTTCTTCACATAATAATATATTAAAAAATCTTTTACAGAAGAACAAACCAGGAGGAAAAACCACTAAGAAGTCAGCAACAACTGACAAAGGCAAAGGAAAGGGGAAAGGCAAAGGAAAGAAATAGACATTATTTTTATATGAAGACAGTGTGGATTTAGATTCTGCTGATATTGTGACAAATTCTGCTATTTTGTCGAAAGGATTGAACAATTACCAAATGTACTAGCAAATCTTTATATGCACATTATGTAGATACTAATATGCCAATATGGTTGCTATATGCTATGAAAACAGGTGACTCTCATGAAATTGCTCATAGCTTTTAAAATACCACTAGTGATGTCAAGAGGAAAAGGATTGCTTATAAAGAAATTAATGATTTATTTATATCCCAGCTGTTATATGACATTTCTATGCAAATAATGCGAAAAATATTATGATACTATGAATGAATAAACACATATAAATGGAACAAAGATACATTGTTTATCTTCTTTCACTATAGCAAATAAGTGTTTTGGCCTAAATGGAAGAGATTTGGAGCAAATAGATAGATTTGCTGAAGGAAGGAAAGGAATTGAAATTGAAAACGGCTGCTCAATAATTCAAAAGAATGGCCATATTTGTAAGAAAAAATTAAAGATTTAGTTCATATGTTGATCCTTGAGGGTCATTTGAGCTCTGTTTGAGAAGAGATTTTCAAGATGGTTGCTGAATTCAAATGGCCGCCATTTTCATAAAAAATGTAATCTTTGATAACTCAAACACCAGTCAAAGGATTCGAATCAAATTTAAATGCTGATGCCTTGGGGACATAGGACTCTGCCAAAGAAGGATTTTCAAGATGGTTGCTAGGCTTCAAGGGAGAATTGGATCTAGTGAGTGGGCTTAACAAAAGAAATTGTAAATTGCTCAAGAAGGATTTTTCAAGATGGCCACTGAACTCAAAATGCTGCCATTTTTAGTAAAAATGTAATCTCTGATAACTCATATACCAGTTGACAGATTTTCAATTTTATTTGCTGATGCCAGAGGGATACAGGCCTCTTCTCAAGAAGAAAGTTTCAAGATGGCTGCTTAATTCAAAATGGTCACCATATTTCATGGAAAATAGAATTATTCATAATCAAGTATACCAGTTGTCAGATTTGGTTAGGATTTCATGTGCTGATGCCTTAAAGCCATATAACTATATTTTAAGGAATTTTCAAGACTACCGACTGACTGAATACAAAATGACTGCCATTTTCCAGAACTCTTTTTAGGATAATGCTAATAGTCTACCAGTATCATGTTTTGGTCAGATTTTTCAGGCTAACACATCATGGCCATAGGACCTCTACTCAAGAAGGAATCTATAATACCAAATCATGTAACACCATTGGTGTAGATTTTGCCAAAAGGAGACAATGTTACTATACTAATTCCTTGTCATTTCTATCATATTGTGTTCAAAATGAAAGGTAATTTGATAAAATACATTTTATTACTCTGAGGAGTTGCTGTTTTCTAGTTTGACCTATTTGTAAAGTGTGAATCAAGAAACCAGAAGGACATCATGTTGTTTCTTTGCAGTATGTTGAAGTAACTGGATGGGGAAGCAGTGATATTGGGATAACAATATAACGGGCTTTTCAAAAATATTTACTTAGTTTTACTGAATTTCTTTATTGCACAAAATATATACATATTTTAAATATGAAAATATAACAGAACTTCTCTACTTTTAGTGCTTAAAAGTAACTTGGAGACGTGACAAACTAAAAATATGTATTTTATACAAGGTATTTCTGCAACGCAATAAGTATTAGTGTACTCTTTGTATTCTTATTCTACAAGCATAGGCTCAAGTTAATACAAATCTTTTTTCTTTTGAGCATTTTCGTCAGATAAAACTCTGATAAAACGGCAACATTTCAAAATATTTTATAATTTATAATTTATCAATGTTTTTTTTGATAACATTTTATTCTAGAATATGGAATAGGAATATTTCAACCATTCTTCTTTTACTATCAAAATGAAGGAGTCTAATTGGAAACATAAACAATTACATGTTCATTAGAGTTATAATAGAGATTCTGGATCACATTGGATAGGAAAGTCCTCATAGTATTAGTCCCTTAATGGTCAGCTGGTGCATATTTTAGATCACATAAACATATCATCGTAACCAGGAGGCGGCAGGTGGTCATTATCAGGCCTGAAAATAAAAATATGACTTTATTCTGAAACCATTCAAATTTGCATGATTTAGAGCTGTGAATTAGTAATTCTGAATAAAATGTTGGGTAAAAAGAGTAAATTGGAATAAAATTTTGATTAAAAGAAGTCTGGGGCTTTCAAAAAAAGATATAAAAATGTTAATGTTCTGATAACATAACATGATTGTATATTTCTTGTATTTTTTAGCATTTGATATAAACATGCCACATTAATTTGTTAGATGTGCTGGTGAAACAATGGATTTGTCAACATTTTGGACACAGAATCTCAAATACAAATGTCATTTTTGATATTCTTAAACTCGTTAAATATTTCATGTTTTTCGCTGAACAAATGTTTTAAAACATGGTTACAAAGTGATAAACGTTCAATATATAATCAATTCATTGAAGCAAGTTATTTATCACAAAACAATTTTCAAATCATGATTGACCATTGGATTCTGAAACTAGAGACTATATTTATGGTACTCTTCTGCATCCCATTACATATTACTGAGAACTGATGAACTTACCCTACTCTGTGTCCCCCACGAGGTTCCCCTGATGGGACTAGATCTGGGGGTGGGGGGCCAAAAGGGTCAAATCTTGCCCCAGGGGGTACTGCACCTCTGCAATATAAAAAACAACAACACAGTATTAGTGAAATGGACACAGTCACTGATGTTTAACATGTACTGGTGTATAATGTATCGCTAATTGCTATATCTGTATGCAGTAAATTGCCTAAATTTGACACTATTTAATTTGGTGGATTGACCATCCATCTGTAAAATATGGATATTGGAGGGCTTGCTGTGAAACCACATGCCCAGGTTACTCTTGGGTGGCACAGGGGGTTTTTACCTTCATATTTGAGCTAAGATGTAATAAAATGGAGTTACAATTAAATTATTTAAAGAATTCTCAATGTTACTTCAGGTACCGAGGACTTTTTCGAAAAATTGATAGAGATTTAATTTGACATTTTTTATCAATACACCAGATTGATACGGCTGTCAAATTAAAGCAGTTTACAGCACTGTATAATACCTACAATTTATATCACAGACAAGGTCAATATATTAACATTAATAATGAACATTTAGAACTGCAATACTAGGATTCACCTTTTGATTAAAAAAACATCAATAAGTGTTCTACTTCATTATAAGAGGGTGAGGGTCATGAAATTCTGGGACACAACATTGGGGAAACCTACACTCTAGCCACTGTTCTTGCGCAAGTATTTAGTATCAAAACCTTTATAACCAAACACCTTTCTAATCTGAACACCTCTCAAATTGAATCTTTTTTCTGTCCCAGGTTTCACTGTACAGGTATATGATATAACGATTATAAAAAAATCAATATACACGGAGGCTTAAATAAATCCATAATGGGCTTGAGCCTTGAGAGGAAAAAATAGAAAACTTATTGATTTCCAAAAAGACCTCTCTGTAAGCTAAACTCTGAACTACACTTTTTGTGATTCCCTTTGGTGTTTCTTTGAGGTGTAAACAAGTGTAAGCATTCATTGAAATCAATCCTTGAAACGTTTGCAATCCCTTAGGAGTTTCTAATTTTTGAAATGTACAATCAAGATGGATTTGCAATGTTTTACCTGGGTAACCTTGCAGGTCCAGGGAGACCTATATCAGGGTTCATGCCTCCTCCAAGGGGAAACCCTCCCCTAGAGGGGTCCATCAGCATACCACCCCCTCTACCCCCAGCCAGGGGGTCCAGGTCTCCCCGCCCTATACTGAATGGGTTTGAAGGCTCACCCCTGAAACAAAAAACACCAAAATGCAACTCCTAAAGTACATGCATCCAATGCAACACTGAAAACATTCTCATTTATTGCTTCTTGAATACAACCAGATTGCTTTTCTGATAATCTGAACAATTGTAAAACAAATTCTTTTCCACTGACATCTATACTTGTCACTTAATATTAATCTATGATTATCAGATTTTAAATATTAAGGCTCACCAATCTGGGGGTTGTCTGTCACCATGCCTTGGGGGTACTCTAAGGGGGTCCTCCTCTCTCCTGGGGTGAGACCTGTCTGCCTGGGCATTAGATGCCTGGCTTCCCTGTGGCTCTTGGGGGGAGAGGGTATCAATCAACTCTTTCTTGAAGAGCCTTTCTAACTTAGAGATGTCTTTATATACACTGCAAGTTCATGTAAAATATTTGTCATTTGGTGTGAATACATAACGTACAAAGTAATGACAAAAACATTTACACTGACTGAAAGGTAAAAAATGTAGCAGTTATTATGAGAGATTGTATATCACAAACAAAAAGTTTTTAAATAACAGATTTTTGCAGAAAAACACCATCAGTTCTAATAAATATGTAACAAACAATTTAAAAAACAAAGTAGTACTTTAGCAGCATGCATACTTGGATCACATGGTGAGGAACTTCTTATATAAATAATGGTGATCAAAGGTTAGATTACCTTTCAAATGTTGACAAATCGTCTGTTGTATAATCATCTACATTGAGGGTAATACTCGATACAGACTCATCTGAGGTTCTCTATGAAAAGCAAAGAATGAGATGTTAAATCCAGTTTTGTGGAGGGATGATGGAAAGGTGTGAGGATTCTTATTTTCTTTTTATTCTCATAATGTAAAATATCTGTCAAAATATTAAATAATTGTTTCAATTATTTTTCCATAAATGTCACATCTGGAATAATTTTAAGTGAAAAAAGGTGAACTCAAAAAATTCTTAATCAATTCCTGCCTAATCAAAAGTAAAATAATCTTTACCATTAAGTGCACAAGTAATGTATTATCCATTCGGACCACTTTCAAAATATGTGTGTCATTCCCAGTGGATGGTTGGTATAGCAAGGAGTAGACATCTTGACTCTCACTCCAATTGGCAGGTAATAGCTCACTTTTTTTCACTGACACTCCCTTTCTAGGTGCCTTAAAATAGATGCATTACATGTATTTTCTTTATTTGGTGACAAACTCATCTAGAAATGGGAAATGCTATTAATCTGCAAGGTAACCTAATAAGTAGAAATAATAATAATTTAATTTTGTAACCAATACTGTTAAGAATCCAGTTGTGTTTTTAAATACATTACAGAAAGACCATCATTCAATGGAAAAGAAAATCATTCTTCTTGGTTTTACCCGGGGTTTTCAATACCATCTTGGAAAACAATGCCTTAAAATCAGATTTATAATTCTATAAACAACAATCTAAAAAATAAGCAATTAAAGAACCGCATTGTTACATAATATATGAAAAATAGAAACATAATTACAAGGCCTAACTTTTGCATATTTCAGATATTTAAGTACAGTATATTGGAAACTATGGGGTTTCAAACTACCATGGTTTGGAAATGGTGATAGAAAATCGACTACTCATTTATCTATGATCCAAACTGTAGTATGTATTCTCGGTAAATTGCTTGGTCAAAATCTTATTTTCTTTGACTGAAGCACACACTTAATTTTAGCTTAGTCTAGACAGACATTTGGGAATCACACAGTTCAAGAAGTATATAGATTTAACCACAGTCAGCACCATCTATCTAATAGCATGCGGTAACTTAGAAAAAAATATTTTTTCTCATGCCAGAGGCTTTGATCAGTGATATTTTATGTTTATTCAACTTTCAAATTTTTGTAACTTGTCAGAAATTTCTCGGCGATTTTCAAATAGATATGAGGTCATGTCCACAAACAGAGTTTTGGTCCAAAAAAGTAAGAAATGTGTGCTTCAAGCTCAATATCTGTGATTTGCAAGTGATTCTGACCATGTTTTAAGTATCAAAATAATGCTTAGATTATTGAGACTTAACTGAAGTTAAAAAATAAGGTGAAATATACACACACTCAGTGATTATGACTGAACAAAAACGGGAGTCCAAACCAGAAGTCAAAAGAGTAACTGCACTTTCAGTCTAATAACTGCATAATGAAGATTGATATTGCTCACTGCGTATCTAACAGTCATATATTATAAATTGGAAAGCTTGTACATAGCTTCATTTTCCTTTTTCTAAAATCAATTGAAACCAAACCATAGATCTATTTTCAAATCTAAGGTTTAAATCACATTCTATTCTAGATTTCTATTGACATAAATATACAAAAGTACAGAAAAAATCGAATCTATAGTGCTCACCATAAATAAATGGCATCTTGATTTTATATCACCATTCCCAGACCATGGTGATTTGAGACTTCATACTTTCCAATAATGTCTCGATATTTTACATTTTGTATACTCTCGTCCACTGATGTACTGCCTCTTTAAAATTATTTTATTTTTAACATGGGAAATCCTGACTTCAGCAAATTCAGGTGTTATTTATTTATGGTGAACACTGTAGTCTAGACTCTAGAGTCCATTTCACTGTTTTATTGCGTCAGTAGAACCCCAAAAATAAGAAATCAAGAGACCATTGTTCAATAATATATGGAAAAGTATATTCATATTGTACATGAATGACATTTGTATATTTCAGATTTTTTAGTTTTTTGTGCAATAAGCCACGGAGCTCTGCCAGATTACCTCTTTTTCAGTGGTGTCTAGGCTCAATAAATATACTCAAGGACAAGACACAAGATATTCGGAAAATTTATTTTTCCTTGATTTTGGAGTCAGTTTAAATCAATAAATATCACATGTCATACCTCAAACGATGTGTACTGTTGTTAGCTTCAACTCCAATCACTAAAGCCACACATCCAAGAAAGCGTCTGTTGATAAAAGCATAAAATAAGCGAGCGTATATTTAATGGAATGCTTCAGCTATTTCCGTTGTTCAAATGTTTATTCCTGAAGTCAAATGCCTTTTCTGAGAATGTGACGCCACTCCGGATGACGTCACATCAGAGATTACCGAGAAGTCCCATGACGTTTCTTTAAACTCCTGTAGAAACAATAACAACGGTTTGTTAGACTACGCGATCCTTTACTTTCATTGGCTGTTTGTTGCGATGTGACGTAATTTGAGAGACAAACAACATCGGACACTGCCGGAAATTACCGAAGCACTCCATTATCTTTACGCTCTGAAAATTTGAAATGAATGTCCCGGGAAAATTCGAATTACAGCGTCAATAATGGATATCATGCAACCATTCAAACTAATACATAAAGAAGAGATTACATGGTAAATATTGATCAATCAATGTCTGACAGATGGAAAAAATAAAGGTCAGTACGAGGGTCATATTTTTGGGTGGTCATTTTTTGATGTGCCATTTTTGGCTCGTGTTTTATCTTCCCATTTATCCTTTGAGCCTACTACCAATAGGGGCTGGATCTGGCTCCGGATCTGTGCAATAAGCCTGTGCCCTCTTGAAATTTGAAGAATTCCAAACTAGAAGCAATCCAAGATATACAGATGTCATTCATGTACAATAGGAATATATTTTTCCATATATTATTGCATTATGATATTTTGATTTCTTATTTTTTAGGTTTTAATGATGCAATAAAACAGTGAAATGTTATCCCGTGTCAGGACTATAGTCCTGGACCGAGCGCAATCTTTTGCCTGTACGATTACAACTTGGGAGAATTATCTACGCCCCTTACACTTAAGATACCTACTTCAATAGATTCCTTGGTATTTTAGTATTCTTTTCGTGTAGTCGAATCCACAATTTTCTGGGTTTATCGGCAGAACGAACAAATTTTCGTTTTTGATCGCAATATTTGCTTGTAATATTTAACTTATTTCAACCGTCAAATTCCTCCATTTATTGGTACTTCCGGGCCAGTCAAATGGGGAATCCCCTTTTAAATCCAACTGCCATTTTGGAAAGTGATGGAATCTCTCTCAATGAAAAAGAAAAATGTTCCCAATCTGCCGGTATACCCAGACAATTGTGGATTCAACTACACGAAAAGAATGCTAAAATACCAAGGAATCTATTGAAGCATCAAAATATAAGAGGTTACAGAGGTTACAGACTTTATGAGCCAAATTACAAGCAATTCAACATATACAAACATAGATCCCGGCCAGATTCTTTTGTAGTAGGATCAGTAGATCTAACCAAACCCGTCTGGCCCAGTTATCTACTCCAATTCAGAATCAGGAGTAGATTACTGGGCCAGACTTACTCACTTCGAGAGCCATGTTAGATTATATCAAAATCCAAATAGCTTTCGCAGGAAGTAAGGCCAGACGGGTTTAGTCTAGATCTAGCTCAATAAATATTCTTTAAGCTTATGAGATCCTACTACAAAACGATCTGGCCAATATCTGTGTATACAAATGTCATTCATGTGCAATATGAATATATTTTTCTATATTATTGCACAATATTATTTAGATTTCTTATATTTCTGGTTTAACTGCTTGCCTTTGAAGCAGTGTAACAGGCTTTTAAGATGTCGGCTAGACTAATAATATTGACGAAAAATTCAAATGTTGAACAAAAACTACTGAAAATGAATAATTGTTACTTGATCGCCAGATCCGATGTTCTTGAAACCATTGACTATCAAATTCCAATGTAAGCAGCATACTAGGGCATCTTGACAAGATGAAATTTGAGTTTTTACTGACGAAAATAATATTTCCAATCCAACAGTCGCCATCTTGAAAGGTCATGACCTACTTTTTCACTTCCTATTTTTCAACTAAGATTCACTTTAAATCCACTGAACAGAATCCAACGAAAATTTCCTGAGTGTTTCTCCATTATCTATAAATATGTTTTAGAGTTATAAATGTTCAATAATATATATATGAAAATAATTGAAAGACCAAAGGTCAAGGTCACTTCAAAGATGGCGGCCTCCATGTCAACATGCAGAAAATATCTTTTACACTTTGTAAATGAGCATATTGATTTTAGATTAGCGGTAAGAAATTGTTTATAGACAAAAATTGATCGTGACTACATAGTCTCCATACTAGTATGTGTTATCTCAAATTAGATCTTTACTTCTGTATATGATGATCATTTTCAGATTCAAACCTAATTTTAGGAGGATTGGCCTAGACTATATTCTATCATTTAGTCTGAATTATATTCAGACTATAAGGCACCTATGTTAAAGATTGGTAATTCAAAATATTTGTTTACATAGGAAGTGCTATTCAAAATGGCCGATTGGGTAGAATTAATTTGCACATTTGCTACTTCAGCTAGCTTTATTTCCACTAGACAATATGCTGTGTTACTTTTTATTGCATTTAATTATACCTTACTATTTAATTGTAATTTTGTAATGTTTATTTTATTGAAGAAATGGTTCCTCCAATTGATAATTTTGTGCAAAAAATTTCACTGCAATTTCCACAGGAAAGTAGTACGTCATAACAGACTGACTTCTAGTCAGTCTGTTGGATACATACTAAGGATTGGCTCACAGTGAGTCAACACAGGATCACCTCATTATACTGACTAGTGTTGTCGCGATTAATCGATACATCGCGATATACATCGCCAAAGCTGATTCTGGCGATGCATCGATGTCTGAAACAAAACATCAATGTTTTTAAAAAAAATTGATTTGCTAAAAATCACCCTTTGTTATCTTATTTTGATGCAAATCACTTACCTTTCTCATGTCTTATTTCATTTTCCAATGTTTTCTGATATTTTTTCGCTTTAAAACTGTTTTAGCTAGTCGAAATGAACCATTAATCTAAAAAAAATTACTTTACTTTCATTTCACCATTACTAGAAGTTCCCGGATGTACCAGCGTACTCTTATTAATTTGTTCTGTTCGGTATTTTAGTGCATTAGCGTTCGGTATTTCAGTGCAGTTTTCTCGGACTTTTTCTCGATGTACATCGCAATGTGCATCGATGTTTACTACTGAAAATTGCAGATGCATCGATGTATAATTATGGCACATCGCGACAACACTAATACTGACGCGCATAAACCGAAACCCATTATATCGACGCACATTATACAGAAAACCAATATACCAATGCGCGTTGTACCAAAAACCAATATACCGATGCGCGCTGTCCCGAAATCCATGCGCGTTGTATGCATACTGAAAATCATTGCTGTTGTGTTTACCGACAGTCCAACACCATGATTTTGTGATGTAAAAAGGCTTGTAATGGAAGATGTATGATAAGATTAGAAGAGTATGATAAGTATTATTGAAAATTATGCACATTTCAGGCCGTCCAACTGTCCCCCAATTTGCATATTTGTAACGCATTTGCTGGAAAATTTGAAGTCACTCCAGTTATTTTTGCATGACAGAATATGTCTCGCAGACACTTATTTTACCTGATTATTGTCAAGCAAAAATAATTCTGTAGAAAAACTTCAAAAGGACAGAATATGTCACGTAAATACGTATTTTACCTGATTATTGTCAAGCAAAAATATTTCTTTAGAAAAACTTCAAAAAAGTGATTGCCGATACAGCAAAAAAACGAACACCGAAAAAAGCAAATGCATTTCGTTCAGACTTTTCATGCGGATACCATATATGTGATTTTGTCACGCCATTTTCATCAAAATATTTCATACCTATTTGGACCAAGGTGTCCACAGTTGGGGGCGATCACAACCCCGACAGAAATGATATTACAGTAAAACTTGTGTATAGTGAACATTTTTTTGCCAAGAAAAAACGTTCACTGTAGGTAGGTGTTCACTAGAGAGAGGGTAATTTATACAGAAGTCAGTGGACTATGTGCGTAGGAAGGGTGTCCACTAGAGACAGGTGTTCACTAGAGAGAGGTGTTCACTAAGACAGGTTTTACTGTATGTCAATATCTAGTCTACATCAAGCATAGAAGATCTCATTTATCATATTATATTTAATTTTATACCATGTATAGTTTCTCAGGAACCCATACAGTATGTAAATACTTTGAAGAATAAGTGCAAAATGCATATTTTTTCTTGTTTTTATGGGAATGTTGTGCTGAGATATGTTAAGAATGTACCAGAGAGGGTCTAAATTTGAAAATTTTCTTGGGACATGCCCCCTGGCCCCCCTGCGCTTCACGCACAACCCATGTATACCGAAAAGTCGCCCCCCCCCCCCCTTAGTAAATCCTTCTCACGCCTCTGGTGCCTGAATGTTCCATGCTGTAAACTAAGTGATATTGTGGGATATATATTATATACCTGTAACATGGTTTTCGCCCCATTAACTTACCATCTTACACAGCTACATTGTATCAAATGCTTAAATGCTTTGGGTAACTTCTAGTTACATTTGCTTCAGTTTAATCCCCAAAAGCAGTAGTGAGACTGCTGATAAAGCATATCAGTAGCCAGCACTGTTAGAGCATCTTTGATATTTTTAACAACCCTCAGTCATTTCTTACATGTTTTGGAATTTTTTGTTATGCAGTAGACCAAAATTCGCCATTCAAAATCTGAAACAAGAAATGGTGCATAACTTGGCTAATAATGCTCTTTGAGCCTAGCCAAATTTAATTGTATTAATTATTGATTTTTGTGAAAATAAAATAAACTATAAATAAAAAAATAAAATAAAAAATGGTGACTGTTTATTTTGAAATTCATAACTACGACATCATTCAAGATTAATTCAAGGGTTTGTTTAATACCTGGCTTAGTATGTGTACCCAATAAAACGAAGTACTCATTGTTTAGCCAGAATGAATTTATAGCTACATATTTGGTTATTTTCAGGAGTTGAAGTCTATTGTGAAGTTGTGTGGAACTGAGCTCAAATATGATGAACAAAGTTATGATAAAAAGGTAAATTTATATTTATTTTACTTTCTGAAAGAAACATCGTCACCAAGGTATAAGTTGATTGAGTGAAATTGATATTTTCGTTGCACAAAAATGTTAAACTCCGCTTGAAGTGTTCTTCATAATTACATCATCATTTTGGTGATACATATCTATAGCACCCTTAATAAACACTCAAATTTAGAAAATAGATTCAAGTATGGGGATGTTTTACATAATAATGTTTTCATACCAGCAGTACACCAGCTAGAGACGCTCTACTCAGTGACCTAGGTTGGAGACCTATTATGAATGTTATAGATAAACGTAAAATAGATTATTTTATTCATTTGAAAAATAGAGCTAAAAGTTGTAAGATTTTAGGTGATGTTCATATTGATATGTTTTCTGACTTTAAAGCAAAGAAAAGCTCAGTATGGCCATAATATTGATTCTGTATCAAAGATATTTACTGCCCATGGGCTAGATGGATGTATTTCGTCTGACAATGCAGACTGATATGATTCATTTCTCAAGATCTCAAATGATCAAACAAAATCTGAATTTATTGAAGCAATCGATGATAAAAAGTCTCTAAACCTCTTTAGAAATTTAATACAAATAAAGAGAAGTACCTCATGAATCATACAGACTTTTACACCCCGCGACTTGAGTTTCTGGCCAGAACTGGCTGCTTTAACCTTGAGGAAGACAGAAAAAGATGGAAAATAAGTAACAGTATTGTAAATTACTTAAATGTTATAGATGATCCCATCCATCACTTCCTCCTCTGTCCTCATTTCCAGAAACAAAGAACTGAATTTATACATGATATAAGTAGTAAATGTGATGCTCCTGTTGTGTCTCAGTACCTAAATTTCCCCCCACAAATGAAACTAATTAAGTGGTTTCTTGGGGATGATGTGTTTAGCATTTGGGGGCACAACAATGGCTGGAATTTTGATATTTGTAAAAAAAGATTTCGGAAAAAGGTGTATGTGAAACATAACACAGCGTGATTTTAACCTATTTTAATGATTTTACTCTAAGCTTAAATGTCTCATATTCTTCTACGGATTTTAGTAAAAAATGTATTGTTTGCATACTACATATATGTAATATTTATGCACCTTTGATTGCCACTGTTATAAAAGTGACTGTCAAATAAATAATAAATAAATAAATATCGAAACTTCATAGCCCTTCAACCAAGCCACAAAAAGTTTGTAGATAGTTGTTTAACCTCTTGAATACCAGCCTCTAAAAAGGGTTTGAAACCAGAGCATTTTTCATTTTCTGCTAGTTTTCTGGATATTTAGATCTAAAAACACTATGTTTGATATTTGATTTCATAAGAATAGTAACCATAGACTGATTACATACATTCTAAAACACAAGTTGTGAAGATTGGATAAAAAATGCCAAAGTTAGAGCAGTTTTAGTGAAAAATTCTATGTCAGATATATCTGTCGCTCTGGGTTCCAAATGGATTTTATTTGTGACAGATATATCCGTCATTCTGGGTATTCAAGAGGTTAATTTTTGAATATTTTTCCTTTAAAATGGTTTTTAAAACATGTAAATCAACAATCATGGACATTTATTTATTTAGATTTTAATTTTCTTTCGATCAAATGTTGTAATGGGCAAAGACAATTATACTTTGCCCAAAAGCGCAATTAAATACATGACAAGGAGATAAAAAGTCATAAGTTTTGTACCAATTTTGTGTCTTAAAAGCAAGCAACTTTTAATTTGAATAGGGATCTATAAAAGTTCAGACATGTTTTGAGTGGCCAATCTGAAATGTAATTAATTTAATGTTTTAGAATAATATTGAAATATTGCTTATTTCCAGAATCCTTTCCTCATTGTTGGCCTCCCATCTGAATCATGTGCCAAGAAAATAATGAAGAGGGCTATACTAATCAGGTAATAAATGTAGATTAGTGTCCCATATAAGCTTGGGTTATTGGGATAATCCCAAGGTCAGTATAATGGATTTTCTAAGAAATAAACACTCAACTGGATGACTTAAGGGCTTATCAGGAAATCTTCAGCTTATAAAGTCTAGTCTGAGCATTTCTGATACATCAATATAACAAAATATCCAAAGGAAATTTGTCTCGAGACTTTCATAAGTGACATCCTTTGTTTACTAGGTATTGCACATACTAACTTCTATAGATTCTAAATCATGACTTGATCAGTCTCATTTTGATGGATGTTGAGCATCTAGTGGTCAACAGTAATCTTAAATTGCTTACATTTATGTATGAACTGCCCCATGTGTTTTAGGTCAATGTATGAACTGTGGGCAGAGGGGAATAATAGGGACCAGCTGTGTACTAACATCAAAAACATCCCTACAGAGCAGTTGGTAAGTGTCTTTCAGAACATTTCTATTGGCCCCATGATAAAATTATACACTTATCTGACTGTACATGTATTCTGATTATTTTCTCATTTTCTTTCATAGAAATCAATAATATTTAAGTACTGTCTAGAATTCCAATCAAATTACAATAGACCAGATGCAAGTTCATGTCGAAATAATCTTATTTATGTCATTCAATCTTCAAAAATTAAGTCAAAGTGTTATCATATTTGAAATCTACATTTTTTTGAAAATGTGACTTCTAGGTCGGGAAGATTCCCTATATAATAATAGACCCCAAGTTATAAAAAGTGAAATATCATTTCTTGTGTTGGACAGATAATACTTTTGCTGTATCTGCCATGTCATCAAATTGGCCACCTGGTGGTTAATCTGGTGAAACTGATGACGACCTAATGGCATCTGGGTTATTGAATCAAATTAAAGATATAACTCAACATTTCACATGTATATTTCTCAAAATGAGTAAATTGTTTTTAGCGCCCATATCTCAGTCCAGATTTGAGCTACAGATTTAAGATTGAGACGTTCAACAAGACAATCAGCATGGAGGATAAACTGCAGCGAATAGAGGTACGTTTAAATTGCTAGGTTAGAGTCAAGGAGCATTGAAATGGGCAAAAACTCTGATCCTTATACACCTTATTTTTAATGATAATGATCTGTAACTTGAACCAACATTTATCATTCTTGAACTTCTTGTTCATTCTTGGACTTCTTTATATTGATATGTTCAGGAAAGAAGAAGTTTTGTGTAATACATTTAGTCCGTTTAAAGTGTACATACATGTAACAGGTCACAGTAAGTTCAGTTTTTTGGGGAGTTATTTTAGGGTGCCGAGCCAGACAAAATCTCTAAATTGCACTTTTATTTTATCATTTATAGTTATTATATTTTGTTATCTGCTTGAGTAGCGAGTTGGTTGATCCTGGTTCAAATTTTAGATGTATCAAGTGAATATTCTAGGGTTTGTAAGCAATGAGACAGAAAAATACATCAATAGATATACAATTATATTTACATAAATCATTTGTTTTATTTCTAGAATATGCCATATGACGTTCTGGACTTCCAAGGCAAGGTAAAGTTGAAGAACCCAGACCACAGCTTTCATTGGATTGAGTATTATGGGTATGCCAATGCCCCACCCACACCAGAACCCACAAAGCTGTACTTTGGAAGATGGGTCAGAGAATTTTTACTTTACTTTCTACATTGTATATATGTAAATATGATATTATATTGGCATCTTTTTTTTAGGAAATAGTGAACTGTACATTAATTAGATACTTGAGACAGCCTTTTGAAAATATATTAAGATTCACGTTTTTCAAGTATCAATTGAAAACTAAATCATACCTTGTGGAATTCAGAATATTTTCTAGAAACAGCATCTTGTATTTAGATCCTAAAATGTCTAAATTTCATGATATTTATTATCTTAGATTGCTGATGGCCAGAGGGACAAGATTAGGGAATATCACTTACAGAAGAGACATTTTATAGGTAAGTTCATGTTATACGTGTCCAGGGACAGTATAAGGGTTTAACATGGGGTATGATATGATAGTTGAACAAGGGTACTAAGTGACTGACTATAAAACAGAATGTTGGTAAAAAACAAGTTAGGTGTCAGGTAAAAATATTGATGTCTGTCAAAAACTTCACTAATTTAGTGAGGCCTTGACCCTCTAGCGAAAGTCAAATTGTTGATGAAATTTTTTTATAAAATTTCCACTTATGATTTGCTTCGTTTATTAAGTATTTTCTATCACCATCCGACCTAGTCAAATATGTGTCTACACATTTTTCGTAGTTTATGATTTTCTTTATAAATGCAAATTTGTTACCTAGAACGTTTCCAACAGAACAGATTCAGTTGGACCTTTCAATTTAATGGGTGACGTCATTGTGAAATGCCAGGATGTATTTAATACAATGAACAAAAAGTGAATGCAGAAATTGCAAAAGGCAAAACCCCAAGGTTCACAGTATTATAGCAACTTCAAATCAAAATTCAAAATGTTATTTCATTTGAGAAGCATCAAAAATCATGTATTTTAGTTCATTTACATGTTTTATAAGCTGTGATTGAATGCTCATGAGCGGTGATAGCTTAATAAACTCCTACTCTAACCCATTATTTATTGTTTGTATATTCAGGTAACACAAGTATGGATGCAGCATTGTCTCTCATTATGGCAAATGTAGGACTTGTCAAGGAAAATCTGTTTGTGTTCGACCCCTTTGTGGGTACTGGTGAGTGTTTTATTTCATCAATGAATAATGGTGCAAGTTATGGAGAAAACTCCACTTCTGTGTTTCACACCACTAGAAATAGACACATCATGCATGAGTGACCAGTTTGCCTATTGCATTATTATTATCCCTTGATAAAAGATACTTCCATTTCATTTGAATACATCTCCCTGTAATGTGTTATTCTAGCTATTCATCACTTTGCCTTCTTCAACATGGACATATACAATTTTTTCTTTGTTTCAGGTAGCTTGCTAGTTGCTGCAGCACATAACGGAGCATATGTTATGGGGACAGACATTGACTTTCAATTGCTACATGCTAAAGGTATTGTGCATTGACAGTAAAAACTACACTGAACACTTAAATACATGTGAGAAGGTATAAATTCAAAAGATTTTAGCGATTTCACTTGGAGTTCTGATATACAATGTAGTTAGCCTCTATATAACATTTCAACCTTTATATCATGAGATTTCTAAGTTTTAACCATATGAAAATATAAAGTAAGAGTTATTGGGAGAATTATAGAAAATATGACAGAGAAAAAGGTGTTCACATTGAGAGTTGTTTCAAGAAGATAAGTGTTGGGATACACAGGTTTACACAAGTATAATTATTCTGGGGATCTCTGATAGACTCCACTCTCCTCCATCTTGTTCCATTTACACGCAAAAGAACCTGTTGTAATTGTATTTCCAGCTAAACCAAGCCGAGTAAAACAGAAAGTCAGAGCCAAAGATGAGAGCATACACGCAAACCTTAAACAGTATGGCTTTGGTCACTTGTATCTTGATGCGCTGGTCGCTGATGCATCTAATACACAACTATGGCGGGAACAGCCTCTCTTTGATGTCATTATTACAGATCGTATGTGCAGTTCATGAATTGTTATTAACTCACAACAACAACAACAACATGATTTTCCATCAATAATCAAACTGTGAAATTATACCTTTTTTGTATTCATTTTAAATGAATATGATAATAACATTTCACTTTAATGCAATGCATGCATTATCAGGGATAGTCTTTAAAAAATATAATATAGTATTTATTAATCCAATGTTACATTTTAGCTCCTTATGGTATACGTGAAGCAGCTGTCAAGTCTGGGAAGAAGAAAACTCCAAATGAAGTTGCAGAAGAACAGTAAGTGGATTTATAAAGATTTTTTGTTTCCAACTTTCCATAAAAATATTTTTCATGTTATAAATTTTCATGTGATATAGAAGGGAGTCACAAAAAAAACACTGAGATTTCGAAATGAACAGTATTTTTAAAAAAAATTGGAGAGTGCAAAAACCAGTTTAAAGATAAAAATAATATTTAGAACTTTTTGTGTTTGGTGTCTGTTGGTGTCCCATTTGCATTATATACCAGGTGATGACATTTATAATTTGTCAAGTTAATGTCTTGTTTATGATTTGTTAGCATGGTATAGTATTGATAGAAGCAACATTATGTATAATTTGTTATTTTAGTAAAGAGAAGTACATCCCTCCTAAGGTGCAATATGGACTGTCAGATATATACAAAGACTTGCTTAACTTTGCTGCTAAATACCTTGTGTTAAATGGCAGACTTGTCTACTGGTTACCCATTATAAGAACAGAGTAAGTACATTATGTGTGGTTTGTTCACATCAACTTTTTATTTATTTTTTATTTTATTAATTTATTTCATAAAATACATACAATAGTTAACAATGAAGTGGGTGACACAAAGATTTGTGTATATTCCCACAGATGGAGTGAGTAATACAAGTATGTTACATTATGCAGTTTTGGGGATCTGCCGTTGCATGCCCTCGACAAAAAATATAATATGTGCCATCAAATTGCCCAAGGAAAGAATTAAAGTTGCAATAAATATTTCTTGGTTTGTTTTTTCATGAAAATTATACTTTTAATGGATTGAATGTGCGGGAGTAGTTGGTTCCAAATATCAGGTATAGAATACGCTAGCATTGATTTTCCATAGTTTTCTGGGGTTTTGGCTTGTCGTAAGATTTCTTATTTCTTGTGTTGTAATTGTGTCTATTCTCAACTGTTTTGAAAAAAGTTGGAAATATTTGTTTGTAATTATCCTTATCATTGATCCATTTAAACATAAAAATATATCTCTGCTGCTTATTTATTTCAAGTACGTTCAATATTTTTAAATCATGAAAAAGAGGTAGAGAGTGAGCTCTAAAATCACTATTTGTTGCAATTCTTACAAATTTTTTCTGTGAGAGATGAAGAGTATTTAGTAATGTACAGCCTGCTTCGGCCAATACCATATTTCCATAGATAAGGTATGAATAGATCAAAGAATAATATATACTAAGTAAGCTTTTGACATTTAATAAATGCTTCACTTTGTATAATATACCAATGGTTCTTTATATTTTCATGTTTACGGATGTTATATGATTTTTCCAGGTTAAATTTTGATCAATTATGATTCCTAAAAAGTTTATATGTGACACCTGCTCAAGTACTTTATCATTCATAGTGACATTTATTTCATTTTTATTATAATGCTTTTGTCTTGATAATAAAGCAGTCCCGCACAAAGTGAAAAATGAATGTCTAAAAGGGCAAAAATAGAACTATGTAACAAGTAGCTACATGTAAAACTTACTTTTGTAGAACCATTTTACAACGATTTTGAAGAAGTTTAATACTAGTAATGAGTACACTCACATAAAAATTTACTCATTCAATGCAGTTTGTACAAAACCAGCTAAGTATTTCTTCATGCTTTCATTGTGAACTGTATTTACAGTTATTCAGATGATAATGTCCCTCAACATCCATGCTTCAAGCTGCAGTCCAACTGTGAGCAAGCAATGACTGAAACCATAGGACGACGTCTTATCACAATGGAGAAAGTCATAGACTACCAGGTATCTAAATGGCCCTTTATTATCATACATATGTATCATTCTTGGTATTTAGAGTAAAGGACTGGTAGGGCTCAAAATGTAGGACAGCCAAATTCTATGTGGAATTTGAAATACCCATTACTTCCTTAATTTATATTAAGGCCGCGCCTGGAGAACCTTAAAATTTAAGGCTCTCTAGCCAAATGGGTTACCAAAATGCTAAAGAGCCTTAAATTTTAAGGTTCTTTAGCATTTGGGCTAAAGAGCCTTAAATTTTAAGGCTCTTTAGCATTTTGATAGCCAATTCTGCTAGAGAGCCTTAAAGGAATTCCAGGCGACAGAAATGACGAAATATTGCTTCTGCCGGACAAGATCAAACGACTTGGACATATTCTATACCCAACCTATTTTCTGAGACTAACATAAAAGAGTATATTAGTCTCAGCTATTTTGTAATTTAACAATCAGCACATACATACCATATTAGCAGATATTGGTCAAATTCAAAACTAAATATGTTTTGATCGATAAAATCATTGATTATTAAACCGGAAGTGTCTTCTCTGAGGTCCGCGAAGAAGATGAAGAGAAAATATAAGGATTTCAGGCAATTCGATTTTGCCGTCGATTTAATTTTAAAGGGTTCTAAATAATCTTCGAATGCTTACTTTGACTTCTATTAGTGCTGTTTTGACTTCCCCATTTCATAAAAAAACATTATCGCTTTTTGCTCGACTCATAAATTTACTTCCGGTCTACCGAGAGAAATAAAAGTTCTTAGAACCTTTTCAATCCTCAGTCTAAATTCGGCTTTTTAAAGGTTCAAACATCGACTTTGAACGGACCTTCATGTATTCGAAAATTTATGTCTCTGGTTCACCAGAGAGGACCGACCAGGCAATCACGTATATAGCCAGAAAAATGTTATTTTTACCATTTTATCCACTATAAATCACAACGTCCGTTTAGTAAAGATTTTGACGTATAGACATTTATTGATGGATTGGAGGCTAGGATAAAAATGCTGTTGTGTTGCATAAGCCGCTGTTTCCTCGGCAGTTCACCTCTTGTACTGATTTTCTTTGTGCTCTCTCATGTGCTTAAATTCTCACTTAGTGGAAGACGTTTTTGCAAAATATTATGCAAAAATATCTTGTCACGTGAAAAATTCTAAAAAACAGCATTGAAATCTAATGGGCAATAGATTTGGAAGTGTATTCTGTGATGTCCCTGGGCTGATGTCCCTGCATTCACGATAAACTGCGTCATGATGTGCTGTATCTAGAAGAAACAAGATCCTTTTCATAGATATACATGTATGCATAGCCCGGGGGGTTCACTATATATAAACCTTGACGGGGATCCTCGGCGCATGTGGGGTACCTTTTCCAACGTTTGGTATGGCAATGGACCAATATTTTAGGATTTGGTATGGGAATGCCCGGAAATTTCTGACTTCTGAGGTATGGCAATGGTCGGACTTTTGCTCTTCTGGTATGAGAAAGGTCGTTGTAGATACGTTACCTAACATTCGTGGTATGGCATTGGTCCAGTAGTTCCAAATTTGTATGACATTGATCCTATATTTCATTTACTTTGAATTAAGGTATGGCATTGGTCCCATATTTGGACATTTGGTATGGCATTGGTCCTATATTTTGACATTTGGTATGGCATTGGTCCCATAATTGGGCATTTGGTATGGCATTGGTCCTATATTTGGACATTTGGTATGGCATTGGTCCTATATTTGGATATTTGGTATGGCCTTTGGGCGTTATTTTGCTTGGTATGGGAACATATTGAAATTTGACAGATTGGTATGGGAACATATTGATATTTGAGGCTTCAGCCTAGGACCCCCGTCGAGTTTTATATACAGTGAACCCCCCGGGATGCATAGGCCCTTCGGAGAATTGAAGGTGTGGGTACTGTGGGAGTCACATTTATTGATGAAATGATACATAAAATTGAAGGACTTTTGAGCGGAAGTTTTTGCAAATTAAATATCTTGTCAAATGAAAAATCTTATAAACAGCATTGAAATCGTACAGGCAATAGATTTTGAAGTGTATCCTGTGATGTCCCCAGGCTAATGTCCCAGCATTCAAGATGAACTGCGTCAAGATGTGCTGTATCTAGAATAAACAAGATCCATTTTCATCCCCAGGTCTTCATCATCCTTTTTGCCATCTTAAAATGAGGTTCCCTGTATTCTCTAAGCTTGTGACTATAGCAAAGCCAATACAAGTGATTAATTTCATTAAACATTGATGATTGAGCGATGGAGCAAGCCCAAGAATTCTAGAAAAAATTGTGTACATAATTGCCGGACCTCAGAGAACAAACTTCCGGCTTGTTATTCATAATAAAAAAGTGCTCCACGAGGGAATCGAACCCGCGCCGGAGAATTGAAAGGCGAGCACCCTAACCACTATACCAGAGTGTCTTTTCATGATTGGTATAAAATTTTTGCAACTCTATAGTGATATACATGTGTGAAATTTTTAAGTGGCATTCTGGGTTGAAAAACTTTCGAGAGTGTTGTTTTATTGTTTAGATGACGAAAACTTCAATAAAAAACAATATAAACACGGATTATAAACACAAAGGCTCTCTAGCCAAAACACTATGTTCACAGCTAAATAGCCTTAAATTTTAAGGCTCTTTAGCATTTTTGCTAAAGAGCCTTAAATTTTAAGGTACTCCAGACACTTTGTTATATTAAACATATGTTTATTAAGATATGAATGTTTCATTTCTGATTCAAAATTGAAGCTCTGCCAGTTCCACTTTTTGAGCCTGAACAGTCTCATTGGTAATCATTGCATCGTAATTTGTCACTCAATTCTGTAGATCATTGTAAACTTTTATGCAATATGCATCTGCATTTATGAGTATACAAGCTAAATGTTTATTTATTTATTTAATCAAGGAGCAGTCAGATGATTTCAAAGCAACATATGTGAAGGACCATTACACTAAAAGCTTCAGGGAGAGATATTTTACAAACTGGGGCCAACCCAAAAATATAGAAAAATCTCAAACAAATGACACTACAAATCCAGAACACAAACATTCTGAATATAAACAGCCAATGTCAACAGACAAAAGCACCATAGCAACAAACAATGAATCGATAGCAACAAACAATGCATCTATAGCAAAAAACAATGAACCCATAACACAATCAGGAGTTATTCATAAACATTGTGATTTGTCAGAGCCAATAGAAGTTGAGCTCCAACATGGAGCAATTCCAGAACAGCATTGACAAAAGGTACATTGTACTTTATATAGAGTATATGAGGGGTGATCATAAAGTTCTGGTAATATCTTTCTAATCTTTATTATCTCTTTCACAGAATGTGGAACTCACAATAACTTATTAGTTCCATCATATAGCTTCTGCGTTGTTAAATGTTACCAACTAATGACAATTATCATGTCATTTATGAGAATATATTGAAAAATAAAAAATGAAAACTTTATGATCACCCCTCATGTGAAGGTTTGATTGTTTATGTTCAATGTTACTTGCATGTTGTTTTTCACTCAGATAATCATAATTTGTAATGTTATACATGAAAGTGACACTGTATGTATCCCTTCGATTGAAATTGCCTCTGGGCAATAACTCAAAAACCAGTATTTGGATTAGGTACAAGTTAATAAGCTGATGTTTTATGGGCATAAGACTTCACTCCGGAAGAAATTGTCCAAAAGACACAATTCAAAGAAGAAATAAATTTTAAGATAAATAACTTTATTTTTATATACAAGTATTTTCTTACAATTAACTGTTGTTCAGATATATTGTGTATAAGTTTATGTGGAGGAATGAGTTCTGTATCCCACACATAAAACAGAAGTAATTCTTAAAAGCTGATGGATTTAACAGTTTACATTGTCTTAAGTGTTTTTCTTATGTTGCAAACTTTTCTTTGTCATACTAGCATGGAGTTGTATCTTCTCCATCAAGCCTATCCATCTCCATCTCCTATCAAGATTTACAGTAATTTAGATACAATACGTAAAACTGTAATAGCAATATGTTGTAAATGTTAAAAAATTATATAGGACATTTATAAAGCTAGAAATGTAGATATTAAAGAACCACATGGCAGCCATCTTGAAAAATGGCAGCCTTTACTCGCTATGTTACTCGAAAAGTAGTTGAGCGATTTTGTTCATATTTGGTATGTGAATACTATAAGCATGGCCCACTGTCTAATGACACTTTTGGTAGAAGGTGGCCATTTTGAAAAATGGCTGCCATTTTTGCTTTATACTTTGTTTATAAAAATGCCAGCCATGGCTGTTCGATGGGATTTGCTACTCTTTGGCGTTGCTGTTGTCTAGTTTGCTTTCCTTTGGTAGGACTGTATGGTCAAAGACTCTTTTCAGTAAAAAATTGTTAACATGGGGTGGTCTTGCAGTTGTAGATGACGTGCATATTATTTAGTATTGAACTTTTAGATTGTCTCTGAAGGGTTCATTCCAGCTTCATTGTCAGTTTGTAGTGTGTCATGTTGATCCTTATGTGTTGTAATCACACCATCTGTCATTGCTTCTGTTTTTTCACCAATGTCCAAGTAAAGTTGTAATACAGATGACCAGCGCAAGTAGATACATATGAGTGAATATCCTGCTTGTTCCACTGATAATTGGTTTACTTGGGTCTGAAACCAAAATGTAACAATACTAAAATAATGAATTATTTAATTGTATTTTATTTTAGGGGGTTGCTTATTAAAGTAACTAAGGGGGCCCCAAGATTAAATTTGAGTGAGCCTTACCATCTTCCCTATATAATGTAGGGTCTATCGAGATAAAATATAAGCTCCCCACGTGTCCCATTCCAAAAATGAAAGGCTAGGGTATAAGATACAATAGATACAAGGTATATGAAATCCTTGAACCTATAAAAGACCTACTATCCCCTAACCTTGTACTAGTATATAAAAATATTTTGTCAATCTATTAAGGAGTTTATAGCTCTACAGTAAGTGTAGAGTGACTATCTGAATATATTTACCTGGTGGTGTTGTAGCTAAAAGCTCTCTTCCACATATTACTTTATTCCATACCAGGGCGTTGACTGCGCATACTCTCAATGTGTATGTTGTAGAATGCTGTAACTTGTTCCAATAAAAATGTGTTGTGGTTTGGTTCAACTCTGTACGAAATACACCATTGCGTTTCCTCTGAAGTGAAAATGTCTGAGGTGCTCCACCATCAAAGCCTTCATCACATAGAATCTCTATGGACGTCCATGTTGAAGCTGTTACTCTACAGTTGGTGGGGGATTCAGGAGGACCTAAAACAGATGTACAATATTTATCTTTTTGCTTCTTTGGATGTTAATATTTCTTTGATTTTGCTGGCCCATCTGTGTAATACCTCACATTTTTAGAAATCTCAATCAATGATTTGCACCATTTCAAGCTCAAATATAGGAGAGTAGGTTTGCAACTAATCCTATTGATGAACCAAGTTACAATATGTTCAGAGTTTACATCAATTTTGGTGGATTTTTGGACCAGAAGTAGGCACTAAAGCGCAAGAATAAAAGTATTTGTCTTTATTCATTAAGTTTTGTTCATTATTGAATATAAATGTTATTTTGTCAAAATGACAAAATTTAAAATAAGGCTTGCAAGGTGGCTTACTTGGCTCAATGAGTTCTATGCTACAAGACTGTTTCATCACACCAATAGAATTACCTCCACTGCATTCATAAACTCCAAAGTCAGTTTTTGATCTGTAATAAAAGACATGTCAAATAATTTTATTTTTGATTCAATTCATGTAGCACTGTATGCTTAGATGTAACTCATGTGAAACTGAACCAACTTTGGTCAACACCAATAATACATCAGTATTTATTGGTCAACATTCAGACATAGTGTCTCAATCTGGTTCCTTTCAGTAGAGCGATACAATCAGCATTGCTCTGATACAGTATTCCCCAAATAACTCCACATGAATTGCTTGTGTTTTAATTAATGAATAAGAATTGTAAATCATGTAGTGTAAGAATTGGTTTATTGTTATGTACCTTGGTGTGATGTCATGTCTGCTGTAGACTGTGACATCATCTGTGCCGTTTAACACCCCATCATCTCTTGTCTGAGCTACTCCGTGTAACCACCTGAATGTGACATCACTGGGATAAGCATGAACGTAGCAGTATACTCTCGTAGGCTGACCAATCACAGCTGCATATTTCAGACGTTGTCCTTGGACGCATAATGGAGAATCTGAAATTGGGAAAATGGAGAAATCTAGGAAACTTGAGAAATCAAGTATTGCAAAAAGTTTTGTATGGCATTCTTCTATTTCTAAAGGGAATTTTAAACATGTAACATATTGGTGATTTTAAATCTAATAATTTGAAGCTAATAGGAAACATGAAAATTGCTGCTGTATTTATAAATAATGAACATGTATGTACAGTTCTTGCATTGAAAAGTAACTTACATGATACATTGAAGAAAAATGAAGTGGAGTCCTGTCCCCATTTATTTTTAGCAATGCAGTGATAAGTTCCCCTATGACCACCTGTTACCTTTGTTCCAGGTATCAACTTGGCCCCTGCATTGTGGTACTCTCCTGCAATTTAGAAATGGTAAGTGTATGTTAACTGAGAAACTGCAAAGGGCAACACTTAAAGCAAACAACAATCCCCTATGCAAGGCAAATGCAAAACACTAACCCTTTATATCATATTATGAATGATTGAATTAATATATCTGTTATATAATCTTTTAAACTACTCTTGTAAAAATAATTATGGTCAATTCCCTCGAACTTTGTTATGCTCTATTGTTCACTAGCCTCATAACTCACAATATTGAATATGCACAAAGGACAATATTAAGAAAACCAGAACCCTATAATCCATGAAAATAATTTGAATCCAATAGAAGACTATTACCATTATATCTCCATTCATAGGTAGGTTGTGGTATTGCCTGAGATGTACAGAAGATATCTGGAACAGTGGAACCTTCCATACTGCTCATGTAACCTGCAGGTATTACTGTTAGATTTTCTGGGGGATCTAAAATACAAGAAATATAAACTCTAACTTATTCTTACAAGTAATTTGAGCTGGAATTCACAAATAAGAACAATTGTATTACAGAATTGTACAATAGATTATGGGATAGATTGATGTAATATTCAGGGTGCCAAGTTTGAGACTATTATTTGTTGCTTTACTTTATATGATGAGGGCATGAAATCCTACAAATAAGAAGAAACTTCTCATCCAGATAACACCCCTATGCCATTTACCTAGTCTTCTCTGATCTGATTTGATCTTCTAGATATTGTAGATAGGAAACTTGCATTGCACTTGAATGTTATGCATACATTGCAATTGTAATCTGAACTTACATTGCACTTGTAATGTTAATGCACTACTCTCTCCTAGTCCAATACTGTTCCTGGAGCGACATCTATAGTGCCCATTGTCTGGTTTTGTTCCTTTTAGCAGCATCAGTGTATTATTAGTAACTGGAAAACAGAGCTATTGGATTATTATCACACCAAACGAAGCTAGTAGGGACAAGAGAAGCCGTACATTCATCCATTCATCGTCTTTTGTTTGTCCTTGAAGGATTGATTCAAATTGTAAAGGTTTTACCTTATGGGTGTAGGACGTCTGCTTGAGAAGAAATTTTCAATATGACCACTCAATTCAAAATGGCCGCCATTTTTTTTGTAAAAATATAAACTTCGATTACTCAAATACCAATGGACAAATTTTATATGCTTATACCTCAGTACCTGGGGACAAAGAAGCTCTGTTCAAGAAGAAATTTTCAAGATGGCAACGTATATTTATCAAAACATGTTTCGTTCGATGAGATTTGCTACTCCATGGACTTGCTGTTTTCTAGTTGCATGTTGGAATGATTATTCTATATATTTCTACATAATTTAAGATATTCTCCATGTATGCCTAATTTGCAATTTAGATTTGGTTTGAAATCATCTTACGTATGTATGGTGTATAGACTAGTATGAGTTTGATCATGTTTGTCCATTGTTACTAGTTCTAAGAATATCAGCTGCTTGAATCATCATTTGAATTGAGATGACATTATATTGTGTTGTGTAATGGTGCCTTTTCCCTAATGAATGTTTAACATAACAGGCCCATAAGCCAGAGCCCCCTGGCCAAAATATTCTATCAATATCATGGAGTTTTTCACTATTTTTCACTATTTTGAGCACTTTTCAAGTGATTTTGGCCATTTTGGGGGCAAAGTTGTCAAAAGTGAAAGCCCCCCCTGGAAATTTTTAAAAAGTGAACCCCCTTGGCAAATCCTGGCTACGGGCCTGCATAATGATAAAATTCAGTAACAATGAAAAGTAGCGTACTTCTGTAAATTTACCTACCCTGATATAATGCTGTATTGTTTGTGTCTAGGGGATTCCCATTCTTATACCATTGTATTGCATCACCTGGTGGGTTAGCATCTACATCACATCCTAATGTAACATTGTCACCTTCTCGGACAACTGTCAGTGCCTCTGGCCCTATATTTATGTATGGTATATCTGAAATTATATGAATGACCTTAAATGGTCAGCTAAAATAACAAGCAATGTTAAACTATATTAGTGAAAATTGATTATGAGAGTTGTTTCCATTGTTGTTTCCCCTAACATGTCCAGTTTATATAAATTATCAATTAATAATTTCAATAAATACTATAAAACCCATAATTATTTAAGGAATAAATAATGATAGGCCATTCAATATGGTGAAATTCAGCACGAGTTGGACAGAATGTTGTACAAAGCACGAACCGAAGGTGAGTGCATTTGTACTAACATTCTGTCCAACGAGTGCTGAATTTCACCATATTGAATGGCCTATCATTATTAATTCCGATTCAAACATAAAAATTAGTAAAAGCCGTGTCTGTGGAACGGGCATGAAGGAAGAATACGAACAGCTATCCCCGGACAGAGCCCCAGATGTGCAGCTGAGATGTGACGTCACTCAAAACAATGCAAATTGCAGATTGAATAGAGCATGGTCGTGCATCTATGGAGAATTAGAGAACGTTCTATATTGGCTATGCTGCATTCTGATTGGTTGAGAAATTCGAATAGAGCACGGTCATGTTTGAATTATTATCAAATCACTCATGCAACCATTAGCTTATTTCTGTTAAAAGTAAGAATTAAGGGAATATAGACTAAAGAATAGGTTGTATTGTGAATGATAGTGCCACACATTTCCCTGAAATATTATTTCACTACATGCCTGCTTGGGTCAATTTTAGTAAAATTTCCTCCAATGTTTTACCTCTTATATGTTATACTCACATTGCACACTTAATTTAATATGTTTAGATGACATCCCAAGTCTATTTATGGCCACACATTCATAGACTGCTGTGTTATCAGACTTCAACACTGGCTTCACAATAAGGAGCTGATCTCCCTCTGCATTTGCCTCAGTTGTCACCCTGTCCTCTTCAGGATTGATGGCCTTGAAGTTTCTGTACCATGTGATATTTGCCTCTGGTTTAGCCTGAACATTGCAGTAGATCCTTGCTTCATTTCCTTCTGTCACTCTTACAATTTCAGTCGCATTTACAACAGGTTTATCTTTAATGAGAAAATAATGAACAGATTAAGAATACCATTTAGTAAAAAAGACACAAATGAGAACATCAGAACATAAATGCACGTATAACTATATGGCAACTTCCCTTAAGTTATGCAATCTTTTTATCACATACAGTATCACTCTTTGTCATCCTATTTTTAAAATTTCCCAAAAGTTCATTGCTTAGTTACATCATAGAATACCAGGGAAACACAAAGAAATTTGAACATTTTTGTCCTCAAAAATGAATGTGAATATCTGATGAAAGAAGATGTGAAACAACAAATAATAGTCCATTGTCTAAATATGAATGTCCTAATTAATGTAATACACTTCAATGGGCATAGTTTGTGATTATAACTTACAACTCAGATCAAGTGCAATAGATGTAGTTAAAGCCTTCTCTCGGAACTTTACTAGAACAGAATTGGATGCATTACAGACATAAACCCGACCATTGTCTTCAATCCTTGGCTTTAGAACCAAAGTAGCTGTCGAGTTGTATGAATTATCACTGATTTTTTGGCTCTCTTGAAAGCTCTGCTGTTGTGTGTAAAATGTCCCTGTTGAGGTTATGTCCTTGCTGTACCATGTTATGTTTGCAGGGGGTACACCACCATTTGAGTGACACTTTAGGATGTATCTTGAACCAACATCTGCAAATTCAGCTCCAGTAATGTATGGCTCAAAGGGACGAACTAGAAATCAAAATGATAACATGTTTCATGTTCATTTTTAGATATAATCAAAGGGTGTTTAAAGAGATGCCAAGTATTAGTTATTTTATGAATATTAGCTTTTTATTACAGAGTTGTTCCTAGGATAAAAAAAAGTTTTCCATCTTGTCCTTTTTAGTTCACATAGCTTTTTTGATGGAAAATAATAAAGTATGCTTGTTTGTATCACTGACCATGTGCATTCATAAAAACTGCTGTTGTTTCTCTGAAGTCTATTTGCCTCACTCTTGCCTCACAGATATATTCATCAGTAAGAGAGGACCTTGATATGGGCACAATCAATGAACGGGTCACTGAAAAGGTCAAGTCTTCATGCTGGACATCAGTGGTCACAAACCCAATCTCAGTCATACTCCCTGGATAAAACATAAATAGTTATAAGAGTACACATAGGCATAGCCAGGGGGGAGGGTGCGATGGGTGCGATCACATAACCAATGAAAATAAAACCATGAGAAAGAAGAAGAAAAGAGCTTTAAATGCCTTTTATTTGAAGCTTCTAGCTCAAATTTGAAGGAAGTTGCATCAATTTTTGTAAAATTCAAAATAAATCTTATTGTTTGGCTTGTTTATGCCACAATAAACCCGACCATTGTCTTCAATCCTTGGCTTTAGAACCAAAGTAGAGTGAAAACTGATTTTTTTTGGTGATTGCACCTGATTGACTGAAGGCTGGCTCTGCCCCTGGTACATGTGTCATAAAGTAAAATAAACCATGTACAATCACATGTGTATTCAAATATGCATACATAATTTGTGAAATATATGAGATAAGATGGAATAATCATATACTAGTACTCAATCTGTTTTATTTCGCATGTTTAAATGCTAATTAGAAAGTAAGCAGATTTGTCTTGAGAACGTACTCATATTTAGGATGTGTGCAATGCACATAACAGAATATACCTAAGTGTATAACGCCTAGACATATTTGAATAAGGGAACCCATCTTAAAGTTTTTAAATTCTATTAGATATTTTACATCAGCTAAATGAAAGGTAGATTACATTTAAATTAGTACATTATATCTCTTCAAAACCCTCAGGGAATTGTATTGAAGATTGGGCAGAGCCCTCCTGAGTCTTCGAAGTATACAATCTAAAGATTGAAGACTTTGAAGATATATGAGGGCTCTGCCCGATCTTCCATACAAACCCTTGTACCAAAAAGATGGTCTATTCCTCACATTTTTAACTCACATGGTGAGCTTTTGCAATCACTCACTTGTCCATCCGTCTGTGCGTGCATGTGTGCGTCCGTCCGTCCATCAACAATAGTGGCACGTTTCAAAACCTCTGTCGATAGGTCGATCAATACAGAAAACTCCCCTATGACTCCTGGTTCAAAAGCTCGCCTATTTTCAAAATGGCCTCCTATTTTCAAAATGGCCGCCATTTTTGTCTCACGAAATTCACTTTTGACCCATTTCCTAGCTATACAAATAATTTCAGGTGTCCTACATTGTAAAAGTCCATGTCAATGTAAAGAGTAGATATATGAAATAATTTTGTTACAAAAAATCAGGAAAAATTATATGCATTTTTTTTATTTTCAGCCATTTTAGTTAACATTGATTTGTCCATCTGACTCGCGAAATTCACTTTTTCGTCAACAACAGTGGCACGTTTTAAAACCTCTGTTGATAGGATTCCTGTTTTAAGTTATTTCTGTTCAACATCAATACAGAAACTCCCCTATGACTCCTGGTTCAAAAGCCCGCCTATTTTCAAAATGGCCTTCATTTTTTGTCTCGCGAAATTCACTTTTGACCCATTTCCTAGCTTTACAAATAATTTCAAGTGTCCTACATTGTAAAAATCCATGTCAATGTAAAGAGTAGATGAAATAATTTTGTTACGAAAAATCAGTAAAAAATTATATCCATTTTTTATTTTCAGCCATTTTAGTTAACATTGATTTGTCCATCTATATCGCAAAATCCACTTTTGGACCATTTGCCTTAAACCCTCTGTCGGTAGGATTCCCGTTTTAAGTTAATTTTGTTCAACATCAATACAAAAAACTCCCCTATGACTCCTGGTTCAAAAGCTTGCCTATTTTCAAAATGGCTTGAAATAATTTTGATAAAAAAATCAGCAAAAAATTATATCCGTTTTTTTTTTATTTTCTGTCAATTTAGCCTTCATTAACTTTTGAGCAACACCATGTGAGCCCAGTACCCACGGTACTATTTTTCTTTGTATCTTAATTAGGTTAATCTATGTATTTGATTTTACCATTTTTTCTCCATATCAGATCTGGTTTTGGTCTCCCATGTTTTGATGTGCAGTGTACTACAGCTGTTTCTCCTTCATTGTGTGCAATTTCAAGCCCTGTCACATTCAGAGGTTCAGGCATAACTGGAGTGAAACATATTTAGGTAATTAACTACAAGACAAAATTTTGAATGTACCCGTGTTGTTTTCCTGTTTTGTAAGTTAATGCAATAAATGTCCTCATTGATTGAAGAGTATATATTTTTGAAATGAAGTCACAAGTTTGTTTTGAATTGGTTTAATACATGTGATGGGTTATAGGATCTTGGATGGATTTTTTCTTTTGTAATCATTTGTGCATTTTTTGTGACTTGTTGTAGAAGGAAAGTTTTTGTTCAGTTAATTTGATAGGACTAAAGAATTTGAAAAATTCATGTTAACCAAAAGAGAGACAAGGAAAATCTTTTTTGTGTTAATAATTGTAACACAAATTATCCATGTACTATGTTTCTCTTATTTGAATAATGTTTCTGGTCAGAAAGCACAATCAAGGACCACATATATACTATTTGTGCTATTAGCTTGGCTCATATCACATAAAAAGATGATAAATGGCCCTGACTGTGAAAACTATTAAAAGAGTAACTCACCAACAACTGTGAGAATTGTCTGTTCAGTAGTTTCTGCTTCCTTGAAAACTTGAAAACACCTATATTGTCCATCATCTTTTAGCTGTGCATTCCTTAACACAAGATTATATACTCTTCCATTCTGGATTAATTCAAATCTTTCAGGATTTACACCTGGCTGTATCCTACCATCCAAGAACAATGTTTGGTATTTTTCTGATCCTGATATTTTTCTATCCCAGAACCATTTCTTTGAGGGATCAGTCCTTGTACAGTTTAACATGATATTGCCTCCCAGTGGAGTGTTGCCATTGTGGCTGATGATTGCCCCATGTGTTTTCAGGGTCATTACCACTATTGTGAAACATATATACATAAATGGTTTCATGTTTGTGGGATAAGGAATCCTTGTTTTTCTAAAGTATTGTGAGCAGATCATTTTGTCTTCCATTGTATTTGGGTTCTGATGCATTTCCATATTTTCATTCTCCATTTTTGTTTTAAAATATACTAGTATATCTGATCACTCCATTTTGTACAACCTTCCTTAATATATATTTTCAATTGTATATCAAGTGTACTTGACTTTACTTTTATATGTTCACCTGTTTTAATTTTCTCTTTATTTTGGTTTATTTCCTATGCCCTTTTATGCACATTCCAGCTTTAAGAATTTTTATCAATTTAACTCATTAGAATTGTGATAACAAATAAAACTCCTTAAGATTGGGAAGTGTTTAATCAGAAAAATGTAGTTTGAGTCATGTTAGACAGGCATACCTATCCCACCTTAAGTTGGGCTAATTACACAAGCTGGCATATCTCTGTGTTTCTATCTCAATAACTAATATTTGTAATTCCCGACATTAATTATCAATTAGTGATAATAAGATTTAGTAATATTTAGTAAGTGTCTGATGTCCAAGTTGTGAAATATTTACTTTTGCTTAATTTTTATTTTTGCATGTTTCATGTTGTTTGCTGTAAATATGTCAGTTTTTCCTGAGGTTTCTGAATAAATTCATCCACACTTCTCAGGCTTATCTGATTATTAATAAATGTTTTGGTTGTCTTTTATAAAACTCATAAACTTAACACATGAATATCACATGTTTTGCTGCATTACGATGGATATTTTTAAAAATATTGTGCTTGATAATTTTCTATGGTATAAAGGAATTATCTTATTGCTATTTTATTCTGATGTTGTATTCTTTGGAAGCCACTTTGTATTATCTCACATTGTGAATCATGGTGAATGTAAAGAAAATGTGGTTGGTGTTGTTTTGGTATATATGACATTCTTGATGAAATTTTGTTCAAACAAAGAATCTCTTCAACCAAAGAGCATAAATGGTAAGATTTGAGTGACCAAAGAGGCCATATCAACCAATAAAAGCAAGTATGAAAACCATATGTTAATACTGTTCATATACAAGAATACATGAACTGTGTAAAGTCATATAACATGTTTGGAATCTTTTTGCTATCAACCCTTCTCTAGTCACTGTCACCCATTACAAAGCACCTCCTCAAGAGTTGAAATACATGTAGATATGAATGGAGGGGGTTCAGTGACTTCATACAAGACTGGGACCTCAAGTTATCTCCTATTGTTGCTTTTGTCCTTTGATTCTTTTCATTGTTTAGTTTCATGTTGTGTTGATTTGTTCAACAATGTCATCTGCTTGTTTTACATCAATTTAACTGTTATAAGTCCCATTTTCAAATAAAACTTTGTGGGAAATAGTGTAGCTTTAAGTATGAGCTGTAATGTAAATAATTATTTTGATCAATAGATACTTAAGTGACAAAATTGACAAGTTGGGAACAATCACTTTGATGACTGAATGATAAAGCTTTGAATAGTTGTACAAATACAGTACTATTGGAATACTGTTTTTAATGGTCAGATCTAGCATCTAGTCACACTGCCCTCTCAATGTCAAAGATGATTTGGTAATCCTAAAGCTAATACCATCTTAATGGTCTCAAATGTAGCTTTCATGGTCTTTTTGATATTGGATGTAAAATGGATCAACTACATTGGCAAAAAATGAAGTGTTGTGATTTTCAGACAAGGGCTACATCAACTTTGAGCTAATTCAAACAGTGTATAATAAGTTTAGCTCTTTGAGGCTGATGTTGCCAGAGGGTACTTTTGTATTATGCAATGTACATATATAGAACATTGCTTGGAATATTTCTTTAGCATATTAGCGCATGAATTGTACATTAAATGATGACAGGAAAATAGTATATTATTTGTGGTGTCAAAATAGAGAAATATTGTGTCTTGTATCATTCCTTGCAAAATTATTTTTAAAACAGAAAAATCAAATTTTATTAAGAAATATCCCGATGAATAATACACATCTTTTTATTATTACATCTAAAGGTTTTCCTACTATTTTTTATTTCATTTTTCATTTGATCTATTGGTTGCTTTATTACCAAAAACCATGGTTGTATTTCAAATATTACAGATTTTTTTGTCATATGTTTCTTGAATTTTTTTCACATCAGAGTACCAGTAAATCACAGTGCAATTTGTATTTTATTTGTTTTGAGACAAACACTCTCTAAAAATGGAATTTTTGAGAGCTTTTCAACATTTTCAATAATTGTTTTAGAAGTGATGTATGATTTAGACATCCATTTGTGTTTATAGGAATTCAAATGTCATAAGAAATGAATCAGGGAAAATAATAGAATTTTTGGGATTTTGACATTTTATGTACTTGTATGAGTTCTACTCATTGTATTTGAACTGATCAACAAATAACCATAATTCTCATATTATATTTTTTGTTAGTGAGCTTTTTAGGGACTTCATAAAATAATCATATAAGGAAGACATTTAAAGGTATGTACAATCAAGAAGAACTTTTTATATTCAACAATGCGAGAATTGAAATTATTAACTGCTAATTCCATATATTGACAGATATTCCTCATCACAGACTTATCTTGACAACAGTTTATTTTCATATTTACTCAGTTAATCACCAAGTCTCCTATGATTCTATATATCCACAAGGTACCAATCCTCTATACCCACGCTGTGATGACACAACGGTTAATTGCCATGTAACCAATTCATTTGTTGTTTCAGTCAAGTATTATCCCTATAAGTCAACATAGAGACTGATAAAGACTGGTGTATCTATTTTCTCTTCCATTCCATAGTATCAATCTTGGTTCTGAGACTCGTAGAAGGAACTGTTAAAACAATTTGAAGATGAGAGGAATAATCTGCCTTGTAATTCTAGCCATCAGTGGTAAGATAAAGTTCTTTATGTTATGCTTTGTGAATGATGATTTTATTTCAATAATATTCATTCTTTTTTATCTTAATGTTCAATCTGATTGATTTATTTTAATTTTTTGAAACAAATGATTGGAAGAAAACGATAAATCTATTTGGTATTATGTCAAGAATTTTGCTGTATTATTATAAAATTTAAATCATTTTAGTTGGAAATTATAATTAAGGACAATGTCAGAAAACTCAATGATCTGCAAATATTTCATTCATTATTTAAAAAATATTTTTAAATTCTCAAAATAGATATGGAAAAGTTAAACTGCAAAATGAATTTAACTTGAAATATGTCTGTTTCTCATAGGAACATGTTGTAAAGTCACTTATTTCTGTGTCACTTGGACAGTGTACATGAGAATCACATTAAACCAAACATGTTTAACATCATAACTGTGAATGTTAAGTGCTTCTTACTTCATACACTGAATACATTTATCATCAATATGTTAATCAAACTAGACTTCATTGAATTTGTGGTTATATCACACTTGATTAATGATTTGTATTTGGGCAATAAAGTATCATCGAATAGAGAGCAACATTTTCAAAAACAATTTTCAGAACTTTTTGGTGTATATTATTCCAATTGCCCTGGGGCATTATAGAAAGGTATAAGGTATGCAACAGAAATGAAGGGTTGCACTTAGGGTTTACTATGGGTTAGCATTTATCTGTTTATCTATATTATTGGTATTTGTTTGTAAATGTGAAATATAAAACTCAGTCAGAATAACTATTTTTAATACATCTCAGGAGTATGCTAGCATAATTTAAATTACTGAGAAAACAGCAAGGGCAACATTGCAAAATACAAAAATCCCTGTTAATCATATGAAATCTAATCCAAAGTGAAACATCAACTATTTCTAGCATAAACTTTCTAGAATTAGAAATATTTTTCAAATAACTAAAAATGAAAAAGTCAAAAGCACTAAAAATCAAAAGCATTAAATTCAAAAGGAAATGAAAATATCATTTATGATATTTGTCAACGCTCAATAGTTCAATATGGATTAGTATGTGTATCCAATTGAAGTGTGGTCAAACATTACAAATAGGATTAATCATGAGAAGTAAATAGAGATTCAGATAGTCATAGACTTGGTCAACATTGTCCAATTGCTCAATCACACATAATGATTCCGGAATTTTACAAGATAGTAAGTGGGAGGGGATCTGATCATTTTATGCCTTCACCCGAATTATTTTAATTGATTTTTTATGTATTGAAAAATGTTTCTCTTGCTCTTAAAATATTGAGCCTCATTCATGTGACCAATTATATCAGTTTATAATGTATAGGATATCTATGCTATAGTTATAGTTTATAACCTAATTTTGTTTTTCTTAAAGAGAGAATCAGATCTATCGAGCAGCCCAACAAAAAAAATTTCAATTTTAGAATATTTCTAGCTTATGTCATTCCTTTACATGCCTATTTTCTAAAAATCCACTAAGATCATAGTTTATTTCAGCAAAATTAAAGATTTTTACAATAATGCTTTATTTTTCTATAAGAATGGTTACCATTCTTATTATTTGGGAGAATTTAAACATTTTTCACTCAATTTTGAAATTTGAATCCATTATAACTTCACCAATTTATAACACATCGTGAACCTTTTGAGATTGTAAGGAAGAGATTGGTAGGTCAATTGTAAACATTGCTTGTAATTTTGTCACCCTCAATGATCTGATTCTGCCTTTAAGAATCAAAATGATATTACATACGGGTTATGACATGGTTATAACACATTGCAATTTCTCCATTCTGTTCAAGTGAATATTTGTGTTATCTTTCCCTTATGTGCGGAATATGAAAAAAGGAAACATGAACAAGTGTCGCATGATCAGTCAATAGCCAATAAGAAATTGAGTTGACTGAGCATTCCAATGAGTATAATACATTACATGACATCATGTATGCCTTGTTTCTAGGTTTAGATGCCCTTACTGTGACACAGTCTCCTGTTGATACAGGAGTTCTCCTTGGGGAGAATGTAACTCTCTACTGCTCTGTCACTAACATTGGAGCGGGAGAGACTGTAATATGGAAGAAGGTACCCAACATCCTCACACTCGCACTCACATACTGAAATAACATACAGTAAAACCTGTTAAATCCAAACCTCACTGATAAGTGTTTTTTTCAACATGGGTTCCAATGGGAGAATAAAAAGTGTTTGTATCTAAGCGAGGTGTTTGGATTTAACGATTTTACTTTACTGTGCCTCACTTTAAAAGCCTAAAGGATGCCTTATCTAATGTTTGTCTCACGCAATTGAATTTTTGTAGGTACACAACATCTTCTTTTTTCTTATGCACTCTTAATATTTCAGGAAAACCTTTGCTGGATTAGTATTAGTATATTAGTACTTCTGTATCTGATGCATACATTAATTTAATGCTATTTTAGGTAGAGTGTTTTATATTGCAATATTTTGAACACTATGATTGCACACTTTGAAATATATAATTATAGGTACATAACACTGAATTTCTTTTTTATCTGTTTTGCACTTTAAACGTTTTAGGGTCACTACAAATAGTGTATTAGTGCACATTTTGTTTGTTCACACACTGAAATATTTTAGGCAAAAACTTGTCCTGAGCACTGAATTCACTCACTTTTATATGCTTTTCATGTAGCTATTTATTTCTTGCACCTCTTCTAGGCTTAGATGCTATTACTGTGACCAGAGCCCCAGCTAACACAGGGGTGCTTATAGGAAACAATGCAACACTTTATTGTACAGTCACTAACATAGGAGCAGGAGAGAGTGTAATCTGGAAGAAGGTATCCAATGCTTCAGTCTCCCACATATATGTTTGGTTCTCCTTCTTGTTTTATGCACATATGTTTTATGTACACATAGACTGAATCTGTATTTTGTACTTTGAAATGCTTTTAGGTATTTGATCTCAATGTGTGCATCTATTTCTGTTTTTATACTGAAATATCTTGCATCTAGAGCACTAAACACTCGATACGTTTGCTGTTTTCTGTGTTCCGTGAGCTGTTGCGTCCACTTTATTATGTTCTCTATCCTCTCTGTGCACTGCTTCTAGGCTTAGATGCTATTACTGTGACCAGAACCCCAGTTAACACAGGGGTGCTTATAGGGGAAAATGCAACACTGTATTGTACAGTCACTAACATAGGTCCAGGGGAAAGTTTGATCTGGAAAAAGGTATTCATCATTTGCTTTATTAAACCTTTATGCTTATTTTATATTTGGCTTGTCTTTAGTGTTTGTATAAGTCTTTCACGGTTTTTATGTCACCACTACAAGCGGTGACATATTGTTATGGTCTCCAACTTTTTGTGGCTGGTGTTTGGCAGTTAGTTGTCAGGCATCTGAAACAAATGACAGGTTGTGACAATTTGCATGCTAATGCCTTCTATAACTATTGAGATAACACTCCCCTCCAAAAGTTTCAAACCAATAATTTGTTAAAAAGTTAATTGAAGTTGATTCTTTCAAACATTGTCAAGTAGATCTATGTCAACACAAGTGTAAAATATTACCAAAAAGTAAAATTTGTGAAAAGATCCCAATCATAGAATAAGTGAAGCTAATATCCCTGAGGAAGACTCAAAATAGAAATGTGTGGAAGACTGTAATGACTCAACTCTATAGAAAGGCTTTCTATTTCAGACACCATTGGTTATTGGTCTTGATGGTTCATCCACCAATACTGCAAAGTATGCTATCATTGGCCAATACAATGTAGTTGTGATGAATGCACAAATTGCTGATGAGGGACAGTTTGAATGTGAGGCTGGTGGTAACCAATACAGCATCATGCTCTCTGTTGGAGGTAGAGTAATAGATTTCTCATTTGTAAAATGGTCTACCTTACTTATAATATTGAGCTTTATGTGGTCATATTTGACTCTGAGAGCATTTTAAACTTCAATGTCATGTTTAATAGCAAGGGCTATGAAGGATAATATTTATTCTAATGGAATCATATTTGATCTTATATTTGAACAGAAAACAACCAGCCTGTCACGCATATTCTTTTCATAATACTCACTTACACTCTATCTGCAGATGTACCCACTGGACTATCAATTTACTGGGGAGCTAACCTGAACACCCCCATTATGAATGCGGCCAATAACTTGACCTGCCAAAGCACCAACAGCCGACCCCCAGCAACATTCAAGTGGTACAAGGGAACCACAGATGTCACTAGCCAGGCTTTGACCTTAAATGGAACTGTCAACTCAAATGGTACGTTTGAAAGAACCTTATGTGTGTAACAATGAAATGCGATATTCAATGTCCAGAAGCTTGTAAAATAATGAAATGTGATATTCAATGTCCAGAAACAATGGTCTCACATATGGCTAATTAAAAGACTTCTCAGCTCTGAACAAGGATTATCAACATACTATGGATCCATTCTCAGTTGTTAGATGAAAATTTTGAATTGTGCTTTTTCAGGTTATGGAGATTCATACAGTTATCTTGAGGTGACCCCCACATCCAGCAACTCAGGTGATGTGTACAGGTGTGAGGCCAGTGTACCAGGCAGAGACAATGCTCTCAATGAGACTATGACTCTCTCTGGAGGTATGTATATCAAGTATTTTTGTATATAGCTCTATTGTGATGAATTGGGGACTTAAAGGGTCACGTAAAGCTTCCCATATAAAAATAAAAACAATATGGTGGCTCAGATGAGTTTACTGGATCAGTCTATTTGTGGGAAATTAGAAGAGTTTGTTATTACATTTGTTTATTGAAATCGTCTTCCTGAAGAAGAAACAATTCTTTGGTAAATCAAGATATCAATTTTTCCCATTAAACATCAATGCCATTTGGATGAGATTTTACTGTCCATCGTAATAAACTAAGGGTGCATTTTGGAAATCATGCTGTCATAGCTAGAAAACATTATAGAAATAGGGAGTTGGTGTTGCCTTACTTTAGGAGGAGACTCTAACAAATGGGACAATTATCTTTGCTTGAAATATATTCCAATATATATTATCTCCAGGTGCTGCAGATGTCGCTCATAGTCTAACAATGATGGCAGCTGCAATTCTAGGATCTTTTGTTCTATCCAGCTATGCTCACTAGTCATGCCCAAAAGCATCATAAACACTTAGACTTCATCAGACCATGGAATTGACATTGGACCGAGGAAATGCTGGAGTTTCTGCATTACAATCTAACACTACGTGTGTTCAGCAAAAAGGACCAAGACATTAGAATTGGAAAGTTAAGAGAAAAGACTCTGTTATGAATTTTAGAAGTATTATGTATAGTGTAATTACAAAATCTGATTCATGGACATCTGATATTTGCTCATTTAGTAAACAGCTGAATGTTGATATTTTCATTTTTATAAATTTTAAATGTTTATTAAAATCATTGGTTGTTTACTCTGATTGTAAAAAGATATTCAGGTTAAAGGTCTTTCATTTATCCATCACATTTACATGGACAGCATCTTCAATACTGAGATACTAGTAGTAACAAATAAAATAACATTACTACTTATAGAGAATTCTCACAATCAAATTATTTCACTGTTTTATTTGTTACATTATCAAAGCATGCAATACTTTGACAACTTTATGTTCATGCAGCCTTGGAGAGGTCAGATCTGTGAAAAATACAATTTGTAAAATATTTTAAATACAACAAAAAATAACACCACATGTAGACATCACATATATTGGCAAATATGACTATCAAAATGAAATACATCAAAAGTACATATTTTGAGCAACTGAGAGTATATTCGTAAATTGTATTATGCACATATGTAAAATTAATGAGGATTTTATTGGGGATTATTTACCAATGTTTGTTTTCCCTAGCAACTGTTGATTTGATATAGTAACGTCACCATGACAGAGGCAACTCTGGATGTGACACATCAAGTATTTTAATTGGTCAACTTATCTCCAAGATATCACAACCGCAAATGTTGCCCTCAAACTTGTATATGTAATTTCATGACGCTATAAATTGGCTGAATTAACAGAATTACACACAACAACCTCATTGACAAATATTGACTAAGTATTCCCCCAATTTGTACATTTCCTCACTAATATTATAAATAAATAGTTTTATCAAATAAACGTTGATATTTATCTTAATAACATGTCATCACTCATTTGGCCATGTATCCCTAAAGTTAAATATGTAACCATTACAAACATTATCTTTCTATATTAAAATAAAGCTTTGGACCCTTGTTATGTGCATTAGAGATTTGAGAAAAAAGTGAAGTAATTATATACCTGTATGTATATATATATTTTAGAAAAACGAAAAAATGCAGCATAAAAGTCAGAAGTTTTCCATAACATAAATCATTATTGTTTGGTCATCATAAAACCAAGAAATAAATAGCATATCACTAGAAAACATTGATCCTTTGAATATATATATGTCATAATAACATACATATTCCCCCACTACCCTCCTAGATTCTTTACATTTTAATACTTCATTTTCCATCATTTACTAAGGCACCACTGAAATAACTATATCCAGATATCTAATATCTTGTTGATATGAGAATATGGCAGGCATCTACAGGGTTACCCCAAAAATGCAACCCATTAATTTTGATATAGTTCTTTCAATTATGGTGTAATCTTTAATTCTCTTCTTCGGAGTATCCAATGGACCAGTTTGTGTGCATAAATTGCTCAACAACTTAACTTGCTTAAGGATTGAGAGATATCTTTATATTTATATTCATGTAAATTGTATTTAATGAATTGATCGAATAACACGACATCTATACGACGTCTTATGTATCAGCTCTTTGAAAAGTGAGTGGCAATTCACACATGCGCATCGTGTTCGTGTTCCTGGTGATTTCTCTTTACCATTATTCAATTATTAATTGATTACTTATATATATTTCTTATATATATTATCAATGATATGTCGAATTTAGACATTTTTTAAATAACCTTGCCAAAATGATGAATTACTTGCCAATTTGATAGAAAAAAAAAGATTCCTGAAATTATTCTAAAATAAGAAGGTTGCACTTTTTGGTTGACCCTGTACATGTACACAACAACATGTTTTACATGTATACCACAATTGAATGCAGTAATTATAAATAAATATTTAATGATTAAAAATTCCCTAAATTGACTGACATCAAAGTATGGCATTTCCATTCACCAACACCTGTTCTGGATTTATATCATCCTGATTGTCAATCTGAAGTTTATGAGTCTGTACCCCACAGTCTGAATTTAACTGATCTAGTTCATTCCTTTCCACAGTTCCTGGAGTTTGTGTTTTACACCAGCTCCAGGAGGGCATGGCATCAGGGAGGGGCTTCCTGGCTGTCTCTGGGAGGAGAAGTAAAAGCAGAGCACTGCTGATCCCCAACACTCCAAATATAACAAATGGGAGTGACTTTGTGATACTATCCTGGAATACAAAATGTTCAAGTCAAAGAGATGAATATGGTTGTTTTGTTACAATTGTAATATATACATGTATATTGTCTAGATAGTAGATACTAGAGATTATATTCATTATCTCAATCTCTGATATCACATTCAGAGTAACATCTTTTACTGTTCTACATTCAACTGCTTTTAAATGAAAATATAGAGCACTGAACACTTAAAGTACATAAGCTCTAAACTTTAGGAACCTGTTCAAGTGGATTTACAGTTTAGAATGATAAGTCAAACAGATGAATATGGTTATAATATAAAGATACTAGATCAAATAACTGAAAAAAAAAATTAACAACAAATTAAACTTCCTCAAAGGATGCGGTTCTCAAAGTAATATCAAAATTGACAAAAAAAGAATCATGGAAGAATGCTCCTTTATATCCAGTCATATCACAAGCATTATTCTACAGTGACATCCATAAATAGAAGACATTGAGAAGCACATGGGACTTACCAGAAAGACCAATTGTGGGGCCAGCATGCCTCCAACTCTACCCATCATTGAGTTAGCTCCTATTCCAAGATTTCTAAAATCACAAAATAATTTTATTTTTATGTATAATGTGTTTAGAGTAGCCAGAACAGGACAAATCATACATCTCTATTTTCTCAAAGTTTTAACCACTTTGGTTTATACAGGGAGGGTGACACCCACCTAACATTGCATATGATGCTAAAATCCCTTGCAATGCCATCCATCAAGTAGAAGTGAGCAAGTATGCAGATTGCAACAGTGGCGGAGAGAGGCTTCAGATGGATATGGTTGCGAAGTGGTGCTGCATGGTTGCCAAATTAGTCTACCATCTCATTGCCACCATCTCTAAGCCTTTCTTTATGCTTGCTTGGTGTTTCATTATGGGTTCCATAATGGGAAGGAGTCAGCAGAAGACAATGCTTACAGATCCAGCTGAGTTAGGAATGAATTGGGGTAACAGAACATCAGCGTTTAAACAATCACCCAATGTAATCAAAATTTAATCTCAAAAAGTTGATTTTGAAGGACTTTTTGTTTGAAAAATTGTGAATTTATAGAGTAGCATTATAAAATTCTTCACAGAATCAAATTTTTAACTGCTGAAACATATTCTCTTGTTGTACATATGCACTCCACTAATTGTTCTGCCATAGTATCCTGTTCTTGTGCTCCAAACTCAAATTGTTTGTATAAATTCACAGTAACTTACCTGGCATTGGTGGGATATGCTTCGGCTGCATAAATATAAGCCAGTGACCAAGACCCTGAGACACCAAACTTGCCCAGCATGGCTAGCACAGTCACCACATCTTCAAGCTCTTCATATTTACCTGAAAAATAATCAAGAAGGTTGACATAGATGGCTACCCATACCCAATACTTATGTTCATCACAGGGCATTCACATATTGCTCAGATTTGTATGATGTTGACTGTCTGTGTCAGAGCATGATGATGAAATTTCAATTCCCTATGTTTAATAGGCTTACAATCTTCATACTTCTTTCGTTTCAAAATCTCTATTTTCAATTTTCTTTGGAAAATATTGTTTCTCACATAAGAACATCATTATAACACCCGATATCGACCAAACGGAACGTCATAGGAAGCTTTGTTTGACAAAAATTCCCAGGAGATGAATACCATTTTAGTGAGCGGGATTGGAAGGTGAATACTATTTTTGTGAGTGGGATTGGGTGGGACAATACGATTATTTCACTATCAAAAATATTCCGGGGTGTTATTCACCAGGAAGTAGTGGTATCATGGGATAATTATAGGATATCTTATGATTTTGAGGAATATCATTTTTATCTACAAGGTGATATTGATATCTGCATGAGAGAGCAAAGCGAACGAGTGCATATATCAATATCACCGAGTAGATTAAAATGATGTTCTGAAAAAAATCATAGGATGTTCTCATTATCCTACAATTACAAGGAGTGTACTAAATGTATAATACCATTGAAAGTGAATTTCATGCCAAATAGAGTCACTTTGGCGGGAAATCAACAAGCGGAGTAAATTGTCACAATATCCTCCGCATATTGGGTTTTCCGGAGTTATAGTGGCGATATCCTCTGGTTATTCATTTTGCCAATAGATATCAAATTCATTTTTTAATGTTATTATTATACATTTAGCACACTAAGTGTAGGATAAAAATGGTTATATACTGTACCTGCCATATTGATGAACTGTATACAGAGAGAGGCCACTCCGGAAAACATCATGAAGCTAAACATTGAGATTCTTCTACCGCCTCCACTTAAACACAAGTAAATGTGAATTTATTCCATTTAAATATCACTGTTCCACAGCAGGATAAAGCAAATAGCAGTTAGTTTCATCCAAAATGGCAGACATTTTTTGTTAATTGATTAACCTTTGATTTCAGCTAAACAAAATAGAATCTGAATGACAGCTATTATGATACGACCAACTGTATTTAGTTTTATCCTGCTGTGTAGCGTTATAATTTTAATAAATATATGTGATATACATGTTTCATTAACAAAACACGGAGCAGCTTATCTAGAAATAGCAAAAATGAGTGTCAAATATACATCTGAGAAAGTGTTTACCTGAACTTTAAATATCCTTGTTTTTCTCAAAATAAAACCCAATTGACATTATTTTGAATGTTCTTTTGAAATAATGTCCATGGGTGATATAAGGAAGGGCTTTATTAAGAGAAAATCTGGTAACTACAAAATACTTACAAAGCATCTATAAAATAGACAGCAAGCAGAGCTGGGATTTCCACAACACCAGAGATGAAAATATTGAGATATTTGTTCCCAGATAAATGTTTCACATTGAGGGACAAGCCATAGTAGACAGCGCTATTCACAAACCTGTAAACAAACAAAACACACCTTGAATTCCTATTTGCTTTAAATGAGCTTACAAGCCTTTTGCAGATTATTGACATTGACATGTTTTCTTTGACCTTTAGATAAGAACAAAATCATCATATTAAATTAACAGTGAATTGTAAAACAAATATTTCATTCTATTTCCAGGGAAAACCTTGTCACTTTCAAAAGTAGTGTTTCCTTTGCCCTCCAGGAACATTTACTCATGAATGATGTATATTCCCCTCAATAGACAAAATATTTGTATAATATGAAGTTTAACAAATGCATTATGACTGTCTAATAAGCTGTCAATGTATAATCTGGTTGACACATCATTTTAATATGTTACACTTATTTGTCATATTCAGACCACAGATCAGTGACATCCATATTACAATATATTTATTCATTATGATCAGTAGCTTTTGTCCAGTGGACAGCATTTACAAAAATTGTTTCAATTTTAGAATAATTTGGGCTTGTGTCATTCCTTGTCAATTGTCACATGTACTTTCAAAAATATACTTTATTCAAACAAACCTCAACATTTTTACATGCTAAACAAAGGCTAAACAAAATACTTTATTTCAGGAAAACTATTTTTTCAATATTATATCAATATGGTAACCATTTTCATTATTTGGAAAAATCTATACATTTTTCTCCCACTTTTGGACTTTGAAACCTTTTAAAAATACTTAAAAATACCAATTTTTAATATATTGTGGATCTATTTGAGAGACACATGTACTGTATTTGGTATTGTAAAGAACAGATTGGTAGGTCAATTGTATGTATATGTTGCTTGCAATTTTGTCACCTCTCATATCTCTTATTCTGCTTTAAATGTTTTTGCCAGCAGAAACCAGGGAAATTTTTTTTTATATGTACATGTATAGTCAATGGAAGACTGACGAGTTAATTTCCTAAGACTTACCAGGCATAGCCAAGTATGGCAGTGACTTTAGCCAGAGTAGGGGTGCGGCATAAATCCCAGTAACTGTAAGCTCTTACTGTTGATACTTTGTCACGCTCCACCTGGTAAAGTCAAATTAATAAAATTAACACTGCATTTGTAAGAGTCAGAATCTTGCACTTGATTCATAGATGCATAGGAATTAAACTGCCAATTTAAAAATATCAATAGTCCAGTCAGAAAGAAGGTTTGAGCATGCAGCCGGAGAGAATTTATGAGATATAATTTTACATAGATATGATATTACTAGTATGATTTTGCATATTTACATGAATTATTAGACCTTAGTTTTTCACATACACTTTTTCACATACACATCGGACTGTTTTTCTTTATTTTTTATTGGTATGTAACAAAGATTTCATGTCACATGGTTAGGTGGTCCCATGGGACCTCAATTTCAGAACTGTTCAGATGATCTATTTGAGCTACTATGAAGACAAGAAATGGACAGATAGATGGAGACACCCTTTGTATCATAGGATATCTTAGATAAATTGATAAGCAAGATATGCATAACATCAAAACTTAACTAGTTATAGATACTATTCTAATATTTATTCAATCTCAAATGATGAGTGGGACAGACAAAATCCAGTCTCAAAGTCTATAAACATTACAAAGAGTCAACAATCAACATCCATCTTGAGAGCTGATGTTATAATTCATAGACACAATATTTCACATGGTCATCAGGAGAAACTATGGCTGGTTCCTATTTCTCAACCATTAATGCCATAGTTGGGATCTACCTAAAAAGGTGCCAAGTGAAAAGAAGTTGTGAGTATGGTGCCAATCATAAACAATTCCAACATCTCTACAGATATCTAGTGGCAAAACTTGAAACTTAATAACTGTATTTTTCAGCAAAACCTAGAGAGTATATCTTAAGCTTTTTATAAGTAGAAATGATTTGACATCTTCTGTATGAATGTCCTATTGTAAGTGCTTTATTAAATAAAATTAAACAATGGCTCCCTTTAGAGCTTACATTGCTATGTACTAAACAAAATGTATTGATAGGACCTGAGCGTATAAATGATAAAACAATCTGCCTACAACGTGTGAAATAATGAAAAAAGAAAAATCACACATTCGATGTTCCAATATTTTGTTACCAAAATGAACCGTTTCGGTAACCAGCGTAATCGAGTGGATCACCAGTGATAAACAAAGTACTGCATGTGTATCCCTCACAATTCACAAGCATTAGTCTACTAACAAGGAAATTTGATGTTTAAACTAGATTTCAAATGGTGGAAGGACCAGGGGGTCGTGAGTATTTGACCAGATTTATTGCTCCAAGGGTAGGGACATTGCCACATTTATTTGGCTCCGGGGTAAGGAATTAGACAGGTCAAAAGTTTTTTGTCAAATTCCCAATCCATGCCACCATGGGGGGGGGGGTCTCATGCAAACTTTTGAATGGTGCATAATAACAGTGATCTCACCAGGGTATAATTGACTGAGTGGCATTTTTCCAGATGTTTCTTCATATTACATGTCCATATCCCCAGTTCAAAACACCTGCCCTCATTGTAGGCCAATGTACTTAACTACATGATTGTATATACTTGCATTTTTAGGCTGTGTATGCAATTACTTAGTCAGCCTCCCTTGATTGTTTGATTGGTAGCCAGAAGTTCTATCAAACAGAAATTCAGAATTCACTACTTAACAAACCTTTGTTAAAGATATTGTAAAATGAAATATTTACCTTTGCTACTTGTTTGAGGATGTCATAATCAACAGTGAATGTCTTGACATTGTTAGAGTCAGCAAGCCACTGTAGGACATGTCCTGCCTCCTCTACTCTCCCCTGCATTGCCAGCCAGCGAGGACTCTCGGGAACTAACCTAAATGTGTCCATGTGAAAAATGAAACAATTTAAGTTCACTGTGATCACTCAATTTATACATAGTGGTGCCTTCCTCTAGTTCTTAGGAACAGTTACAGTCTAAATATGCAAAAAGTCATGCCATTTCTATGTGACAACTCAGATACAAAATTTTGCATCACAGTCCACTTGTTTGTCCCGGCGAACAACCTTAATGTGTCCATGTGGTTGATGCAACAATTATCAGTATCAATATCAGAAATATTTTCTTCATGAGAACTATTTTGCTACACATACTTATGAATAATTGAAAACTGGACAGATCTTTTAACGAGAAAATCCCATTAATATATAGTGTAGATCTAGAATTTTACATACCACCATGTAGCAAGAAGCAGAAGACCTGGGAGGGAGGTAGCCATACAAAGATGTCTCCAATTAGAGATAAAGTATGCAGGGAGGGGTAGAAGCATGATGCCCACACACCAGAACTGCATGGCAAACAACACCCTCCAGCGTGGGCCAACAAACTCCATGGGTAAGACAAAGTTCACAACAAGTAGCCCTAGAAGTAAAAGTAAACAAACTGATCGCAAAGGTTACGATAAAAAACAAAACATAGATTATCATCATGCTACACTGTACATATACACGTATACAAAAGAACATGATATTAAAGAATACCATCAGTAATAATCTAATAATTCATCAGAGGTAGTACAAATACATAATTGGCCCGAGGTATTCAGGCAGATGAAAAATACTGCACCAAATGTAGATCGATTACTTATCAGATCTATTACAATAATCATCCTTTTTAGAACTTTAATATTTCCCAATACTCTGGAGGCAATTAAGGGTTGTGTCTGACCTGCTAGACAAGCCCCTATGAAGAATCGGATAACTGCAAATAACTGCCATGTATTAGCAAAAGCACTGCAGAATCCCAATAGAATCATCAGTGTATATACAGTGTAAAAAGTCTTCTTGCGGCCCCATACATCAGCTAGCTGCCCAACTATGCAGGCCCCTACTAACATACCACCCATCTGGATAGTTGTGATCAAGGCTCCAACGTAGTTCTTCTCACATATCAGGTCCCACTGAAGGAATAAAAGATATAAAGGACATGACCTTAAAAACATTCAAAGAATGATAGCAGTGCACGACTTAAGTTTATTATTTGCCCTCTAAGCCTATGTTTTAACAAAAATTTGCTATTTCCGATGCAGAAGCCTGGATACAAGAGGAGGGAAAACCCCATGATTCAATTGATGAAATACGATTTCCTCCTTCGCGCACCTCCTTTCCCATAAGTACGTATATTTATACTTCCCTGCATCTTGGTTTTCAAAGTTTTCAAATTGACCTAGTTTTAAACCAATCAACGATCGACTCGCTAAACCAATCAGCGACAATGTCATCTCAATACAGATTTATATTATAAGCATATGTCATCTTTGAACCCTGAGGTTTCTCCCCCTCTTCCTGGATACTGCATGATGCCAAAATTTCATAATCTTGCTAATATAGCAGTATCGATATCTTCAGAAAAAATGGAACTGAATTGATTTCAAATAGAAAATAAAACTTTTTATATACATGTAGATATATAAATAGATGGCAGTTGCAGGATTTGGCAGGCTAGAAAGCACCAGAGCTTTAGCGATGACTGACATGTTACGTTTCTTGCGTACCACCTTCGTTTGCCCAAATTCTCACCAGTTAGTTTTCGAATATAATGCGTTGTAGTGATGTTTTAATCGATTTAAGCATATTCCTTACAACATTCTTTGTCCTGATGTGAAATAACAAGCTATGATATTGGTTAACACGCCAGGTATTAACAGAATATTATCCGAAGCGTTATTAGAAAATTTTGAATCCGCCTTTTTGGTTTATCGATTTGGACCAATCAGAGGTCTCAATACAGGTTTACATTATATAAGCGTACGTCATCTTTGAACTCTGGGGAATAATCCCCCCTGAGATACACTTAAGCAGTTTACTAAAAACTGGGATAAAATTCACTTTACTTTATTTGTTGAATATTTCCAATTTTCCAATTGGATTTATGTAACTTCATCAACATACATCAAGAAGATCATTACGGATACGGACTGCAGTTTAACCTTAGAATTGCGATTCTTAGATGAGTAAATCAACCTATTTTAGAAAAATTATCACGGGAAAATCCAGGAAAATTGAATATGTCATTCAAAGTAAATAATATTACTTACCTCAGTCACAATGGATGATTTGTCACTTTCATAGGTGAGATTCATACACTGCTTAGCAGTAGAACAGGAAGATATTTTCCCAAATGAAACATTTTGTGCTGATGATGATGATAATATTAAGGCTGAACTTGTGTTAGCAGCACTGTATGTCAGATCTGAGTCAGAGTCAGGGTTGATATTATCCATACAAGTCCAGTTTGGTTTGGCAGCAATAAACACCATTATCATAATAGCCCATGATGCAGGGATCTCTGCAAGACTTACAAGGAACCATATTCTTAACTGTGTCCAACCGAAGTGTCCTGAAAGGGATAGAGAACACAGTACAATGCAATATAATATAAAACACAATATGATTTTTTTAATTTTTTTTCATTTAGGGGGCCCCCTACACCCTCCCCCTTTCAACACCAGTGAATAAATCACAGGCTCCAAATATCCAGCCCACAAGGATATCATTGGGGGCATCCTGTGATGTATTAACAACAGATTTAAGAATTCTTAGGATTGCAGCCCAATCCTCATTATGGCCAGGGCATCTTAGGATCATGTGACTCAGAGTTTCAGGTTCTAGGTTACATACTTTACATTTATTAGAAGTCCTACCATTTGTCCATTTGTTTACATTTACCATAATATTTCCCTCTCCAATAACCAATTTAATTATGGTTCTGCAACACTTTAAGACTGTTGGGTCTGATTTTGCAATATGCCACCATATAATGGGTTTAAATATTGGGGATTCAATCCTAAACATATAAAGTTTTTTTGATAGTATGTCCATTTGCCATTTTCGTATTTCAATTTGGTGCACTTTGTTTTAACAATATTTTTCCATTTTACTTTAGGTAATTCAAATCCATGAGTCATCATTCTATATAATAGCTATCAAGGTCATATGCTTCTGCTATGTGGATGTTATTTCCTATTGGTGACAAGCTATTAAGGTTCTCATTGGATGCATTGATTATGCGTAATACAGCTACCCTTTTAAAGATGCTTGAAAGTGGCAGAGATAGTTGTTGCCATAAGAGCATTAGTTTATTATGAATAAAATCGTACAATACACACGTTGATTTATCATCGTGTATGTATCATGATTTCAATTGCTTCTTTATGAAGCATTTTGGAAAAATGAATAAATAGAAATTGAGTGTACATTTAAAAGTGGAAATGTTTCCACAACAGCCCAAAACTTTTCCTGTTGTCTCACAGCCAAGTCCGAAGTATAAATTAAAATCTTTCATCATTATAGTACATGTATATGATTAGGACCCCCCTCAGCAGGTATCCAGGATCCATACCTCCTTCTTAGGATAACAAAGATATTATGAATTTTGAAGCCTTACGCTCAGAGGAAGAGGATTTGTAACAAACCATTAGAACTTATAGCAAATCACATAACTCACCAACATTTTTCAGGTAACCTTCATAATCAACTGCCATAATAGAACTTCTGGCTGCAATGTTGACAACAGTTGTTTTAAATCTGCATCTGGAAATGGTGAACAGTTGATTCAAACAATGAATTATAAGTTTAAATTGATACTGCAATGGCAATGCCAAGACCTCCCAGCAAAGCTTATAGAATATCTAACAAGGCATTAACATGCAAAATATCACCACCTGCCATTTATTACAGAGGCAGACCACCACCCGCCAAATTGAACTCTGTCCAAAATAAGTTGTAGACAATAACAGTATGTCACCCTTGTGGTGGTGACATAAAAATGACACAAATAAAAAAAAATTGAAGCTTTTCAAAATTTCAAACAACTTTTTTGACGACTTGATCTAACACGGTACCTTAATATACATACAAAATAAAAAACTGTAATATTAAAGCTACATTAAATGAGCTCACATTCCTATCATTTGTGATACTAAGAACTTATTACTTCAATAATGAAACTATAAAATGCAAATAAAATCATTCCTGGTAGTTATCAGGATTTCATATATATCTGTTACCATCATTTTATGGCTTTAAGTATTTCCAGGATGGATATTGATCAAGTATTATATTATCATATCATTTTATGGAGCAATAAACTGAACATGTTTTAATAACTCTTTGAGAAATCCAAAATTTCATTATTGAAACAACATAGAGTGCAGATTTTATAAATTTTTAGTCTACTGTGAGAAAAAGTATGGTTTTGCAAATCTTGAAATCAGTGAATAATGTAGAGTCATGTCAAATCAGCTTTTATTTTTCATTCTTTTTCTATATGCAATCTTTTCTTTTTCGACCCAACCCACATGGAAAGTCACATGGAAAAGTTGTTATGCAAACACATGGACAAATCATTATTTGCAACTAGTTTATTGTGAGTCAGAAGCAGTTGCCACAGCACAAAATTCCCTCACTTTTTTTGATACATGTACCTCATACAAGCATATAATTTCTCAACAAATACATTATACATTTTCTATCAATATACATGTAAAAAAGAAATAATAAATTACACGGCACAGTGCTTGTAGATGCACAAAAAATGCATGAAAAAGTGTCAACTTCATCAATGGCACCCTGATGAAACTATAGAACAATCTTCTGATAAAAGTTGTCAATGCTAAAATAAAATGAACTTTCCGCCATTAGTCAATTTTGAAGTGATTTTACCTGTTAATTCTGACAAAAATTGGTCCGCCATTTTTGCGGAAGTTACACTGAAACACAAATTCCATGATACCAAACGAAAGCACTTAAAAAAACATGGCACACATCGTGCACATGCACATTAAAGTTTAAACCAATCAGATTATTTTGCGCACATGAATTATTACTCTTTCAGATAACAATAACTAATGTCAAAAATGCGCACTCTCAAAAAGTCAATCAAAACAAGTATTAGTGAAAAGTACAAGTGATGTTATAGTACACAGTGAAACCAATGTATCTAGTGACCAAAGGGAGCATTAAAGTGCCATCGTGTTAAGTACACTAACACGTAAATTGGATAAAGAAGAATTATTTGCTTCTGAGCACTTACCATTAAAAGCTGACCACAATGAACAAAGCTGGCGGAGATTACCCTCACTTCATTTTAGTGAAATTTCAGCTCAAACTTGTGACAAATGCATTTTGCATAAGCTGGTATGAAGCCTTGGAGACACTCATTTTGGTAAATATGATTTACGGTATATACTTTTCTGCAGTTTGTTTGTGTTTGGGACATTAAATGTTAAAATTCAAGAAAAAATGCTAACTATACGACTTATCAATTAATTTGTATCAGCACTGTAGGTCAAGGGAACAATACAATTGAGCTCAATCAGTACTTTTCCCTTGGCCTATGGTTTCAGCCATCACGATTTTCTAGCGGCCTATAGGGCGATCAAATGCTGTACTATCAGATTGGTTAACATTTAAAAGAGGCGAGACACACGTTGTATAGAGTCCAAACCAAAACAGTGACGACAAGACTTACAATCATTACAAAAGCCACGGACGTCAAGTACATTTCTGGCGAAAGCTGGAGCATAGATTATTTAAGCGGACTGGAAACAAGATGGCAGTCTATTTCAATTCTGCCAATTCGTGTTGGCCTATTTATCACTATTGACTCAGTTGTTCATCTAGTTTTACTTACCTTAGATGCTTAGAATCTGAACACAAATTCTCGGTATAAGTTCATATGGTGAAAATAGCGAAATAGTGAAATGTTACTGTGTGTCTACTTAGCAGTTTGTTCTATGTCATCCATCCTGCTACTGGTTACATTGTGGAACGCAGCCAAACACGACAATGAAGGCAGTATTCTGAGGTTATAAAATCTAAATCGTAAAAATTTCCCATTTCTTCTTCTTCTGCAGCCCCTTGGAGACTTCCGGAATTGAACAAAGTAGCGAAAGTTGCGATCTTTCAACTTTAGTTCGTTGTTTTTCACCACTTTATGTGTAGTGTTTTCATTTAGGAGGCGGTCTTATTTGAATGCATCATTTCAGGTCTTTATGAATCAATAGATCAATAATCAGACTAAAAAAAATTTAGCAGTTTCTTTCATTGCGTACTGGGCCTGTTAGGCACGAAATACAATTTAGCAGTTTCGTTCGTTGGGCCTTCTATAATCAGTAGCAAATGCTCGGAAAACATTTTCCAAAATATTTACTTCCGTTTTCCTTGTAGACATGCATGTCAGTCACGTGAGCTTGCTAAATGGACAACAGTGTCAAGATATAGGGACAGAAAATATTGACATTTTAAAAGTACCGTTTTTTTCGTTTTGTTATTATGGAAAGTCAAACATGACTATAGATGATGTTTTATGTAGGCATTTATGTATGATACTTAACCATACTCTACGAAGAATGGATGATTTTTGTAGGCCTTTATGTAGGCATTCTTAAAACACGTTACTTTGCCTTAAAAACGTTACTTTATTGGACTTTAACTTTTCTCCTCGAAGAATGGATGATTTTGTATTAAGCATTTTCAAAACACAGTACTTTGCCAATAAAACGTTACTTTATTGGACTTTAACTTTTCCCCACAAAAGCCGGAATGTATGATTTTTTTATGAAGGCATTCTTAAAACACGATACTTTGCCTTAAAAACGTTACTTTATTGGTCTCTAACTTTTCTCCTCGAAGAATGGATGATTTTTAGGTAAGCATTTTCAAAACACAGTACTTTGCCAATAAAACGTATAAATGGACTAGATCTATCTAAATTTCCAAAAATTCTGCTAAGATCAACATCAACATGTTGTTGCCTTCATTGTCGTGTTTGGCTGAGTTCCACAATGTAACCTAGCAGGATGGATGACATAGAACACCATATGAACTTATACCGAGAATTTGTGTTCAGATTCTAGTAATCTATTTAGTATAATATTGTTTCCAAAATAATTGAAAGCCCATGCATTCTAGTTGAAAGCCCATGGCCCATGTTAGTACTAAAAGTACTTTGAACAGGTCAGCTGCCATTTGCTTGGCTTAATCGTACCTTTATGACTTTATGACTTATTTAAGCGAAGGCATTTTGCCTGTTGCCATTCAAAACTGGGGGTAGTGCGCCTTAAGGGGGTGCTTGGTTACAGGGGGGGGGGTTACCTTACTGGCCTTTCATGGATATTGGTGTTGTGTTCATCACTAGAAGTCATCCTGATTCTTATAATCATATCTGGTTGGGTGATCTTTCCAATGATTGTCTAGGTTGATCTTGAACTGCTGTAAGTTCTCAGAGTCAATGACACTTTGCGGGAGGCTGTTCCAAGGGTTTATAACTCTCTGTGTAAAAAACTTGCTCCTTTTAACTGTCCTAGAGTGATGCTTAGCTAGTTTCATACTATGACCCCTTAGTCTTCCTTGATCACCTGCTCTGGTGAATAACCCCTCTACTGGTATGTTGTAGAGTCCCTTCATAAGCTTAAATGTCTCGATCATGTCACCTCGTTTTCTCCTAAAGGCCAGGGTTGTCATTTTCAATTTCTTCAATCTATCTGGATATTCCATGTTGTTGAATCCAGGTATTATCTTTGTGGCTCTTTTCTGCACCCTCTCTAAAGTTTCAATGTCATCTATCTGGTATGGGGACCAAATTGTCGCTGCATATTCAAGTCTTGGTCTGACTAGTGCTTTATATAGGTGAGTCATAGTGTCTGGGGTTAAATATTCAAAAGTTTTTCTTATTATACCAAGGATACTGTTGGCTTTCTTTGCGATTGTTTTTATGTGTGACCCCATTTTTAGATTCTCTGTGACTTCTACACCCAGGTCAATCTCACTTTTGCATTGCTTGATCTCCTGTGTCCCTAGTTTGTATTTATAATCTGGCTGGTTATTTCCGATTCTCAGGACGTGGCACTTCTCCAAGTTAAAACCTAATTGCCAATCCTCTGACCACTGAGCCAAGGTTGCAAGGTCCCTCTGTAGATCCTCACAGTCTTCTGTTGTATTCACTTCTTTAAAAAGCTTGGTGTCATCGGCAAATAGATTGACAGTATTAGTTATATACTCTGAAATGTCATTCACAAACATAAGGAAGAGGACCGGTCCTAGCACAGTTCCCTGTGGTATTCCTGAGGTGACGTTTCTCCATTCCGATTCTGTGCCGTTAATGACTACTTTCTGTCTTCTGTACTTGTGTGCTTTAGGTCCACAAAAACAGTGAAATCATATTAAAAATACCAATAGAACTTTAAAATTGAGGCAGATGCACCGTGGGCAGATGCGATACAAAAAGATTCTATTATATAGATATACAGGTTACAGTCACCAAGATGAGCTAATTTCAGGCGAGATTCGGGAAATAAAAAGGTAGGTCATTCTTGTTTCCAGTCCTCTTAAATAATCTATGCTCCGGCTTTCGCCAGAAACTTACATGTACTTGACGTCCGTGACAAAAGCTAAATTTATAATCACATAATTTTTGACCGGAAGTTGCTATTAATCATAATATTACCGTATTTATGTTCAGTGTATAGTCCATTTATCCGTCCCAATCTTTGAAGGTCACACGAAATACAAGTAATCACTCGTCAATAATATATAACTGACTATGAACGTGAACAAAATAGACTTTGAAGCAGGTGTTTCTTTCACTTTGAAAATTTGATTATCATAAAGTGGACTAGTGTCCGAGTGTCGTAAAAAGTCATATTCAGTCTATGCTGATAAGCAGGGCCTATAAGCTTAGCCTACTGCAATCTCCTCCCGGGACTTCTCCTGATATATTTCGTCAGAAGAATAACAAGGAGGATTCTCCCCCGGGAATTCTCCTTGGTGTTGGTCTAAGAATAAATAGTGATGATCGATGTTGATGAAGTGATAAAATATGTAGCCTAAACTTTGAAAAATAAGGCCCAAAAAGGCCAAGTAATTCCCTAAAAGGCCCACAAAGGTGACATTACAAAATATTTGGGCCCAAAGAAATTCTGGGCCCATTCTAGATAAAATGGAATTTAGAACGCAATTAAAGGGGTGTCATTTCTTGGCCCGCGATGTCATTTTTGCTACGATCATTCCTAGTCTTCAAAATCTTTATCATTTTAAAGGGTTCCGATTAGCATCCCGTATAAAAACAATATGGCGGCTCCAGACGAATCAAGTGGATCAGTCCATTTTTAAGAAATAAGGGGAGTTCTGTAAAATCCAGTTTATTGAAATTGTCTTTGAGAAAAAGTAATCCGTTTATAATGATTTTGAAAACGTTATCCAAAGAGTGATTGCGTTCAAAGAATACATGTACAACAGCCAATATAAATCCTTGTATTAGAAACCGGTTTGTCTGGCTTTGTTTCATTTGTAGGATATTTCATATGCCAAGCTGTGTGCTATTACGTTATGGGGAAATTTAGATGCAATTTTTCCTTATTATACTCAAATAGAAGATCCTGAAACTTCACCCATAAATGTGGAATTGATTTGTCAAAATAAAAATCACCCTTTTATAAATGTGTGACGATCTATCATATACTTATGCTATATAACAGTTAGAGGTGTTGACACAACGACCTCGAACCTGTGAACCCTTGAGTATTATTCCGGGATCGGGCCTTTTATACTAAACGGTGAGCAACACCAGAAACGAGCGTTCAATTTGCTAAACGATATGCGTCACCCTTTAAAGGGGCAACAAGGCCTGTAGGTGTAATAAAGAATTATCTTCGTGACTTATTAACAGGAAATGAAGAAACAGGGTGTGACAAAAAATTTTGCATTTTTAGAATTTTTTTGAACAAAGATAACAGAGTTCTGGTTTGACCGCCAGTCAATTTAACTATTTCCACATATCATTTACATGACCAGGATCACAATGGTCAGAATGACCCTGCGGCTTAAACATGATGAAATAACCTTTTTAGCCCTTTGAAAGTGTGATTGAAAAAAAGTTAAAAGTAGGAGCTAGGGAAGGTCACTGAACAGAATCTTTCGAATTTTTCAGAAAATGTGCCCAATATAATTCTAACTGATACAATCTTTGAAATTTTAGAAAATTGTCTTAAACAAAAATGGCAGTCATAAAAAGGAAAATAAAATTTTTTTTCTTTTTCTATAAATGATATCAAATTTTCAAAGATTGTATCATTTAGAGCAATATATTGGGCACATTTTCTGAAAAAATTCAAACGATTCTGTTCAGTGACCTCTCCTAGTTGAGAGTCACTCATCTCTGTTTTATAGAATTTAGAATTTAGAATTTATTAAGGCACGGCCACTGTGTTATCAGGGCATGGCCAGACTACAATTATACAAACTAAATTTATACAGTTACATTTACTTTTACTTTTCTTTAAGCACATGTCAATGAAATGTAGGATTTCCTCCATATTTGAATGACATAATGTATAGGAACTTGTTTTCCTCAGTCATGTTAGAAAAGTCCTTATTTGACGTTTGAATTTTATCTAATAATATAGTGCGCTCACTTTCGTAGATTTTGCATCTCATAACAAAGTGCAGCTCATCGTCAACACAATTATCTGAACATTTTGTACATATGCGTTCTTCTACATTTCTATTTTGTATCTTCCTGCTTCAACCTCTAATGAATGGTCACTGAGTCTCAGCTTTGTAAATAGTTTCCTTTTTTTCAAAGTTAGTTTCAGTAGTGAGATATTCTTCAAGATGTATATTATTTTTGAATTTTACGTAGGTTCTCATTTTACTATTGTTACTTGGTTTGCTACCAGTGTTTATTTTCATCTTCCACTGGTCATTGCATTTAGTGATAAGTTTTTGTTTAACAGATTTAAGAATGTATTTTTTGAGGATGTATCAGGAAGTTTAACATCATTTATATCAATGTCAATACTTTGCAGTGACTTTGCAATAAAATTGTACCACAGACTGTATTTTTTGTATTTCATGTGTGAAAGTAATTTGCTCATTAGAGAAGTCTTTGGCAGCATGCTTATGTGCGTCCAGTATTTAATTGCACTCAAATGAATATGATATGACATTGGTAGTCTGCCAGTCTCAATCAATATTGCAAGGTTACTGCAGTTGTGTTTGACATCAAGAATCCATCTGCAGCACTGGGCTCTGTCACACTGAAATAAGACACACGGTGCCCATGTCAAGCTGCGCGCCTACTTAGGCGCGCAGTTTGTTTCGATCACAAACTGCGTGCCTAACAACATTGCATCATTAAGTTGGAGTCTGTATTTTGAAACGTAATTTAAAGACATTTATCCTGCATTGTTTTCTTGTTCAATGCGTTCATTCTGTGGCGAATATACGAATCTTGCAAATACTAGCAAAAACTATGTGCAAATAAATCTAAGTTTTAAAACATAAGCAGATTGATGGCATTTTCGTCACTGATTTAACGGAAATTTATACGGAAATCGATCTAGCACTTTAAACATAAATGACAAATACTTTAGACTCGTTTTATGTTTAATTTCTTACGCATTTATCATGTATAATTCAAAATATTTCGAGATAAAACAGATAATCAGGAGATTAAAAAGAAATAAAGCACAAACTGCGCGCCTAATTTAGCCAGAAATTACAAACTGTGCGCATACACTGTAAAAACTACATATTATCATTGGAATTTCTACAGAGGCAGGTGTAGGTGTTTTTCATATAGCTTTGGAAACTTTGCTTTATCGTCAGATTTTATGAGATTTTCATATTGAAAGTCAAAATGTATAATAGAAGTGACAATTAAATCGGGAACGAAAAAAATAAATATTTTCAGATCACCATCTTGGTGGATGGACTCTCATAGTGTTTCAATTATGGGGTTCTACTGTTAGACACATATGTGCCTTACATATGGCGCTTACGTTTTCAAATAATACAAAACAAGCTTGGATAGGCAAGCAGTTTGGAAATATTAGGCACGCAGTTTGGGAAATACATGTGAATATAGGCGCGCAGTTTGACAAGAAAAATGTTTAAATCACGTTTATGACGTATTATCGTTTTGAACACAAACTATGCTGCTTTAATCAGATGGAGTGATCTTATATATTCTAGCATACACAGACACAATGGCTGAATAAACGGCAAATGACGATAAAAAGACATAGATATAACTTTACACTGTAAATTTTTGAACACAGAAGTTACTTAAGACCCTTATATTGAGATAACTAGGTTTACATCGGGAACAACATTGAGTACTATGAGTAAATTAAGTTCATCTTCACAGAATGGTGTACTATCTTTAGAACGAGACTAACCTTGTATTTTTCGTATTTTCGCTCTTTTTGGGAGTCGTGTCCTCCCAGTCTTCCATTTTGAAATATGCGCGCAGTTTGTCAGAGTTTCAAACTGCGTGCCTAGTAGGCACGCTGCTTGACATGGGCATCGTGTAACTTTGAGCTCATAAGATGTGCCTAATGGTCCTTAAAAATACAGGAAATTTTGTTATTTAGTATACTTTACATTGGTTACACAATAAAATTACATGAGCTGCGATTGCTACGTCGTGTTTATTTATTCTTAGATATTTGTTACGTTATCACTATCACTTTGCTACGTCGAAGTAAAATAATGTAACGGTTGCTCGATAAGGCTTTTCATGTTTTTAACTTCCAAACAATGCTAACGTCGTGAAAATAGAACAGCATTATGGAAACCTGTTATTAGAACTAGGTATAGTATTTAGATTGATATCTGTCGCTGAAAACTAGTACACTATAGTTTGTCGTATGACGATATTTGAAATATAAGAGTTCTGATTGGTTAAACCAGTTTTGGTACAGCTGAATTTTATATGTGAGTTGTACAAGGTTGAGTTCGTCAGTTGACCAGAGGGCATGATACGATGAAGACTATGTGATTTGTGGCTTCTTGTTGTGTTTGGATTTTGGACTATGCTCTGTTGAGTATTGGATTTTGGTACTAGGTTTGATATACGGAAGTACATTAGGTATAGTACAACAAGGTACGCCTTTGACTTTATCACTTCTGGTAGTTTGAGATCAAATACTTGATTATGTTAGATGTATTACGATAACGGAAGTTAGGGCGTGGCATGGCCCTCTGGCGCTCCGGGGTTGGATCTCGTTATTAGCATTTCCATTTTATCTCTTATTGTCTGTGGCTTGTTTTATATTACTGTATGCATGTATTGTTATATGTTGTAAATAAATATTTGATGTTGTAAACCGTGTTGATTTTATCCGATTGTTATCCTTGTAAATACCCTCTGTCCTTTGTTCTTTTTGCTCAGCTATATTTTCAGTACCATCTCAATACCCCATATTAATGTCGCATTACATTGGTGGCAGCGAAACTGACCTACAGCAATTGACAACAGCTGTGAACCGGCGTCTCCAGCCTGGTGAAAGGGGAGAAGGTATTGCTAGCAAAGGGTACGGTACATTGGTAAGAAGGGTAAAGGATAATTTAAAATCACACGTTTACATTGTCAATTGAATATTTTATCTAGGTATTTTATCTCAAAGGCTCAAATCAATCGCATATATACAACGTCACATTTGAAAAAAAAAAAATTTACAAGACAGTTCATGTCTTAGGCTCATTTCAACATTCAAAGCGATTAGTACTGAAGTGAGGAAACTAAATGTTTTTGGTGTATAAAGTCATGGGGAAATCAATCGGCCTTTACTTTACTCACACTCGCAATATGTCAGAATTTTGATCTA